GATAAATAAGGAAATAAAAATAAAACAACCCTTACTCTATTTTCGTTCAGTTGCATAAAGTTTATCTATAGTTGACCTATTATATAGATAGACAAAACTTGTTTTACGAGTTGTTTCGTCCACTGTTGATATTTCAGGAATCAAATACAAATAACAGCATTATTTTGATCTTTCAATTTGAATTAGATTATTAGGGGTGGGGGTATTTGGCGGTATGACTTTCTGACTGTTATAACCAAAGTTCAATCTTAACCTCGACTTTGAGAGTGTTAGATAAGTTTTTTTCCAGGGGAGGTCTTCCGAACCTTCCGAACCTACCAATCGACAGGTGGGAGACAAAAATATGTTCACTAAAAGAATTTCACATACATTTAGTAAAAATCTATATATGACTATCAATATCATATTCCTCAATCTATTGTAATGTTCTATGCATGACAATTGATATCATATTCTTTAATCCTTGTCCTTTTTCTGAGAGCATAGAAATTACTATATATTAGGATAAGAATAGAACAATTTATATAGGTACAACATTTGTAGTATTCTATCACAGATATGACTTTACTCGAACATTCATATTCAGCATAACAGAAAAATTTGAAGCCTAATTTATTTACAAGTTTGAATTGATACATGAACAGGTAATATTGACTGATAGATTAATATTGCTGTTTGTTATATTTTTGAAATGGCGAATTCATCATGCAAATCCCGAACAAGAACATAATTACAATACATACAGTAGGTAGGTTCTGCAAAGAAGTCAGCCGGCATTTCAACATTTAAATATCTATTTTAACTTACTAGAATCCATCAGTATTTAACAAGTACCTACTTGCAGATTGTTATGAGTAGGAAATATATAAGTGATGTGTATAACTCCTTGATTTAGAGCAATATTTTTAAACAATATGACTCTAGATAAGAAATCGCCATACATATATATATAATGTCTAAAAAAATAGCAACAATCAACATTCAATCTATTTAAGCGTGGATCAGTTTGTGAAAATAAACTGATACAGTTACTGACACCTTTTAACAGAAGGGCATGATTTTTCAAATCATTGAGAAAAACAAAAAAATGGGATACACAAGGAAGACAAAAGATAGAGAGATTTTGGATGCACCAGTTACGAACTTTTGAACCTGATGGACTCAATGAGAGAGACGAAAAAAGACTTAAAAACAAATCAAAACAATAATCTTGAAATTCATACAATTTATAGAATTTATACAATTTATAGAATTTATACAATTTATAGAATTCATACAATTAATAGAACATCAATAAATATGTAAAACTTTTACTCCAACTTTATGTAGTTTAAGGATGTTTGCTACTCTTGTTTTTGACTTTTTGTCAGATATTCGAAATCCTCTAGTTAACCGGATTTTCAAAGTAAAATCGGTTATTGATTTGTGGATGTACGGCGGGCGGGCGGGCGGGCGGGCGGTCGGACCGGCGGGCGGGCGGACCGGCGGCTGCCAAACTTTGTCTCTTCAATAACATGAAAACCCTTTGACATTTTTTTTTTTCAAATTTAAATACGTTGTTTCCTGCGACTAAATGAAGGTCAAGTTCAATTTTCACGATTTTAGCTTTTCTCGTTTGTGAGTTATCGCCCTTTTTAATATTCATAAGTGGTATTTTTTTGTGATTGAGTTATTTTCCTTTGAACAGAAATTGTTAATTATATACATAAAGTTTGATTACACTAAGCCTTTATAGATAATTTATCACCTGTTTATATGTCCTGTAATCAGTTTACTAAACAAATGGTTAATTTCTTATCTTGAGTGACAGATTTTTTTGAAAATTTTCTGTTTTCTAAGTGTTGATGATTAAAAGCTATAAGGAATAAATAAAGTCAGAAATTTACTGTTCATTACTAGACATTTTGAAGATAATTACAGATAAGTTTTATCGATTTTTAAAAGACATTGTATTAATGATAAATAAAATTTTTCATTTTTTTTTTCTTTGGTAAATTGTAAATTGTTTGTTATTCTGTAAAAACTAATTTTCTGAATGCTATATATATTTTTTTGATTAGGTGAACTTCTTTCAAAACTTAGCTTATATTGTCTATAAAATAAACATATATTTAGATTTCTGATTTTGGGCCCAGTTTTTAAGTTGGTCCAAATCGGGGTCCAAAATTAAATTGTGTTTGATTTCAACATAAATAGAATATATATAGGGTTCTTTGAAATGCTGAATCTAAACCTGTATCTATTTTCTTTTATAATTAGTTAGATAATACCAGATCGAGGTACAAAGGGTCCTAAATTAAACTTTTGTTTAATCAACAATTAAATTCTTGGGTTCTTTGATATGCTGATTTTAACAATGTTTGAGTGTTAAATCATATCTAATTTTAGAGAACTTAGTCATCACTGGTTGTTGTTATTATATTATTGATTATAATTATAAAAATTACAACATATCTAATTTTATAGAACTTAGTCATCACTTTACTGGTTTATTTATTATAATCATATCTATTTATCCAGTTTGAGTTATTTCCCTTTGCACATATATGGATAAAATTAAATAATTTTCATTTCAACTTAAATTAAATAAATATAGGGTTCTTTCAAATGCTGAATCTAAACCTGTATTATAATATTAGATTTTTGGGCCCAGTTTTCAAATTGGTCCAAGTCGGGGTCCAAAATTAAACTTTGTTTGATTCACAAAAATTGAATTTATGTTGTTCCTTGAAAAGCTGAATCTTACCATGTATTGAGAGATTTTGGATTGTGAGCTCCTTTATCAAATTGGTCCACATTGTGGTCCAAAGGGTCCTAAATTAAACTTTTGTTTGATTTCATCAAAAATTGAATTTTTGGAGTTCTTTGATATGCTGATTCTGACAATGTACTTAGATTTTGGATATTGGACCATAATACGTAATGTCCAATTTCAAATATTTCAGTTCTTTGACCACATTCATTTTGTGTCACAAACCTATGTTGTGTCAAATATTAAACCACAATCCAAATTTAGAGTAGTTTTAAGCTTAAATGTAGTGTCCATACTTGTTCAACAGTTCAGGGTTCGACCTTTGCAGAAAAATACGGTTTGCTGTCACTCTGACAGCTTCTTGTTTTATACATATAGTACCAATGCAAAAAAATCCCACTAACCCCTACTTTTCTGTTTATACTTTTATTATATATAGTTTAACTAGCCATTTATGAAAATCTTATAAAATCCGTGTTATTTTTTCATAGTGTTTGAAAGAAATGGACCTATCAATTTTTTCTGCTTTTTAAGTTCAGTTATTTATATACTATCAATTTATAACAGTCACTTAAAAAGCTTGGTATTTTTAAAAAGAGGAGCGAGCATCCTTAAGCTACAAACATATATTTTTTTTATAGAACATCAATAAATATGTTTAATTTTTACTTCAATTTTGTGTAGTTTAAACTACAAAAATATTTTTTTGTCATGCATCCGATTTCACCTTGAGAGATGCACACGCCTGATGAAACTAGTTTGTCTAGCGAAATATTGCGTATTTCTATTTAAAATCTAATATAACTTTTTCATGTATCAATTAGCGTGTTTAAGTTATATTCTTAGACATTCATAAGATTTGTCAGATCCTGTACGATAGATAATTGAGCTGATCTGTAAGAATTCCATCTTCATGCCTTATATATCATGTGCTGTGTTACGACGCTAGATAAAAACCGACGAGGAAAGGTAATATCCGGCCACCGAAATATTTATTATAGTAGAGCCTAGGTGGTCGAGTGGTCTAGCGCGTCGGGCACAGTGCAAGGCGATTTGGTGCCACGATAACTCAGTAGCATGAGTTCGAATCCCGGCCAGACAAGAACAAATAATTTGCTTCCGCAAATTTACAGATCTAACATTGTTGGGCTGATGTTTAGACGAATAATATATACAGAATGTGTTTTCAGCGTTGTATCACCATCACTGATGATCCGATGGATGAAATCTGTCGTAGAGTTGTCACTGATTCAGACGTACTTATAATATAATTATTTCTGTGATTGCATCCTGCATTAATTTGTAAGATCCTGTACGATAGAAAATTGAGCTGATCTGTAAAATTCTATCTTCATGAATTATATATATATCATGTACTGTGTTACGACGCTAGATAAAAACCGACGAGGAAAGGTAACACCCGTCCACCGAAAGCTTTATTATTGTAGAGCATAGATGGTCGAGTGGTCTAGCACGTCGGGCACAGTGCAAGGCGATTTGGTGACACGATATCTCAGTAGCATGAGTTCGAATCCCGGCCAGGAAAGAACAAAAAATTTTGCTTCCGCAAATTTACAGATCTAACATTGCTGGACTGATGTTTAGACGAATTATATTTATATATAAACAAGTCTAAATTGAAAACAACGTTCAAACCTATGATTGCGTTGGATAAAAACCGCAATTTTTATACGTGTGCATGTAAAAAAACATTCTTGTTAGAGGGGTTTAAATACAGCACAAACAACAATTTCCAAAAGACCAAATGAGTGAAAAAGTATATTTTAACAAAACGCATTTGACTAACAGGTCGAACAACTGATGTTCTATAACCCTGCTGACTGCCATTGGCGATTGCCAAATAAATTGATCACCAGATGTAAAAAATGGATCTGACATATTAATTTAATACCAAACAGTAAAAACAATAAACTTGCAGAAAAGATGGTATACCACAAATATGAGGTGCAAACATTTGTACACCATATCCGGATTTCGACAATTAATGTCTCTTCAGTGATGTTAGGAATCGAAACGGTATTTGGAAGGCCATATAATTTACCTCAATTAAGGATGAATATATACATATATATATATATATATATTTAAAATGTTAAGTCGTTTGCTTCCCCTATTTCAATGCTTTCAATCAGAATATCCATATATTAATTCTGTTTATTACTTTGCCTTGATTATTTTATAAATTGTATACATTTATCTTTGTTTATTTGACAGTGTTATACATAGGGGGAAGAGAAATAAATGGTAGATATCGTTATCCTTCGTTTTTTGACCGTCTTGTTGATAAATGGGAAAAAGAAAGGAATGGTAAATATATTAATCCTTATCTAATTTTTTTAGTACTTGTGTGCGCTATATATTTCCTTATCCGTTTGTATAGATTGATTAGGAAGTGCTTGAATTTTGTCATTCTATTGTTGTTTCTGGCATAAATACAAATAACAGATTTACAATTAGTCCTTTGGTTTGCACTCACGTTTTCTTCATTGAGTGAAAGGAGACAAAAATATCTTCACTAAATTTGTTTGTATTGTAACAATATCTAAATATCACTATATATATATATATATATATATATATATCATTTTTTGTAAATTTGCTTCAGTCATTGTCTATTGATGCCTTATGCATATCAGTAGATGCACACATTTCTTGCTGCTTTACGAGATCATGTAATTCCCTCGCTTTTTGTATGTTATCTTGATTTGTCTTCTTTATCAATTTATGAAATTTGAACATCAGTAAACTACTGTTAACTTATCATTTATTTGAAATGATGCATAAAATTGTTTACAAAAATCATCCTCTTCTTTGTAAGAGATGATTATATTTAAATACATATTTTTTGTCAAGTCCAATGGTCTTGATATTTCATAATGTATTACCAAATGAAAATAACACTTTATGAACTCCCTGCGTTTAAACTACTTTTCTTGATTTCTTTCACCAGGAACGCTTAAATCTACACATTTTAAAACCTTCCGTATATAACGGGCATATTTGCGATTTGTAAGGTTTATTAGTACGGTTTACTGAGTTCTTTTTTTTTTCAATCATCGTTTTTCCTTTCAACATTTTTCCTGTAGAGGAATATTTGAGCAAAGAGAATGCCTCTAGTTTTGAAATCATTATGTCAAATAATCATTCACTGAAAATAGAAGCAGCCATTTTATTTATTTCAATTATCATAATAATGAAATATTAATGGATTACTTAATAACCTGCCTTAATGTCCCTTTGGTATCCTTCGCCTCTCTTAATATAAACTAATTCCTTTATCTTTGTATTTTACAGATAAAATTCCTACATTGATGAAAAAGATTGAAGGAATACTAAACGATCTTATAGGTAAATCTTCTCTTATGGTTGTGGTCTGTTATCTATTTTCCACATGAAGAGATATCTCTCGTATCACGCTGAACGAAGTATGATATGAATAATTAATTACATTACATGTGTGTTTCATTATAATACGTTATTCTGATTGGATAACAGCAATCTCGCGTCATCCTGAAATAAACCTTCATTTCAAAATGAAATGTAACATTCATGCTGACACGAGTTTCCACAATAAAGTGCACAGGTAAATAAAGGAAAAACTTGATAGAAATCGTGTTTTCATGATCCTAGCAAAAAAATGTAATTATAAGTATTGAATCGTCCTTTTAGTAATTTTATAGGATTGTTAAAGCATTAACCGTGCGCACATAAGACTCATCAGTGACTCTAGAATCGTGCAATGTGTTACGAAATTGCTACATTTCCATAAGCTATACGTTAGGTTAATGATAACTTTCAAATGTGACATTTGAATAAGTAAAACAAAAATACCGAACTCCAAGGAAAATTAAAAAACGTCTTAGGAGAAGTCCATAAAAACAGACAAAATCAAACGTTATCAATCAACGATTCGAGTGAAAAACAATGGCAAAAATACAAAGAAACAGATTTATAATTTGTCCTTTGGTTTGCACTCACTTTTTCCGCATTGAGTGAAAGGAGACAAAAATGTCTTCACAAAAATGTTTTGTATTGTAACAATATCTAAATATCACTATATATATATCATTGTTTGTAAATTTGCTTCAGTCATTTTCTATTGATGCCGCATGCATATCAGTATATACACACATCTCTTGTTGCTTTACGAGATCATGCAATTCCCTCGCTTTTTGTATGTTTTCTTGATTTTTCTTCTTTATCAATTTATGAAATTTGAACAACAGTAAACTAATGTTGCCTTAACTTATCATTTATTTGAAATGATGCATAAAATTGTTTACATAAATCATCCTCTTCTTTGTAAGAGATGATTATATTTAAACACATACTTTTTTGTCAAGTCCAATGGTCTTGATATTTCATAATGTATTACCAAATGAAAATAACACTTTATGAATTCCGTGCGTTTAAACTACTTTTCTGGATTTCTTTCATCAGGAACGCTCAAATCTACACATTTGAGTACCTTCTGTATATTACGTGCCTATTTGCGAAGTGTTATGTCTATCAGTACGGTTTACTGAATTCTTTTGTTTTTTAATCATCGTTTTTCCTTACAACCTTTTACCTGTAGAGGAATATTTGAGTAAAGAGTATGCATCTAGTTTTGAAATCATTATGTCAAATACGCATTCACTAAAAACAGAAGCAGTCATTTTATTTCTTTATTTATTTCAATTATCATAATAATGAAATATTAATGGATTACTTAATAACCTGTTTTAATGTTCCTTTGGTATCCTTCGCCTCTCTTTATATAAACTAATTCCTTTATCTTTGTCTTTTACAGATAAAAATCTTAAATGTGAGGGATTGATTGAAAGAATACTAATAGATCTTAAAGGTAAATATTCTCTGATGGTCGTGGTCTGTTATCTATTTTCCACATGAAGAGATATCTCTCGTATCACACTGAACGAAGAATGATATGAATAATTAATTACATTACATGTGTGTTTCATTATAATACGTTATAATGATTGGATAACAGCAATCTCGCGTCATTCTGAAATAAACCTTCATTTCAAAATGAAATGTAACATTCATGATGACACGAGCTTCCACAACAAAGTGCACAGGTAGATAAAAGAAAAACTTGATAGAAATCGTGTTTTCATGCTCCTAGCAAAAAAATGTAATTATAAGTATTGAATTGTTCTTTTAGGAATTTTATAGGATTTTTAAAGCATTGACCGTGCGCACATAAGACTCATCAGTGACTCTAGAATCCTGCAATGTGTTACGAAATTGCTACATTTCCATAAGCTATACGTTAGGTTAATGATAACTTTCAAATGTGACATTTGAATAAGTAAAACAAAAATACCGAACTCCAACAAGGTAAATCAAAAAACGTCTTAGGAGAAGTCCATAAAAACAGACAAAATCAAACGTTATCAATCAACGATTCGAGTGAAAAACAATGGCAAAAATACAAAGAAACAGATCTATAATTTGGCCTTTGGTTTGCACTCACTTTTTTCTCATTGAGTGAAAGGAGACAAAAATATCTTCTCAAAAAAAAATTTGTATTGTAACAATATCACTATATATCAATCATTTTTTGTAAATTTGCTTCAGTCATTGTCTATTGATGTCGCATGTATATCAGTAGATGCACACATTTCTTGCTACTTTACGAGATCATGCAATTCCCTCGCTTTTTGTATGATATCTTGATTTGTCTTCTTTATCAATTTATGAAATTTGAACATCAGTAAACTACTGTTAACTTATCATTTATTTGAAATCATGCATAAAATTGTTTACAAAAATCATCCTCTTCTTTGTAAGTAATGTTTATATTTAAATACATACTTTTTTTGTCAAGTCTTGATATTTCATAATGTATTACCAAATGAAAATTACACTTTATGAATTCCGTGCGTTTAAACTACTTTTCTGGATTTCTTTCATCAGGAACGCTCAAATCTACACATTTTAAAACCTTCGGTATATAACGTGCCTATTTGTGAATTGTAAGGTCTATTAGTACGGTTTACTGAATTTGTTTTTTTTTTTAAATCATCGTTTTTCCTTACAACTTTTTACCTGTAGAGGAATATTTGAGCAAAGAGTATGCCTCTAGTTTTGAAATCATTATGTCAAATAAGCATTCACCAAAAATAGAAGCATGCAGTCATTCTATTACTTTATTTATTTCAATTATAATAATAATGAAATATTAATGGATTACTTAATAACCTGCATTAATGTCCCTTTGGTATCCTTCGCCTCTCTTTATATAAACTAATTCCTTTATCTTTGTCTTTTACAGATAAAAAACTTACAAGTGAGGGAATGATTGAAAGAGTACTAATACATCTTCAAGGTAAATCTTCTCTTATGGTCGTGGTCTGTTATCTATTTTCCACATGAAGAGATATCTCTCGTATCACACTGAACGAAGTATGATATGAATAAATAATTACATTACATGTGTGTTTCAGTATAATACGTTATTTTGATTGGATAACAGCAATCTCGCGTCATTCAGAAATAAACCATCATTTCAAAATGAAATGTAACATTCATGATGACACAAGCTTTCACAATATAGTGCACAGGTTAATAAAAGAAAAACTTGTTAGAAATCGTGTTTTCATGATCCTAGTAAAAAAATGTAATTATAAGTATTGAGTCCTTCTTTTAATAATTTTGTAGGGTTGTTAAAGCGTTGACCGTGCGCACATAAGACTCATTAGTGACGCTAGAATCCTGCAATGTGTTACGAAATTGCTACATTTCCATAAGCTATACGTTAGGTTAATGATAACTTTCAAATGTGACATTTGAATAAGTAAAACAAAAATACCGAACTCCAAGGAAAATTAAAAAACGTCTTAGGAGAAGTCCATAAAAACAGACAAAATCAAACGTTATCAATCAACGATTCGAGTAAAAAACAATGGCAAAAATACAAATAACAGATTTATAATTTGTCCTTTGGTTTGCACTCACTTTTTCCTCATTGAGTGAAAGGAGACAAAAATATCTTCACAAAAATTTTTTGTATTGTAACAATATCTAAATATCACTATATATATATATCATTTTTTGTAAATTTGCATCAGTCATTTTCTATTGATGCCGCATGCATATCAGTATATGCACACATTGTTTGCTGCTTTACGAGATCAAGCAATTTCCTCGCTTTTTCTATGTTATCTTGATTTGTCTTCTTTGTCGATTTATGAAAATTGAAAATCAGTAAACTACTGTTGCCTTAACTTATCATTTATTTGAAATGATGCATAAAATTGTTTACATAAATCATCGTCTTCTTTGTAAGTGATGATTATATTTAAATACATACTTTTTTGTCAAGTCCAATGGTCTTGATATTTCATAATGTATTACCAAACGAAAATAACACTTTATGAATTCCGTGCGTTTAAACTACTTTTCTGGATTTCTTTCATCAGGAACGCTCAAATTTACACATTTGAGAACCTTCCGTATATAACGTGTCTATTTGCGAATTGTTATGTCTATTAGTACGGTTTACTGAATTCTTTTTTTTTTAAACATCGTTTTTTCCTTACAACCTTTTACCTGTAGAGGAATATTTGAGTAAAGAGTATGCATTTAGTTTTGAAATCATTATGTCAAATACGCATTCACTAAAAACAGAAGCAGTCCTTTTATTTCTTTATTTATTTCAATTATCATAATAATGAAATATTAATGGATTACTTGATAACCTGCCTTAATGTCCCTTTGGTATCCTTCGCCTCTCTTTATATAAACTAATTCCTTTATCTTTGTCTTTTACAGATAAAAATCATACAGGTGCGAAAATAAATGAAATAATGCTTAAATTACTTCAAGGTATATATTCTCTGATGGTTGTGGTCTGTTATCTATTTTCCACATGAAGAGATATTTCTCTTATCACACTGAACGAAGTATGATATGAATAAATAATTACATTACATGTGTGTTTCATTATAATACGTTGTTTTGATTGGATAACAGCAATCGCGCGTCATTCTGAAATAAACCTTCATTTCAAAATGAAATGTAACATTCATGATGACACAAGCTTTCACAATAAAGTACACAGGTAAATAAAAGAAAAACTTGATATAAATCGTGTTTTCATGAGCCTAGCAAAAAAAATGTAATTATAAGTATTGAATGCTTCTTTTAGTAATTCTATACGGTTGTAAAAACGTTGGCCGTGCGCACATTTTTACAATGAAGCCTCCCGCGCTTCATACAAAATGTACTTCGGTCAAGTCTTTTACACCCCAATAAATTTACAAAAAGAGGCATTCAATTCTTAAGTGAAAACACATCAAAGATCCCAAGCTTATGACTTTGTACGTCAGACTAGAGTTTCGTCTACATAAGACTTATCAGTGACGCTAGAATCCTGCAGTGTGTTACGAAATTTCTACATTTCCATTAACTACACGTTAGGTTAATGATAACTTTCAAATGTGGCATTTGAATAAGTAAATCAAAAATACCGAACCCCAACGAAACTCAAAAACGTTTTCGGAGAAGTCCATAAAAACAGACAAAATCAAACGTTATCAATCAACGATTCGAGTGAAAAACAACTGCTACCTCCCCCCTTTGAATGAAAGTTGATTATAGTTATATTGACAAAATTGGGATTGCACATGCACAGGAAATATTGATTGATTGTTAAATGCTTATTATTAAAAGCAGCAAATAACTCAACCATATCAAGAACTTGTACATATATGCGATTAAACAGTATGTAGGTTCTGAAAGATATGTGCTCTGGCATATAAAGGGTGAACATTTTGGACTGTAGATGGAAACCTGCGTAGGTTAGATACTTGTAACAACTTGTCTGTGTAACAGGCCATCAGGGGACCTTTTTTCATCTATTTGATCCTTCATTTGAAAAAGACATATACGCTCAAATCTAAACATTTGAAAGCCTTCCGTTGTGTTGTCTGCGTTTAGTTAATGACTGTTCTAAGTATCGAGCTGTTTTTCGAGGATATTCAGACAATAATAAATTTAACTTTTCACTGTTATTCACCTATATGTCACATGTAGGCAAGATAGAAGCGGTGTAATGAGATTTTTTTTAAATCGTTGCTTTTCCTAACGAATCCTCAAATGAATGCAATATTTGAGTAATGAGTAAATCTCTTGTTGAGATATTGCCAAGTTATATAAATATTATTTTCCTTCCTTTATTTTGAATCAATCAATGAGAATAATGAAATTTTGATTCAATGAATTCATTTAATCTGAACTATTTGGTGAACTTCATACCTTTATCTTTATTTTTGACAGGTGCATATGATCAGATACCTTTTGAAAGAACACGAGAAGGTAAAACTAGTAATCATTAACTAAGCTTATGTGTACTTATACAAGCCATATATAGATATAAGAAGATGTGGTATGAGTGCCAATGAGACAACTCTCCATCCAAGTCACAATTTGTAAAAGTATAAACCATTATAGGTCAAAGTGCGGTCTTCAACACTGAGCCTTGGCTCACACCGAACAGCAAGCTATAAACGGTGCTTGAGTTATTGTATTAATCAATAAGAGAAAGTTTCCCGTTTTTTTTTCTCTCACTGTTGTTGTTTTAGGCAACAAATACGAATAACAGTTGTCCTTGATCCTTGGAATATTCGATTATGGGTAAATGTTGTGCTTTATAATGCTTATATTTGTGGCATTCAGAACATGCTGAAAGTTATTACCAGAAACACAGAAATTCTTTCTTCTATTTGTTTCAGGCAACAAATTTAAATAACCATATTATATTTGTTCTTGTTTTCGCATTTCATAACTGATACTTGAATGATTCTAAACAAGGAGACACAAATATCTTCACTATACACAATACCTAGTATATAGTATTACAATCTACTGATTGTTATCACATTAATGTAAAATTATATTCCTCAGTCAGTCAGTTTGTCCGTTCATCGTCATATTTGTATCCTGAACTAATTGATACATTTCACAGAATCTAACTTGCATGATGTACTTATGCAACTACTACTTTATCTTTCATCCAAATGATTTTTGGGGTTTTCATATATTTTGACATGACAAGTACTGTCATATCCGAACACTACAGCACTCGTGTTTTCATGAGCCTAGCAAAAAAAATGTAATTATAAGTATTGAATGCTTCTTTCAGTAATTCTATACGGTTGTAAAAACGTTGGCCGTGCGCACATTTTTACAATGAAGCCTTCCGCGCTTCATACAAAATGTACTTCGGTCAAGTCTTTTACACCCCAATAAATTTACAAAAAGAGGCATTCAATTTTTAAGTGAAAACACATCAAAGATCCCAAGCTTATGACTTTGTACGCCAGACTAGAGTTTCGTCTACATAAGACTTATCAGTGACGCTATAATCCTGCAGTGTGTTACGAAATTTCTACATTTCCATTAACTACACGTTAGGTTAATGATAACTTTCAAATGTGGCATTTGAATAAGTAAATCAAAAATACCGAACCCCAACGAAACTCAAAAACGTTTTCGGAGAAGTCCATAAAACAGACAAAATCAAACGTTATCAATCAACGATTCGAGTGAAAAACAACTGCTACCTCCCCCTTTGAATGAAAGTTGATTATAGTTATATTGACAAAATTGGGATTGCACATGCACAGGGAATATTGATTGATTGTTAAATGCTTATTATTAAAAGCAGCAAATAACTCAACCATATCAAGAACTTGTACATATATGCGATTAAACAGTATGTAGGTTCTGAAAGATATGTGCTCTGGCATATAGAGGGTGAACATTTTGGACTGTAGATGGAAACCTGCGTAGGTTAGATACTTGTAACAACTTGTCTGTGTAACAGGCCATCAGGGGACCTTTTTTCATCTATTTGATCCTTCATTTGAAATGACATATACGCTCAAATCTAAACATTTGAAAGCCTTCCGTTGTGTTGTCTGCGTTTAGTTAATGACTGTTCTAAGTATCGAGCTGTTTTTCGAGGATATTCAGACAATAATAAATTTAACTTTTCACTGTTATTCACCTATATGTCACATGTAGGCAAGATAGAAGCGGTGTAATGAGATTTTTTTTAAATCGTTGCTTTTCCTAACGAATCCTCAAATGAATGCAATATTTGAGTAATGAGTAAATCTCTTGTTGAGATATTGCCAAGTTATATAAATATTATTTTCCTTCCTTTATTTTGAATCAATCAATGAGAATAATGAAATTTTGATTCAATGAATTCATTTAATCTGAACTATTTGGTGAACTTCATACCTTTATCTTTATTTTTGACAGGTGCATATGATCAGATAACTTTTGAAAGAACACGAGAAGGTAAAACTAGTAATCATTAACTAAGCTTATGTGTACTTATACAAGCCATATATAGATATAAGAAGATGTGGTATGAGTGCCAATGAGACAACTCTCCATCCAAGTCACAATTTGTAAAAGTATAAACCATTATAGGTCAAAGTGCGGTCTTCAACATGGAGCCTTGGCTCACACCGAACAGCAAGCTATAAACGGTGCTTGAGTTATTGTATTAATCAATAAGAGAAAGTTTCCCGTTTTTTTTTCTCTCACTGTTGTTGTTTTAGGCAACAAATACGAATAACAGTTGTCCTTGATCCTTGGAATATTCGATTATGGGTAAATGTTGTGCTTTATAATGCTTATATTTGTGGCATTCAGAACATGCTGAAAGTTATTACCAGAAACACAGAAATTCTTTCTTCTATTTGTTTCAGGCAACAAATTTAAATAACCATATTATATTTGTTCTTGTTTTCGCATTTCATAACTGATACTTGAATGATTCTAAACAAGGAGACACAAATATCTTCACTATACACAATACCTAGTATATAGTATTACAATCTACTGATTGTTATCACATTAATGTAAAATTATATTCCTCAGTCAGTCAGTTTGTCCGTTCATCGTCATATTTGTATCCTGAACTAATTGGTACATTTCACAGAATCTAACTCGCATGATGTACTTATTCAACTACTATTTTATCTTTCATCCAAATGATTTTTGGGGTTTTCATATATTTTGACATGACAAGTACTGTCATATCCGAACACTACAGCACAAGTTAATTATTTAAAAGAGTTATGCCCCTTGAAAACATTAATTATATTGAAAATTGCATCGTTAGCGCTCTCATTTGTACAATTCTTGCCAGATTTCTATGAAACTTATATCGTAGGTTTATTATAGCAATGTCTTGGACGAGTTCAAAAATCAGTGCCGTTCAATTATTTTGAAAAGAGTTATGTCCCTTGGAAACATTAATTATATGGAAAATTGCATTGTTAATGCTCTTGTGTGTTCAATTCTTGTCAGTTTCTAATGAAACTTGTATCATAGGTTCATATCAGCAATGTCTTAGACGATATCGAAAATCAGTTCCGATCAATTATTTTTAAAAGAGTTATACCCCTTGGAAATAAAGATTATATTATAATTGCATTGTAAGCGCTCTTATATGTACAATTCTTGCCAGAATTTTTTGAAACTTCAATCATAGGCTTATATTAGCAATATCTTGGTTAAATTTGAAAATCAGTGCCGATCAAAAAATTTTGAAAGAGTTATGCCCCTTGGAAATATTAATTATATGGAAAATTGCCATATGCGTGCTCTAATATGTACAATTCTTGACAGATTTTTATGAAATTTAAATTATAGGTTTATATCATCAATGTTCTCCAAGAGTTAAAAAATCAGTACCGATCAATTATTTTTAAAAGAGTTATGCCACTTGAAAATATTGATTATATGGAAAATTGCAATGTTAGCGCTTTCATTTGTTTAGGTCTTACCAGATTTTTATGAAACTTATATCATAGGTTTATATCAGCAATATCTTTGACACTTTCAAAAATAAGTTCTGATCAAATATTGATATTGAGTTATGCCCCTTGGAAATATAGATAATAATGGAAATCACATTGCATATACTCTGAAGCCTTCATTTCTCTTAAGATATCAATAAAAAGTTTTAAAGAACAAAAAAAAAGTGTTTTTTTAGTTATTGCCTTTGTACCTTGGATAAATAAAATATGTGCAACGCAGGGGACATTTGAACTCAGTTCTTTTATTGGCAATTTGTTTTTTTTAACTCATAAACTCCAATTTGTGCATTGGTAGTTGAATACTTGAATCATGATACTAATCAAGGTAACGAATAAAAATTGAGGGAATTGCATGAACTCAAAGTATGAAAGTATCAAGACAGATGCATTGACAGAATAAGTGTCTTCTATTATGCATAACAGTAACATCATCCACCATAAGAATCTCACACCCCTTTTAATGAAGTCTGTTTAGTGTGTAAACATGCATATTTATTGAGATATTCAAATGTTTAATAATTGGGCTGCTTTGAAATGGGATGTTGTAAATTGGAAAGTTTCAACCATATTTGTCATAGATTCTAGTCATCCATCTGTATCAATGTTAAGGGTAAGATTAAGATATGAAGTAAATTTAATTTCAAGTTCCCTGTAATATATGATATGCTAGCGTTCACTGAAATGTGTGTTATGAAGTGAAATGACATTTTCAACATATCTGAAAGTGAAATTAAAGAACTTTGCAAGGTGCTTTTTTTCTAAGGGTATATTTTGTATGAATTCTGCTCTGTATCAATACAAAACAAAGTAGACCAGTAGGGGGTGCACAGTTAGTATCCATTGGAATATAGATTGTCTGTTGGAATATCAATCTACCATAATCACCAATATGATCACAAATGGTTATTCTTATCGCAATAAAAGTAACAACATATAATACCATGTAGTATACATTTATTAATCCTTAACATATTCTATTTCAATTTTAGAAAAAGAAAAGAAAGAATATATTAGGTAAGAATATTCGATATTGCCAATGATGAATCGAACACAACAAATATATGGTACGTTTTTACTAAGATATATTTACAGCTCATTGCTAATTCTAAAACAATCAAAATTGTAGTTCATCATTTTTATATTTTGACAATTTCATCGTATCAACCTACAAAGCCACTTTATTAGAAAGACTGAGTGTTTGGTGCTACTTGGTATATGAACTAAGTATTGCATAGACAGGAGGCAATTTAACAAAACTCAATATGATTTAACACACTACAAAAAATTCAAATTGAATGATGTGCTATTGGAAAAAAATTATGTCCAAGTATATAGACAAATTGAAACAATATTAGGTATTTTATGCCCTATTGTTGAAATTAGCACAGGTTGCCAAGCATTTTTGACACATTTTCATTTTCAATAGCTTATGCTTTCATATCTCTATTTACCTCTTGTTTAGACCCTTTTTTGTGATTTGTACAATTTATTTTTATCTTTCTTCTTACAGGCAGCTGTTTTTGATGGTGTTGTTAATCGTTATATTAAAGAATATAAGTGGGGATATCAAATGCAGACAAACAAGTTGCAGAAAGTATCCATGTTTAAATTCAATTCTGTATCTTCTTTGGCAATCCGGTGATGTTGAGGTGAATCCTGGGCCTGCAAATTCCACTACATACAGAAACTGGTTGTATGAGATTTGTTCAATTGTCCGTAAAGCCATAGCAGGAGTTCCAGCTGAATGCAAGATGAATAACATTTGGAAGAAGAAACCAGAAAGCTGGCCACATGGGGAATTATATTTCGACCCAAGAAATAGCAAAGGACTGACTGTGAATAAGATTGAGGACTTCCTCAAAATTCTTATAAATTGTTGTGATGATACTAGCAAATTATCACAAGAGATCAATACTGAGATAGATACATGGAATTATCAGCAGAGTAAGGACAATGATGAACTGTTACATTTGTGTAGAATGAGGAAGTGTCTCAAGTCAATAGAACAGGTCAACAGAAGCTTGAAAGTATTACAAAGTCATTTATTAGCTGATGAAGTTCTGATAATTGAAGTTGATACCTGTATACGAATATCATTATCTTATCAACCAACTACAGATCAGCAACTTATCACACACACAATATATAGATCCGAAGCCACCCGAAAGATAGCAACTTTTCTGTGGAAAATCTTACATGGAAAAGACCCAGAAAAAAAATATGACAATATCTGGACAAAAAAGCCAGATTGGTGGCCATTGAATGTTAGCTTTTACGATCCGAACAATGGAGGTAAACGATGTGCTGAGAACGAGGATGCCATGCTTGTTGAAACAATAATTACAAAGTGTAAAGAAAATGAAATAAAATTACAGCAACCATATAAAGATATTGTCGAGGCTTGGCTAGACGATGACCAAACGTTGCTGTCAAAACTTATGTCAAGGCATACAGCTACATCTGACCTAAAAAAGGCAATAATGAAATTGCACGAAGACAGATGTCTGAAAGATTCAGAGGTTGACAAACAGTTAAGAGAGCTGGGTCTTCATGTTAAATGTGATGGAAGTATTCAAAATGCTAAGTCACAAGTAAGTATGTGTATCTGCATTGAAGGAAAACAAAAGTATATAAAGTACATTTTTAATTACCTTAATTTATTATTTAATCATTCGGGTAGAAATTCGTTCAGTTGATCTGAACAATTGAGAACTAAACAAAACCAATAAGGAATACATCATTAACTCAAAGTCTATTACTGTATATGTCTCATTCTGAAATTTACGAAGTTATAGCTATGAATAGGAACTATGCTGTGTAAAAATAGTTATTCTTTTTTGTATGTTTTAACATTAAATGTCATGGCAGTATTCAAAATTCTGACCAGGCCCGAATATGTGGTTCTATACCATAACACCAACCTGGAAATAACTCTAGCACCAATAATTCGCATGTATTAACAAATAAAAACACTAGATGTTAACACTGTCTTTTTTCCAGAAAAGGAAGATGGCGAATACAGTGAAAAAACATGAAACCAAAAGAGCAAAACAGGTAAATAAATTATAAGAAGGTGTTCCTTTTGTCATGAGAGTCGTGACTAGATTGTAGGACTGAATGACAGGCCTATGTTTCACACTCTGGGCCGGGCAATTTTGACGGACATTATTTACACGGAAACCACACTTATAAATTTATAATATATACATATATAGATTTATAATACAATAATTACATTAGATGTATGTTTCATTATAATGCTTTATTTTGATTGGCTAACATCAATCTCGAGTCATTCCGAAATTAACCTTCAGTTCAAAATGAATTGTTACATTCATGATGACACGTTTCCACAATAAAGTGCACAGGTAAATAAAAGAACAACTTGATTATAATCGTGTTTTCATGATCATAGCGAAAAAATGTAATTATAAAGTATCGAATGCTTCTTTTAGTAATTTCATAGGGTTATAAAAGCCTTGACCGTGCGCACATTTTCATACAAAATGTACTTCGTTCAACACTTTTACACTCCAATGAATTTACAAAAAGCATTCAGTTCTTAAAATAAGTCTATTTCTAGCGACATGGATATATTCAAAGACACATGATACAATATATCTCTGGTATCAAGAAATAGTGTCCTAGAACATTGTAGTTGTCTTTTGTATAATATAAAGTGAAGCATTGCGGAGCATGTAAGGATTGGATTTGAACTCTGCGACAGAGATTGATTATTTCTGACTACCTTAGTCACGAAAAAATTGCAAAACACAAAGAAATAATGTATGTATGAAATATTCAAGTTATTTTAAATTACTATTTTCAGAGTGACCATGAAGATGCAGTGGACACTACACTGAAGGAATTATTACCTGACTGTTCAATTGGTCAACTGTTAGACAACCAAAGTGATTCGTTTCTGCTGGACAAGATAAGTCAGAACATACCAGATTTCCTGGGAGATGTAGCTGACGATATACAATTTCACTGGACATAAACTGTCAAAAATACAAAGTAATTTTGGCTGAAAGGTCCCTAAATATTTTGATTTGGAAAACAGATATTGCTTATATAACAGTTTTAGTAAAATGAATACTTTGGAATTGGTTAGGTTCACTTTTCATGTATCATTTCAGTAGTATTCTACTTTCAAATATATGAATGCTATATTAATGCAAAACAATATGACAGGATGGACATCACAAACATTAAAACCTGCATTTAGATATTTTTTATAGAAATATGCTACTATAACAAAAATCACAACTCATTAATTCCAAATAACTGTTCATTGTCGAAGCCCCACATATTGTTTTATACATATGTATGTGTGTAATTGCGTTTTCATATTTTATTTTTAATGTAAAGTTCTGAACAACCTTATTGGTCCACATTTTTAATAAACTTTTATTTCATGTCTTTTTCTATCATCCACAACAGTCCCATTTATATGTATATATGTATATATATATTGTTTTAATACGTATTATTATTGACAATAAAAGTTTTGTACATAAATCCTGTCATCATTCCTGGAGTAACATTTGAATTATTCTTTTATAACCATAGCACCAGTGTTGTTGTTAATGTGTTCTCTCCAATCTAGATAGTTTGGGATCGGGATAGATCAGGTATTTAGTTTGATGTGTCATGTTCCAGAATATGACCCGCGTTGAACTTGAATTCACACTTGATTGGGTTTATCTTTCGTGTGACTGTGAGGATGCTGTTTTTTTCAGAATAAAGCTTCATTTCCAAAAATTCTTCTCGTTTTGACAGTTTCTCCGACTGGTCTGTTGTAGTTTAAGATTTGGCGGTCGTTGTCCGAGGAGATGGTCAAATAGACTAACGTATCGTCACCCAATAGTCTTTTTGTAAAGTGAATTTCTTGTGGTAGGTTATTTATGAAAAAAAGACATAGGCTGGGTTCTGAATAATGACAACAGTTAGTATACCGCTGTTCAATAGTCATAAATCGATTAAGCGAAAACAAATCCGGGTTACAAACTAAAACCGAGAGAAACACATCAATTATAACAGGAAAACAACGGAACAACAAAACACTGAACTGCAACAAAATTAAACGCCAACATACATAAAACGGACTATTTGATATCAACTGCCATATTCCTGACTTGGTACAGGATATTTTTTAAAGAAAAAATTGTGGGTTGAACTTGGTTCTATGGTTAGCCTAAACCTCCCTCTTATATGCAATGTTTAAACTGGTCCTTGTGCTACTCCAGACTACTTTTACTGTGTCTACAGCTAGTGTTCTGTTTGTGAGAAATTCCTTTCATCACCTCTTAGTCTTACTTCTAATGTCGTAATGGTGTCGTAGTTCATGTTGGAGTAGACTGTGGGACACGTTGTCTAATGCTTTTGAAAAGTCTAGAATTAGCACATATGTTTTTTGCCCATTTCCAGGTTTTTTTCTGAAATCATCAGTACCCTGAATGATTTAAGATGCGTTTCACATGACCAAGGACTTGAAGCCATGCTAGGAGAGATTATAGGGTTTTATTTGCCTCTGCATGTTTCATGATGTAATCCAGTATTATGAGCAGTTGACATTTACAAGTTTAAAATGTTGATTGTGCATTATTTTAAAACAAAATTTACAACGATGACAATGATGATGACGATGATGGTGATGACGACGATGATTACAATAAAATATTAATGTGATATGAATATGAGCCCAGGGGCGGATCCAGCCATTTATAAAAGGGGGGTTCCTAACCCAGGATAAAGGAGGGGTTCCAACTATATGTCCCCATTCAAATGCATTGAACCCCCGGAACCCCCCCCCCCCCCCTCTGGATCCGCCACTGGAGCCTGCTTTGTACTAGACACACTGATTGATTCACAAGGTTACATTCCAGAGGAAAACAAATCATTCTACTACGAAGAACATTTTTCTGACTCCAAGCTGACTGGTCTCAGTAGGTATTCTCCTAAATGATGTGTGCTAAAAGGAGCAGCACAAATACCAATTTTCATGAATTTGATCCAGTCAGGAATTTGCCCATCCAACTCAAAGGTAAGCACACAATCACGAGTTCACCAAGGCAGTTACAACTACCGTTATAACATGTTTGTTAAGAAATGATTTAATTAATAATTTATCAATATGGTTATGCTGAATATGGCTCATCATCATCTTCCTCATTATTATAACCTTCCCTACATTATGTTGGGCAAATCTGTTCTATGTAAGCCTTGTTCTTTCTGAGAAAAGAAATGAAATTATGTTGTCCAATATGGTTACCATAAATTGCTTAAAACTTTAACCAGATCCGTTCATAGATACAAAGATTTGGTTTGAAAGTTTGGCAGAACCTGTTAAAACTGAAAACTTATTACAAACAGGATAGCACATCCTAGTTTTTACGTTAATGATGTGTATTGAGCACGTAAATTTAGATGCCATCTATTGTATGTAAGAAGTATACTGATAATTGATATTTTAGTCTTAGATAAATTATTTTTTATTAGTTGCTAGCATTTAGAAGCTGTGAATACTCTCAGATCTGTACTTGGTGTTTGGTACTTTTTGGGGTTTTTTTTTGTGCTTAGAATCGATCTGATGAGTTTAGTCATTTTTAACTGATTTTTATAGATTGTTTATATGTTGTGCTGTAATACCACTGTAATACCACTGTCCCAGGTTTGGAGATGTTGGGCAATAATGTTTTTCCATCACATTCTGTATCTTTCAAGTTAGGAGCCAGTAAAAAGTGGTGATCTTTTGTTGCTGTATATCATATTTGTTTTTCATTTGTTTTGTTCATAAATAGATGCTAGTTTTCTTTTTTTAATTGTTTTTGTGTTTGGGGCCTTTATAGCTAGATATGTGGTGTGGTTTTATGAGTTATGTCTTATTGTTTGTTGTCCAAATAATTATAAAATTGCCTTTCAATACCATCATTGTCATATTCCCGAATATGACTGTTCTACTGAGTATGAATTTGCATTGCTATACGACGTGTCTTGGTATTTTTTACATCCAACATTCATGTACAGTGTAACCTGCCTAATCTGACACCCGAGTATTCCAACATCTTGCTTTAACCGACATATTTTCATGGTCCCAAAATATGCCTATCCTTGCAGAAAAAACCTGAGTATTCCGACACCCTGCTAATCCGACATTTTTTTCTGGTCCCCCAGTGTTACGGATAAGACAGGTTACACTGTATTTATTTTTGATGTTTCTGTTATGGTTAAGGTTAGATAATGTGTTATGTCTTATGGTTTGTAGTCCAAATTATTATTAAATTGCCCTTCAATACCATCATTGTCATGAAAATTGTTTGGACGAGTATTGTGAAAATAATTGTATAAAGTTCGAGATTGCATGTTAGTTATGTAAGCGAGTCACTATTTCTGATACCCTGTGGTGTCTGTCGTTGATGGAATATGTTCGTTGTTGTTCTGTGGTTTGCATGTTGTGTCGACTTTTATATTATTTGTTTGTACATTTCTCTGTGATGAATGTTCTTGTGTATGTATGTGCTGTATTTCTTTCACAAAGTGTTGTCATGTTAGCGATATTTTTTAACATTGTCAAAAAGCGGGAGGTTTGGCTAGCCATTTAACCAGGTTCAACCAACCATTTTTTCTTAAAATGTCCTGTACCAAGTCAGGAATATGGCAGTGGTTATCAAATAAATATCGTTTATATGTATGTTGGCGAATGTTTCTGTTGCACTTCAGTGTTCCTGTTGTTCCTTTGTTTTCCTCTTATAGTTGATGTGTTTCCCTTGGTTTTAATTTGTAACCCTGATTTGTTTTCTCTCAATTGATTTATGACTTTTGAACACAGGTATACTACTGTTGCCTTTATTTATCTCACTGTTGAAGGCCTTACTTAACTTCTATCAGTTACTACAAGTAGTCTTAGATCAGAATTTTGTGTCTTTTGTCTTTATGTTAGTTGTTTTTAGACTTCATGCAAATCTAATTACCAGTAGTCAAGCCTTTTCCAGATAATTTTTACAGATTTTTCTAATTTTAAGATGTAACATTACTGTCCCAGGTTAGTGGAGCTCAAAATTATGTTAAACCTTGCCTCATTCTTGAGAAGCCTGTAAATGAGTGGTTTTAGCTTGTCGCTGCCTGTCGTATTTGATCTGATTATTTATTTTTGTCCTACATCAAGCCATTGGATAACAATTTTGTCATGTCATCCCCTTTCATAGCTGACGATATGGTACAGGTTTTGCTCATTGCTGAAGGCTATAAAGTGACCTATGGTTGCTTACATCCATGTCATTTTGTCTCTGGTGGAGAGTTGTCTCATTGGCGATCATACCACATCTTCTAACTCCTTTATACTGTAGAACATCATTGCCACTATGTTTGTTACAAAATAATCAAAAATAGTTGAATATTTGCAAAGAGTCTGCAATTATCATCCTTTCAAGTTTCAAACAAGATAAGCATGCTAAATGACATATACTGCATATAATACCAACAAAAAAACAAGACAAATAAATATTATATTTAATATCACAGATCAAACAAAGTAATTATTAATATAGCACTAAGTTACACATTTAAAACATTCATTAACAAACAAAATATGGTTTTCAGGAACCTGTTTGAAATTGTATTTTTTCTTTACAGGTTCAAACTGGTCAAGTCTTATATTCCTATACAAAATAAGTGTAAAGCTCCTCTGCTTCCATTTGAATTTTATTTGACAATCAGGGAGCTTATAATCAATCAAAATTTAGAAAGCATTTCAATGTTTTTCATAATTCTTAAAATGCTTCTAAAACTGGATATTCTAATCATACCAGTTTCAGGTAAATATTTGTTTGATTTACTTTAAATTTATGATTAATGCTGGTTAATGTCTTTCAACAGTAACTAAGCAAAACAATAAACATAAAAATAACCTTTTATAAACTACACTTTGATTTTACCTTTGAAAGAGAAAATGTTCCTGGTAATTTTCACCAATAATGAATGCTTATTTCATAATACTGTGATCATAACTTTTTTTTACATAATTTTCAACAAACAAGAAATTTCTACATATATAAGAAGAACTGTGTGTCTTAACATTAAAAATTCTTTCAGTTACAATACAACTTGCATATCAAAATTCATTTAAATCTTGCAAAACATAAGTATTGTCCACATATATGCCATCATATACTGCGTATATGCTGATGCAGTTGCCACACAACTAAAATGTATGTGCATTCCTACAGACACCACATCCGAGGGCAAATTCTTCTCCAGTTGGGGGATGTTTAACATGTAAGGGACACTCGTCTCCATCCATAAGTTTACCTCTAGGTCCTGAAATGAAATAAAGAAAATTTGCAATACATGTAAGTGTCTTTGCAGATGAAACTCATCAAAATAACACATTTTTTTCAAACAAAAACTCTGTACTTTCATAAAACAAAGTTATTGAAAGTTAAAGAGTCCATGTTTTGCATAATGTGCTCATATGTAGTGACGAAAAACTTGAAAATTAAGTATTTTTATTTATCAAATAAACAGCTGCACCAGGAGTCTTGTATGCATATTAAAATTGTTGCGAGAAAAAATGGAATATAGTTAAAAGCATTAAAACAAAATAGCAGTATAATGATCCTACAGATAAATTTGCAGACTGTGACTTTTGAGATGAAGAACAGCAATAAAAGGGCTGTTCCTTTGCTTTTTATGTGTTTTTTGCTGTGCATGTACTGATTTTGGGTCATGGATAGATACCCCATATCGTTTGTTTTTCTATGATATCCTTAATGCACATAAAATTTGCCTTGAATTTAAATGTTTAAGTCCTATTATCTGGAAAAGCAAATCTGAAAATGTTTAAAATCAAACTACAGCTTGCTATCACCAATCCAAACAATAATATAAAGTTTGTAGCGATTGATTCAATTAACTAGAGTTTTCCTAGGCAACATCAATGCTGTAGTAGACTCCTGAAGTCATAAATTCTCTTTCTCTTGACAGAGAAAAACTCATATAATTTTAGATGTGTGATATGAAAAATTATTACAAAAAAAAGATCAAAGAAAAATTTAAGAAAATAGCAGTAAATGTGTTGATTGCCTACTTACCAGCAGGGCATCTTGGGAGTTCTAGTTTAGGTATATTTGTGATGCGCTGGAAGTCGTCATGACAGGCATTACAGAAATGTGTTGTACCAAAACAGAAGAATACAGCCACGGAACAACAGTAACGACATTTGTATTCCAAGAAATCTGTTCCATGCTTTGGACATACCTGAAAAAATTATTTGTTTATTAATATTGTTGTCACTTTCGTAATTGTCAATACTTGTTTTCAAAAGTATTCAACTGCACTTCAATGATGACAAACCAAAGCCTAATTCTTTATAAATAGTTTGAAAATAATATTGCTGCCACATCTATGATTTCAATAATGGTTTTCAAAAGTCATCAAAACTGTACTTCAAATCATGACCAAATATGACCCAGATATATAGTTTGACATCTTCAAAACAGTATGTGATATCAAACTTGATATTTTTAGAACCAGAACAAATTTTGGTGTTATCTTACAAGATAAAGGTGGCATTTCTGTAAATATATTCAATGCAATTTCCCATTGGAATTCCTTTTAAAGCTAAAACTGTGCCACTTTTACTATACAGTTTTGCAAAAAAATCATATTCTGGAATAGAAAGTTCATATGCACTACTAGTTTTTGCAAAGGTTAAAACATAGGGTTGTGCAGCATATTTTCAACATTTAAATGTTTTGAACTTCTAAGAGTTTGTACTTAAACTAAAATTCTGTACTAACACACCCTTCACTTTGAGATTCCTGAGAATTCAATTTGTCTGTTATACAACAGTATTTATGATGGTAAAATTCCAAAGTTGTGTCTCTACGAGATAAAACACTCATATCGGGGAACGCGTAGGTAAACAAAACAAAATTTCTATGAATATTAATTATCCTCCTGAAAGAGGCATGGTTTGTAAATCAGCTGTATTTATATAGTGCAACCTATATGGTAAATAACTAACCTGAGCCCTAGAGACGTCAGAACATCCCCCACACACTAACTCCTGTGGATCGTACTCCTCTACAGCTCCTGCCTGTTCTTCACATCTAGCCTCACCACCATAGTATGCCTGTAATTATCAAATAGCATGTCAGTTTATACAAGTGAGTTAACTAAATGCATGTACAGCTAATAAAGATTTCAACAAATGCCGTATTTCTGTCATCAAGGGTAACTTATCATTATGTTACTACATACCAAATTTCATGTTCATACAGGCATGCAGGATAGAAAAGCCTTGAAAGCTGGACATAAAATTATTGATGGATGGAATCTCATACAAAGATCTACCTAAATGATCTGACCTCTTTGTCACTGAGTTATAAAAGCAGAAAGAATTGACAGTATATAGGAAACTGGGTAAAGCAAGAAAATAGCAGAGGTGGATGCGCAGGGTGTCCACCACCTTATGAAGCTATATAATTGGTTAATACATAGATTTTTTACATATTCTACTCCTAATGCTGTTTAGTTTGGAGGCCTGGGCCCCTCTTTTTCAAAATCCTGGATGCTCTCTGAATAGTTATTCTGCTCTATACCTATCAGATGATGTGAATGTTCTAAACAATTATCTGTTATTATTGCCCACTAAACACAAAGTTTTGGTTAAAAATATGAAGTATTCAGGTCTATACGTATTTATAAAACCTTCATCCAGATACTACAATAAAAGTTTACATCTCTACATACTAACTTTGTTACATTTATAACAGACATAGTATGCATATCTATCCATAGCAAATCCTGCAGGATCTTGATAGAATCTTGCCCCTGGTGTGGTGATAGCCTCTGCCTTGTGTAGACCTTCATATTCCAGCCTCATCATGGCCTTCCTTCTGACATCCTCAAATAATTCCTGGATTGGCTTTAGTAAATCTCTTAACACAGGATGGTCAATTGTTGCCTAAAATTGTAATAGATAAAAGACATTTTTCATTTAAAGTAATTTTGTTTAGTATTATATTGCATCAGTATCCATCCAATTAAAATCATTATCTGCCTTCGTTAGATTCTCAATTTAATACTTTTCAAAACAGAAATCAGTTTAAAAGGTAAAATAAATATTCCAGTAAACAAGCATTCTGTGAGTATTGCATGGCAATACATAGTCCCTTACTGGTTACAAATTCATTGTAATGGAACAAAACTCTAACTTGATCTATAGCTTGTCATGGTGTAAACTACATAAAAATATCAAGTCAAAATCTTCAAGCATGACGAAAAAAACTGTTGAAAACTGATTATTTAAGTGAATTTTCTATGTCCAAAGACCATAACTCTGCACAAAATTATCAGACTGGAACAAAATTCCAACTTGATCTGTAACTTGTCCTGATAAAACTATATACTAATTATCAAATCAATATCTTCAAGAATAACAAACAAACCTACCACTAAATTCTTCAAACAATATACCAAACTAGAGGCTCACAAGAGCCTGTGTTGCTCACCTGACTCTACTTTGGTTTTAGAAATCATGTAAAGATAGATAAAAATCATAACAGATACCCAAATAATAATGATTGAGGCCAAATTTGGATTAATATTGGTCCCATTATTTAATAAAATATCCTGGTGGCCATCTTGAACAGTAAATCAGCAACAAAGTAGCAACACATGGTCAGCACCTCATAATGAACATTCATGCCATGTTTGGTTTCATTCCATTCAGTGGTTCTCTAAAAGAAGACATTTGTATGTATTTCCCATAGGGTCCTATGTTAAACTAAGTCCCCCGCTGTCAGCCATCTTGGATGATGGACATACTGCAAAGTAACAACACTTGGTCAGCACCTCATAAGGAACATTCATGCCATGTTTGGTTTCATTCCATTCAGTGGTTCTCTAAAAGAAGACATTTGTATGTATTTCCCATAGGGTCCTATGTTAAACTAAGTCCCCCGCTGGCGGCCATCTTGGATGATGGATCGGCTGCAAAGAAACAACACTTGGTCAACACCTCATAAGGAACATTCATGCCATGTTTGGTTCCATTCCATTCAGTGGTTATCTAAAAGGAGACATTTTGTATGTATTTCCCGTAGGGTCCTATGTTAAACTAAGTCACCAACTGGTGGCCATCTTGGATGATGGATCAGCTGCAAAGTAACAACACTTGGTCAGCACCTTATAAGGAACATTCATGCCATGTTTGGTTTCATTCCATTCACTGGTTCTCTAAGAGAAGACATTTGTATGTATTTCCCATAGGGTCCTATGTTAAACTAAGTCCCCCGCTGGCGGCCATCTTGGATGATGGATCGGCTACAAAGTAACAACACTTGGTCAGCACCTCATAAGGAACATTCATGCCATGTTTGGTTTCATTCCATTCAGTGGTTCTCTAAAAGAAGACATTTGTATGTATTTTCCTTAGGGTCCTATGTTAAACTAAGTTCCCTGCTGGCGGCCATCTTGGATGATGGATCGGCTACAAAGTAACAACACTTGGTCAGCACCTCATAAGGAACATTCATGCCATGTTTGGTTTCATTCCATTCAGTGGTTCTCTAAAAGAAGACATTTGTATGTATTTCCCGTAGGGTCCTATGTTAAACTAAGTCCCCCGCTGGGGGCCATCTTGGATGATGGACCGACTGCAAAGTAACAACACTTGGTCAGCATCTCATAAAAAACATTCATGCCATGTTTGGTTCCATTCCATTAATAGGTTCTCTAAAAGAAGACATTTTTATGTATTTCCCATAGGGTCCTATGTTAAACTAAGTCCCCCGCTGGCGGCCATCTTGGATGATGGAACGGCTACAAAGTAACAACACTTGGTCAGCACCTCATAAGGAACATTCATGCCATGTTTGGTTTCATTCCATTCAGTAGTTCTCTAAAAAAAGACATTTGTATGTATTTACCATAGGGTCCTATGTTAAACTAAGTCCCCTGCTGTCGGCCATCTTGGATGATGGACCGACTGCAAAGTAACAACACTCAGTCAGCACCTCATAAGGAACATTCATGCCATGTTTGGTTTCATTCCATTCAGTGGTTCTCTAAAAGAAGACATTTGTATGTATTTCCCATAGGGTCCTATGTTAAACTAAGTTCCCCGATGGTGGCCATCTTGGATGATGGATCGGCTACAAAGTAACAACACATGGTCAGCACTTCATAAGGAACATTCATGCCATGTTTGGTTTTATTCCATTCAGTGGTTCTCTTAAAGAAGTCATTTGTATGCATTTCCCATAGGGTCCTATGTTAAACTAAGTCCCCCGCTGGCGGCCATCTTGGATGATGGATCGGCTACAAAGTAACAACACTTGGTGAGCACCTCATAAGGAACATTCATGCCATGTTTGGTTTCATTCCATTCAGTGGTTCTCTAAAAGAAGTCATTTGTATGCATTTCCCATAGGGTCCTATGTTAAACTAAGTCCTCCGCTGGTGGCCATCTTGGATGATGGATCGGCTACAAAGTAACAACACTTGGTCAACACCTCATAAGGAACATTCATGCCATGTTTGGTTTCATTGCATTCAGTGGTTCTCTAGAAGAAGTTCAAAATGTAAAAAGTTAACGACGACGCCGGACGACGCCGGACGACGACGGATGACGGACGACGGACGCCAAGTGATGAGAAAAGCTCACTTGGCCCTTCGGGCCAGGTGAGCTAAAAAAGGAAAAAAATCCAAAATGTCATTTTGTCTTTTAAAAGTCTTTTAAAAAATTAGTTATTTCCCTTTGAACAGAAATGTACTAATTAATAAGTATTTCATCAAAAATTTAATTCTAGGGAAAGGGCTTTAACTGAACAAAGAGAAAAGCTAAAATCATGAAAATTAAACTTGACCTGTAACTTGTCCTGATAAATCAATAAACCAAATATCAAATCAAATATCTTCAAGCACGAAGAAAAAAAGTCTGGAAAACTGATTTGCCAGACTGACAAATGACAGACAGACAGACGGACAGACAGACAGACGGATGGAGTGCAAACCTAAAGTCCCCTTGGACTTCATCAATAGGGGACTAATTAAGCCTTCAAGATATACTCGTACATGTATTGTGTCTATCTATACATCATATGTTTTGCATGTATTGATCTGATATTCTTGCAAGTTTTTTTTTTGTTTAGATTTTTCAATGCGAGACTTTTCAATAATAAATTTATTTATCAAAGTGTAACATATTGATTGCCATAACACATGTACAAAGATTGTAATATTTACAAATAAAACAACCAATATCGAGCCATTAAAATCCAACTTGTGAGAATATAAATCTTTATACATGCATCATCAAAAATCAAATCTTTACATTTAATCCTTGTTCATACATGTGACAGAGTTGTCAAGTCACAACTGGAGATTTTAAAATTTTCAGCTGGAGTTTAGGACTCATAACTGGAGATTTTTTATCAACATATTTATCGCCTTTTTATGCCCCACCTAGGGGCATTATGTTTTTCGGTCTGTGCGTCCGTTCGTTTGTCCGTCCGTCCGTCAACCGCTTCAGGTTAAAGTTTTTGGTCAAGGTAGTTTTAGATGAAGTTGAAGTCCAATCAACTTGACACTTAGTACACATGTTCCCTATATGATCTTTCTAAGTTAAATGCCAAATTAAGAGTTTTGACCCCAATTTCACGGTCCACTGAACATAGAAAATGATAGTGCGAGTGGGACATCCGTGTACTATGGACACATTCTTGTTCAGTGTTCATTTTGATGATAACGTTACATATTTCCCCTTTTTTTAAGATAAAAGTATAACTATTAATGTATTCTCTCTGTATTTTTACTATGTGAAATATTTGTCAACACTAAGCTATACTATTTGTATGTGATTTATTTTCCTTTCCACATCTTTGTCATCTGTAAAGTGTTTCTCAGTCCTATCATACAATAAAATATTTGTGTTTTACAGTGTAAATCCGTTTTTCTAGCTAATATTATTAATGCCAGGTTTAACATAAAATACTCACACTGTCATTAATGATGATGATGGGGGTTTTTAATGACCTTGACTGGCTTTAAATCCCTCAGAACTGTCATTAAATAAGGTCAATACATACCTTATAAATTTCAATTTAAGCATTGAAATGAAGATAGATCTCTCAAATAATTTTCAAAATAATATTTTTTTATTTGTCCTAAAACATTTAAATCATTAAATTACCATCCTTATATGATTCTTTGTTCAATTTGTATTTTATTCATATTCTTTTATCAATTTACATTATTTTAAGGCGGGTAACTTAAAACATGATGAAACAAAGGAAGTAACCCGAAATTCCTTTTAAGTGTTTTCAAATACACAAAGCTTTTATTACATAACGGCAGTTAGCCTGAGGTAAAAATCGTTGATTAACAGTATGTTTGACACTCAAGCTGTCAAAAGAAGCCATATAATTATACAAGTTCTTTGATTTACAGGTAAAAATTACCTTTATCAGTGACACAAAAACATAATCAAGGTTGACATCGATGGTAATATAAAATAGAGACTGACAAATTTTTTGGGGTTGAAATTTTGAAAAAAATGGAAGATTTGAATTATTAACGAGAGGGATGAAAGAGGGCTTAAAAATCGGGAGATTTTGACTCCTGCCTGAAGAATCACATGTCTGCTTGTTTACTAGTTTCAAACCATAGACTGTGGATTCTTTTTATTTCGTGGGTACCATTCTTCATGAGTTGAGGAAAAATTGTTATTTTCGTGGATATTTAATTTCGTGGTTTGCCAAAAGTTTGTAAACAAGCCTATAGACAATTCATACTTCATTCAACATGTAAATTAACAGTTTCCCTATTCCAACGAAATCAACAGAATTGGTATCTCACGAATGACAATGAATGCACAGTATCTGTAAACTTCAAAATTCCTTGACAAAAGTTAAAACTGTCATTAAGTTATTTTGAAAGAGAAAAAACAAGAATGTGTCCATAGTACACGGATGCCTCACTCGCACTATCATTTTCTTTGTTCAGTGGACTGTAAAATTGGGGTCAAAACTCTAATTTGGCATTAAAATTAGAAAGATCATATCATAGGGAACATGTGTACTAAGTTTCAAATTGATTGGACTTCAACTTCATCAAAAACTACCTTGACCAAAAACTTTAACCTGAAGCGGGACGGACCGACAAACGGACGGATGGATGAACAAACGGACGCACAGACCAAAAAACATAATGCCCCTCTACTATCGTAGTTGGGGCATAAAAAAAAAACAGCTGCGCCATGAGGGCATGATACGCCCTCCGCGTTTTCAAAGAATAAAGTTCAATAACTTCTCATTGTCATATCAGAAATTTATAAAAAACTAAAGGGAGGTTATCTTAATAGATATAAATCAGTCGACAAAGTTTAATGAAAACTTTTAAAAGCATTTTTGAGTTATTGTCTGAAAACTGGAAAATCCCCCTTTTTTTAATGAATAAAACCCCATAACTCGGAAACGTAAAATCTAAAATTTATAAAAATCAAAAGAGAGCTCATGTCAATAGCTATAAACAATTCACCAAAGTTTCTTGCAAATTGCTGAAAGTTTGTGAGTTATTGTTCGAATACTGGAAAATCCACCTTTTTTTAATGAATAAAACCCCATAACTCAGAAACATAAAATCTAAAATTTATAAAAAAAAATGAAAGGGAGACATTAACAATTCACCAAAGTTTCATGCAAATTGGTTAAAGCGTTTTTGAGTTAATGTCTGACATGTTGATGACGGACGAACGAACAGACAGACGGACAACAGTATGCCATAATACGTCCCGTAAACGGGCGTTTAAAAACTCAGGCAGAGCTAATACAAATCTAATGTGGAGTTACAACCACCAATTCAAACATTTTATTCAATTGAAACTCTCAAAAGCTTACAAAGCCAGACTCTTATAGCCACTTCAAAAATAGTATAAAAATATATAAGCTACCCTTAATTTCAAATCTATACAGTACTTAAATCAGAATACATACCTTACAAATGGGACATAGCGAGAAACCAAATGTAATCCTAGGTCCAACCCATCTCTTACTTAATACATTTCTGACACAGTGTGAGTGGAAAACATGGTTACATTTCAACTGAAAAAGGAAAATATACTATCTGTCTGAAACTTAAAATAAATGTTTTCGTAAATGACATAATAATTTGAGCACTGCTATAAAAATTAAAGTGACAGTTACAGAATTTGACGATTTCAAAAATGTTTTTTGATTTACAATCAACTTTTATTCCAAAAAATGTTAAAGAATAGACAAATGGAGAGACTCACCAATTATTATATACTTCCCACTTTAAAAAGCAGGGGGTTTATCATACTAAAGCTAAATCACAGTTACTGAAAATGTGTCAATATTGAAATCATGTCTTCTTTGACTCATCTATCAGCTCCACTATCTCTAAGGAGATTTAATACTATCATATCATGAACTATGCAATGCAATATTCATAATAAATATGTGCAAAGAATTTCATTATTGAAATAAAATGGTAAAGACACATGTTTTAAATATCAATACCTGTATAGCTGGAGCAGCTTCAAGAGCTTCAGTGAAGCAGATCATGCACATGTCGTCTGCATCCTGTTTGAGAGTTTCCTGCTTACCACAACGATGTAAACATGGTAAGCATGGATCCTCATCTTTAATACCTCTACATGGATGACCACATGGCAATGTCTTTATGCATGCTGTCTTAGCATATTCCTATGAACAATAGAATAACCTTACAGTACATTTAAAAATTGGTATGCATAAACTTTAATCATATGGCATACATTGGAATCATTATAAGATATAAATCTACCGATACTGTTAGAGGAAAAATTTACTGATAATATACTCACAGATAACACTTTTACTGTTTGCATTTACTACTGAGAGCAAATTCTTAAAACCAAAGTCTTAAAATCTCATATCTCAAATATATGTGCAGTTTTGCTGCATTCCTATTGTAAGGTTCTTGATCACATATACAGAGTAAAAGGTGATTGTGTAACTCAGAAAACCGTAGTTTTGTTTTTTTCATTTTCAAAACTGAAGTTAAATTCTTTTAAAATTTTGTGCTTATTACAAAATTTTAATATATTTAAATTGTATTATACCTGACACTCTGGATCTGCACACACATTTCCTATAGCTAGTAAACCTGTATTACTGGTAGTGCCACAGAATCTACACACACCAAGACCTGCTTTGGCTGTTGCTTGTTTACCTGTCAGAAAGTATACAAACTTGTTAATTTATTGATTAGGTTCTCAAATCTATTTATAAAACATATCGATAACTAATTATCAGCATATTTTGACGGAAGTGCATTTAGTCTTCTTCTGATAAAGGAACACTGAATTGATCTTTCCCATCTAAAAAATTATCAAAATGTATTGCAAATTTATTATTTTCATTAATTTCAAATATAAAACCTTAAACCCATGCACCATAACTGGCCTTGGAAAACTACATAATCAGTTTAAACTAGTTGTGTCGGAATGACACGAATTGCCCCGTTCAATATGTGAAGGCTTTTAGAAAAAAATTCCGTATAACTGTTATTTTCATGAAATTTTCAAAGTCCAAAGCCCGTAATTTTGGCAAAAATCAGTGGAGCGAAACCAAACATGAACTCAATCTGTACCTCATCATAGTAGATTCACATACTAAATATCAGCTCAATATGTGAAGGTGTTTAGAAAAAAAGTTGGTATAATTGATTGTTGCTGAATGACGGAATGACGGACAAGGGTAAAACTGTATGGCCCTGACCACTAAGTGGCGGGGCCATAAAAAGCAATTAAAATACATTTGGAAATGCTGTGACTACTTTGAACTGTCCATAAATATTTTAATGCCTTACCCTCTCTGAATTCCACCATAGCTTTGAGTGTTCTGGAATCAGCTAAAGCCATCAACCAGAATAACTTAGTCCGACCACATCCTTCATGGAGGTCAACTTTAATGGCTTCTTCTTCTTCCTTAAATACCTGTGATATAAAAATAAGAAGATGTGGTATGATGGTAAATGAGACAACTTTCCACCAGAGACCAAATGACATAAAAGTTAACAACTATAGGTCACTGTTTAAAAAATAAAATTATCATTGCTTGTAAATTGTATGTTTGTTAATATAGTACAGTTATATGATCAGTCTATAGATTTTTGTTCATTTGCTATCCAGTAGCAAACATTTCATGCATGTTGAGGACAAATGTAATCATTATATGAGTGATCAGATAATATATTCACTTGCACAACTTAAGGTAAATACAAACTTCTTTTAGTCTATTAGATAATACTGGGGATTCATTTATTTTCGTGGGTATCATTTTTCGTGGATTGAGGAAAATTGGTATTTTCGTGGAGATTTGATTTCGTGGTTTTACCAAAGTCTGCATACAAGCCTATGTCAAAAGTAGTACTTCATTGAACATTTAAATTCGTGGTTCACCTTTACCCACGAAATTAATGAAAATTGATATCCCACGAATAATAATGAATCCACAGTATTTCATCGTTTTAATTTAATAGAATGTAATATAAACTTTAATGGTACCAATTTTATTGCACCAGATGCACATTTTATAGACAACTAATATCTCTTCAGTGAAATCCGAGGTTAAATACAAAAACCTAATTAATTCTTTGAAGAGCTAATATAACCAAAAAGGATTAAAAAAAAAGTATATCCAATGTGCTCAATTATGGTATCCATTACTGGTACTGACCTGTCTCTGATGATTTCTGTTTTTCCTGGGTAAATGTAAATATCTATCACAATCAGCACACAAGTTACCACATTCTGTACAGAGTATTATGGCTTGTGTTTCTCCATCATCATGATTGTCACAGGTTGGCTGAAATCAATATGAAATCTAGTCAATAAGAATAACATTTTCCCAAATGCAGCAATGCAACTTGTAACAATTTTCTTTTTCGGGGCAGTCATGAACAATTGTGGAATTTTGATACCCTTTTAGAATGTTTGAAGGCCATAAACAGCAAGCTATTTAAGATTTCATGATGGTTGCAGAGTAAAAGTTAAAATGATAGGATGGATATATTATGTCCTATAGGATATCTATCACAATATGTTAATGTGGTATGGAAATCAACCTAGCTTTGTATTATACCAATATCCTTAATCAGATTTTAATCTGCTTTTTTTACTTTTTTAACAATCCACATGAATTATTCCTCTATCTGGACATGTTAGTCTGCTCGAATGAAACAACATATGCCTCCCAATTCGAAAGTCTTTTGTTTGACTTAGCAATGGGATCTTGTAGGATCAACCAAACAAGCACACTATCACTATTACCACATAATAGTTAAGAAGGGATAGGTACCACATAATAGTTAAGAAGGGATAGGTACATTTAAAAGTTCTGCAAAATCGTTTTTTGTTTTCAAAGGGCCTTAACTCTTAATAAGTAATTTTATTACAAAGCAAGTATATCATGCTCAACTCATTTAGAAATTCTATAACAAAAATTATTAAAGAAGTACTAACCCTAGGCTGTCCATGTTGACCATTAGGGCTACTGACCCACTGACCAGAGGTCAAACGTTCTACATGGTCTTGGTCCAGTACACAAAGAGATGACAAGGACAACCACATCTATAAAACAATTACAAAGAATAATCATTTAAAACAAGGCATCTGCTGGTACATAATGCAAAGTGGTTTATTTTTATGAAAATCAACTTTTTAAAATTTTTAAACCCTAACTCTGATCAAATGACATGAAGAAATATTTTCAATTTTTCTAAATTGCAAATTAAACTAAAATAAACCCCTGGTAAAAATTCTGCACTGTATGTAAGTGTAATGTTCTTTAATAAAAAGCACAAGGAGTTTTATACTCCATTCCTAAATAATTTAATTGTGGATGTAACGCGTCTTCTGATTGGCTGACATTGTTTTGTTTATCCGCTCATAGACATAATTTTGTCATGTGACCATGACGTCATCAACATTTTTTCATGATTTACTCTGGTTTAAAATGGAATTTAGAATTAAATTATAAGAAATTACCGTAATATTTTTTCTGTCTATTCGAAATAACATAAAAAATGTGGTGCACACTTTAAAATAACCCGCTATGCGGGTTATTAAGTGTGCACCACATTTTTTATGTTATTTCTTCATAGACTAAAAAAATATTACAGTCATTCCTTAAATAATTAGATAAGAAGAAAAAAACAAAAGATATATTTTCATTATTTTAATTAACTATTCAGTCAATAATTTAAAATATCATATATAACTTACAGTAGGTGTTTTAACACAGGTCTGAGGAGCTCTAACACTTTCATCCAACTTAGTCAGTGCTAATATAGCTTCAGCAACTGCTGCCTTGGTAACTGTCGCCCAGGTTTCTGACAATAAACCCTGAAATGATAACATAAAAGATTTGCTTAGTTAAGAAGTACACACAGCTGATATTTTGAATTTCAAAAGGAACGAAGCTCTTCATTTTTTAAATAAGTTTTCGAATTTATAATTTTTTGGCCTTGAGCATCACTGAAGAGACATTTATTGTCAAAATGCACACCTGGTGCAGTAAAATTTGTACCTTTAATGTTATTTGCATATCAAGACATTAATACCAAGAAAGTAAAGAGAACCCTACCACATTATTAATCCCCCCACATGATATATTATAATAAGCCATCCAGTCAAAACTTTCAAATAAAATTTGAATTAAGTTCCTATGAATCCTTTTCAAAGAGTGCAGATTTTCACTATTATTAACTATGTCACAAGTACCACATCATTACAAACAATCTGTTTACCCTTGGAATAATAAAATGTTAAATAATTATCTTACAGAAGCCATATCCTGTATAAGACTGATAATCTTATTTGCCATTGCAGAATCCATCTTCCCTCTCATCCACCATCTTGATCCAGTAGAACTACAAAATATAAGTTTATGAATTCTATATTTCATGGATGGCTTCTTTCTTACTTTGCTTTCTCAGCAAAATGTGCTTTATTTGTTTACAATATGAATTCTTTATTACATATATCTAATTAATATCATGGCTTAAAATCCCTTATTCCCAATGGATAATGATAAGATTTGATGACAAACTGACCATGAGATTTAATGTAATCTAAAATTCTCTGATTTAAAAGCTCACGTGCAAACTGATATTTTGTTAATACACTGCTTTTTACAGTTATAAAGCAATCAAATGAAAGTAAAGTAAAATAGAAAACTAATACAAAATCCTAATTGGTTTCACGCGTGCAATGATATAATATAATGTGCAATCTTTGCTAAAATAAAAAAGAAGAAAGTAACACAGAAAGTGAATTTTGAGATAATGTATTTGCTTGCCAACAATCATATTTTAAATTTATAACACTAGTGCTAATTGTTGATTCAGCAAAAAATATTCCTGTGTTGTAAATATCTAATTTGATTTAAAAGTTGCCATCAAACTACATCATTAATATTAATTTTTGACAGCCTTTCTTCATTGGTTTAACAAATGTAACCAATTATCATATTATACAATTTCCACTTTAATTGAATTTCAGGGCCAAAAAGCTTCAAAAAGTACTTTTTCTTTTTCATAAATACTACACCTGTTTTACTACGAGAAAATGTCATGCAATACTGACTATACAATAACTGTATTTGAAAACTGGGTTAAACTAAAATATGACAGCACTCACTCTTTGAGGTATAATAACCAGTACTGTAAATGATTATATAAATTGATTGCTACTCAATCATACTTTCCATATCAAATCAAACAATTTATTGTTTAAAATCGTGGTCTCCATATAACTGTTAGACCTTAACTATTTTTATGGATTCTACAACACTTGATCTGATATTTTACAACACCATACAACAGTCATGTTTGTACTATGGCAACAATCATTTCTACCTTCTGGTGTCAAAATCCATGAGAGTTTAGAATGTCCTGTAATGGTGGACAAACAGGAATAAGATGTAAAGCCCTGACAATGTATATTACCTTGCAGATTTACTATCTAGTTGACATTCAGACAAGGTCATACTAGTCACCCCTTTTTGTGGACCACTGGCTTTGATTTTGGTTTGAACAGTCAAAGCTTTACCAATACAAGCCAGTAACACATCCAATATTCCTGGTTTGTTGACATCATAGACCTCGTTCTCATCTTCTCTACTGGCCAGACTAACAATACTATACTCTGATGGAGGAAGGTTAGGGACAGACAGAATACTGGCTAAGGTCTGTGGTTTGGCCTCTGGCAAGACTCTACGCAAGACTGATATAACCTGAAATAAGGAAGATACTTTGCTATCTGCTACAGTAAAGAGGTTTTGATACTATCTACCAATATTTTACATATGACTTTCTATGAACTTTAAACTGGTAAAGATAAATAGGAAGATGTGGTATGAGTGCCAATGAGACAACTCTCCATCCAAGTAATAATGTGTAAAAAGTAAACACTTATAGGTGAAAGTACGGCCTTAAACACGGAGCCTTGGCTCACACAGAACAGCAAGCTATAAAGGGCCCCAAAATGACTAGTGTAAAACAATTCAAACAGGAAAACCAATGGTCTAATCTATATGAAAAATGAGAAACGAGAAACACTTATGAACCACACCAACAAACGACAACCACTGAACAACAGGCTCCCGACTTAGGACAGGTGCATACAAATGCAGCGGGTTTAAACATTTTAACAGGCGCCAACCTTCACCCTAACCTGAAACAGTAGTGTAACATTACAACATAAAAAGACACACTATAAAATATCAATTGAAATGGTTTAACTCGATCAAAAAGACATATAAACAAGAACAAAAATGTCCATTAAATTTTCTTATCTATATTTTATTGATTGGTATTGAAATTCAGAAATTATTGGCAACTGGGTGAGTATTGCAATAATCAGAACTCATATTCTGAAATCGATACATGTATTTCTATGAGGATTTTTTTTAAATCGCAATAATTAATTTTTGTCCATTCTTCAAAATTCGCAATAATAAATGCACGCAATAATTTGTGAATTTAAAGTATATCACATACATTTTTGTCTTTCTTTCTTCTTAGTCTTTTGACCTTAATTTTGTAACTATTTCTAACATTTTTATCATTTTTTATTTGTAATATGAAATTTACAAATGTGACATACCTTATCTGTGTCATGTGTAATATGATATGTACTATATAGTTGCTTTTTCCATTACTTTTACAATTTATTTTGACCTTGAATATCAAATCTTCAAGCCCAATACACAGTTCAATATGTTTTTTTTTTATTATAAATGTGTCATTACTATGTCAGAGGCACGTTCTGATACCAAGGCTGATATGGAAAGGGGAGTGTCATGTTATTATCTGTAGGTATGTTTTTTTAAAGTACATGTTTCGGTTTATTCCCGATTGTCACACTTTTTAAAATTTTAGAGTTCTGGTTGTCCCACATGAAAAGTTCTGATTGTCCCACATTATTTTATGAAATAACATGTTCTTAAATAAACAAGGTAACTGTTGTTTATTTTGCTAAATAAACAAGAATTAATTATTAAATGTTCAAACTATTATTTAATTTCAATTTTGTAAATGTGTAAAATATTATGATTTTTTTTTTAAATCATCAGATTAATGAAATTTTGATTAAATAATATAACATTTCCGAGTTTTGAAATATTTCTATAATGTTACGTTTCATTATAAAACAAATATCCATACCGTAATTTTGATTACATTTTTTTTCTAAGTTTTTTAATAAATTTAGAGATAATGCATGTAATTTTTTAAAAAATTTAAACTTGTTTACACTGTACACTCTTCGCGCACTTGTTGATGGAGAAATTATTCTTTTAACCACGGAAGATAGAGGATATTTACATAAGATTCTTTACACTACTGAAGACTGCTTTCACCCAACGTTAGATTCATCTGAGCCCAACAACTTTCTTCATAGATTACGAAGATGCTGTCCAGAATTCTACAAGATCAATCTTTCCTGGTCTTGTGGTCATAAAACTTTTGAGTATGATTATCGTACTCAGACTTAGAATTCAACCAATCAACATGCTGTATTTGGTGTTTTGAGCACTAATTTTGAACTCCGAGTACTGAGTAAATATTTATGACCGAGAGCCCAGGCCTGGAATCACTATTAAAGGTTGTTTTTCTAATATAACCAGTGTATTTGGCGTAAAGTGCAGTCAATAAGACTCGTCGCAACTATAAAGGAAAATCAGGCTATATACGCAGGGAAGCAGTTCTTCCTCTTGTACCACATGCAGAAATAGAAGACAACTGGTTCCATGCCCATAAAGACCTGGAAAAATTTGGACTCAACATCAAATACTACTCCGTATACAGACTACGTCACAATATACTTGGTTGATAGCAACAGGCAGCTATGGAACCATTGCCAAACAGAAGGACCAAAGACGAAAAACCACCTCAAAGGATGACAAAGCAGCACGAAGAAAATGATCCAAAAACAAAACCCAAACATATACACGCTATTGAACTACCTTAAAGAAGAGCAGGCAGCAAACGAAGTGACCATCATCTAGTACCATGCAAGCCAGGAGGGTACGACCAACGAAGAGAAGAAAATACACACAACACACAAGAACTCATAGATTGTCTTCAGAATGGTTAATTTAGTGTTTTTTCAGCATGCTAACATTGCCTCTTATTTGTTACACTTGGACTTAATTGTTTGCAATCATATGTATTATGTGTGCTTTATTGTACTTAATTGTGCTTTATTGCTGTACTTATGTATTGTGTGCGCTTTGTTGTTATACCTTCTACAATATGTCTGCTTTAATGAATTAAGCTGTTTATTTTGTGTGCTTAATTGTAACTCTTTTGTACACATTTATGTAGAATTAAGTAGTGCTTGATATGTGCTATTTTATGACTTAATATATATTCTATGTTTGATGATATTCAACTGTACCTATTATGTGCAAAACAAAATATATTTATATTATTATTTGTTCATGCTTATTTCATATTTTATATGTTACATTGATTAGTTACCTGTAATTACCTGCTACACATTATAAACACAAATTTGTTACTATCACAATAATTCCCGATTGTCCCACATTTAAACTTCCCAATTGTCCCACAAAATTTCATGACTTTTTTGCCTGTAATTTCAAAAAGTGGGACAATCGGGAAGACACCCATGTTTAAAATAACATGAAACTTATTCTTTTAATTATCTTCAACACTGGTATAAATTTTGTTTTCACTTACTTGTCTTTGTATCCTAGGAGTTCCAGTGTGTAACAAACTAAACAGGTCCTGTAACAGGGGATACTGTTGTGCAAGATAAGTCCTTCCTACCCCTGAACCACTTAAAGCTAATACCATGGACAGTAGCTCAAAACAATAGGCATCCTGGTCACTGTAAACATCAAACATGCTATTAAGTTATCCTGCTTAACATACATTTGAATCTCAAACATAAACATTAACTTCTTTATACGTTGGTCTCTATGAAAATATTTGGGTTTATGGTTTGTGGTGAAAAAATATAACTGCTTGTATAAAACTTTTTTGACACAAAATTGTACCCTAATCGGGCTTGTATAGTTCGCACTGGTGTATTGTCCGCACCCCCTTCTCGCCACGAAATTTCAGGTAAAAAAACTTTTTGTAACTGTTAGAAAATGTCTAAAGAAACTCCGGTAATTTCAAATTGTGTGTGGTCCTTTGCGGTATTTTCATGGAAAAACCTGTTTTCCATCATCAAATAGATGTTGAAACTGCTTGTAAATGTTTCTAGAACACTTCACGAGTGTTAAAATGTGTCAAAATCACACAAAAAACAATTTAGAAACTTGTGTATGTTTAAACCGGAAGTTTGAATAGCACGTGTAAAAGAAAATAGATACGGTGAGAGTGTACGGAAAATCCGTACTTAATAGATATCACTAGAATACGACTTTGAAAGTAAAACAGTTCCATCCTTGTGTAAAACAATGTTTAATATATCAATCACATTAATGTTTAAAGAATCTTAAGCTAAAACAAAACACATGCGTCAGTATGAAACACCAAAACGGAACAAATAACCGATAACGTTTTGTAGTTTATACATCGTAAGCTGGTTCTCTGTTGACTGTTATACTTTTTTTGTTCCATTAAATTCAAGCAGATTCCAGTTTTCAGTGAAAAGAAACGAGAAATTTGTAGTGAAGCATTTAATTTTTTAATCTATCAGTATATATTTGATATTGAATAAAAATAACATATTACTATGGATTAGGTAAAATTATTAGTTTTGAAAATGATAAGAGCGCCCTCTACAATATCAACAAGCATTCTGTGAGTATTGCATGGCAATACATAGTCCCCTACCGGTTAAAAATTCATTGTAATGGAAGGAAATTCTAACTTGATTTATAACTTGTCATGGTGTAAACTACATAAAAATATCAAGTCAAAATCCTCAAGCATGACGAAAAAAACTGTAGAAAACTGATTATTTAAGTGAATTTTCTATGTCCAAATACCATAACTCTGCACAAAATTATCAGACTGGATCAAAATTCCAACTAGATCTGTAACTTGTCATGATAAAACTATATACTAATTATCAAATCAATATCTTCAAGAATGACCAACAAACCTACCACTAAATTCTTCAAACAATTTACTAAAGAAAAGGAAAAAAATCCAAAATGTCATTTAAAAAATGAGTTATTTCCCTTTGAACAGAAATCTACTAATTAATAAGTATTTCATCAAAAATTATATTCTAGGGAAAGGGCTTTAACTGAACAAAGAGAAAAGCTAAAATCGTGAAAATTGAAATTGACCTGTAACTTGTCATGATAAAACAATAAACCAAATATCAAATCAATATCTTCAAGCATGAAGAAAAAAAGTCTGGAAAACTGATTTGCCGGACTGACAGATGGACAGACAGACGGACGGAGTGCAAACCTAAAGTCCCCTTAGACTTCGTCGGTAGGGGACTAATAACAAACATGGTGGAACGTAAACAAACCACCTCACGAACTTGATTTTTTCTCTTATTACTTGCTTATCGTACTCTATAGTCCGCACCTTGTCTGGCAGGTTCAATTTTGGAGAATAAAACCGCGGACTATACAAGCCTTTTAACGTTATATGATAATAAATTTCATTCATTAACATTCCAATAATTTTAAAAGGATTGAATTTGTTTTCAAATTATGACCAATTCATAGCTCTAACATGCTTTAATATGAATTAAACCTCAACCCTGAAAGAAGCCATTTATCATGAAGATTTTAGAAAGAAGAACTATTGCTTTGACATGTTATAATTTATCACATTCCTCTTCATAATGGTGAGAAAATGTGAAAGAATAATAAGAAAGCTGTTTTTACACTGTAACAAACATACCTGTTTTCAGAAAGTGTAGGAGATTTACCAGTCAGTGAACTCTCCCATTCTTCTCTTATCTTGGAAGTTTCTTTTCTTATTCCTTGTACTATGTGTGAGCAAACCTTTTGAGTAAAAAAATAGATTATGTTTATATTTAGGCAAAATATTTCTATTACATCACAGTTGTAGCAATCTTAAACTAAACTGAACAATATAAGAATTATCACTGTTGACAGTATTTTGCCATTATAAAAATGTTCTTCCATAGTTTTCTCATTTGAATTGTTTTACATTTATCATTTCAGGTCCCTTTTATAGCTGATTATGTGGTATGGGTTTTGCTCACTGTTGAAGACCGTATAGTAACCTATAGTTGTTGACTTCTATGTGATTTGGTCTCTGGAGGAGAGTTGTATCATTGGCAATCATATCACATCATCTTATTTTTATATTTACAATGTATAGATCAGGCAGTCGAATATTATAATGTTTGCGGTTTCTGCGTTTTTGATTAAACAATATAAATGTTTATGTTTATATGAATATAAAACAAACATGAAGGGCTACATATGGATATTTGTAGAAGCTGGGGGTGTGAATCTAGGATTAAATATGGCTTTGGCAAAACAAAAATCTTCTTAATTTACTTTATCAAGCTTTTATGGAATGTTATAACAATTATAAATCAGCATTTAACTTTTATTATATCTTTCATACACAATATTTTACCAGCAATCATACTTAATACTTTACATTTCACTAATAATCAACCAGGACACATTTTTCACAACAAATTACTCCTAAAACTTGTGTGAACACAACCTCATACATTGAATCACAAGTACTTTGTGAAATACTTCTAAGATCAGGATCATACCTGTTTCTGTAGGTGTGATAGTTTACTTCTACTGAACAGTATTCCCACCATATGTTCCTTGAGATCATGGTCACCATCCATACTGTCTGCAGGTTCTAATGATTTCTTCCTCTCCTCACTGTCAGCTTCTTTGTCCACTATTAGTTTACCAAATACCTAAAATATTTTAATAATTATTTAATTACTCCTTTGTCACCCACTGTAGAATATTACTACATCATTTATCTCTCTGTTTACTTTGAAATGTTTTCTGTTGTGCATTCTTCTGCAACACAGGTTTGCACACTTTTCTAAAGAGTACTGTAAATTCCAAAACTTTTGTGATGTTTTTATTATTGTGAAAAATGCAACAGGATAGGTCTTGACAAAAATAAAACTTGCATTTAACATTTTAACACAATTATTGTATGCAGCATTTCCTGAAATCGATATAATTAAACGCAAATTTTTGTCCAGTACTCAACAAGAACATTAATATTTGAATCTACAGTACATCCATTACTCCCCAAAGTAATATTTCCATCAAGTGACATTTCACACAATATGAATATTTGATTGCTTGATTGCTTGGTGTTTAATGCCACTTTCAACACTATTGTGCTATTATGTGGATTTCATTTTTTATTGGTGGAGGAAGCCGGAGTGCCCTGAGAGAACCACCGACCATCGGTAGGAAAACTAACAATCCTAGTCAATTAAGATTGGAGTCGAGTGCACCTGCCACGTGCGGGTATGGATATTTGAAGCTAAACAGTTATCAAAAGCAGTTCAATTTTTTGAAAGATTGTTGTGCCATTATATTTTCATAATATCTAATACATCTGGGGTGCTGGCATCTAAAATTCTTTTTACTTTATATTAATTAGACTTTGTTCTTTATTTCATATTTTTCAGCATATCTGTAAAACAAAACCACATATGATGTCAATTTAAATCTTACAGAACGGTTTCTCAAAGGGCCATTAGCTACGAGATATAAAAACAAGAATGTGTCTTTAGTATCTTTTAGTTTTAGATGTCCCACTAGCACTATCATTTTCTATGTTCAGTGGACCGTGAAATTGGGGTCAAAACTCTAATTTGGCATTAAAATTAGAAAAATCATATCATAGGGAACATGTGTACTAAGTTTCAAGTTGATTGGACTTCAACTTCATTAAAAACTACCTTGACCAAAAACTTTAACCTGTAGCGGGATGGACCAACGGACGGACGAACAAACGGACGAACAGACGGACGAACGAACTGACACACAGCCCAAAAAAATAATGCCCCTAGGTGGGACATAAAAATTAAATTTTTTAATTTTGTCAAAATAAGCTAAGAAACCTCGCTGATGTATTATTCACTTGCAAGTGAATAATTCGACCTCATTCTATATTCATGTGATCTTTAAGTTAACCCTTTAGCTAGAGAAGGGTTAGCTTAAACTAGGCGTGTTCAGCTATTAAAATAGCAGAATGTCAACATTGAAAGTAAAACAAGGGTAAACCATTTGGTTAATAGATTCAATCCACAAAACTCATTCTTATACAGGTAAAAACAATGATTAACATATCTTTTTAACCTATCATATGAAATCATACAGACCTAGAAAAATCCAATTGCAAGTGTTTGCTATTTATTTATATCTATATTTATATTTATATCTAGTTATATGAACGGCGGCTGTCTTCGGAGGTCATCTCTGTGGTTAATTAGATAGCTACTAAAATACACACGAAATGTTGATACATATTAATGAGTCCATGTATCGTAAATTATTTATTTTAGACTTTTTATAATTTGAATATACATTTTAGTATGTTATAAATCAAATATGAGAATTTGAGTCAAATTGGTGAACATGAATTTGACACTAATGCCCCTTTAAGTGTGAATGACAGTATATTTTTTACAGTTCAAAATGAAATCTGCATGGCACATGTATTATTACTTCAATTTTTTGTTGTTGCTATCAGTAACTATTGGTTTGTTTTTTCTGTCTACATTGTTTGGTATTGAAAAATACAAATTTTACCCACAATCATAAACATTGAAGTAAGTCAGTTAAATTATCTCCATTGACCTACAGGGATGGGATGGTATTCCCTCAAGAACATCTTAAGGTTGTGTTCTATAACTGTGTGAACTGTCATCAATATCTGTCAAGCCAGAAAGGAGGAGTTGTCTAACAAGGCACATAGACAGATGGACAGACAGGCAGACACACTGGTAGATGAAAACAGTGTTTCCTATATCCCCCCAAACTATGTTTGTTTGGGTATGAAAACAAACTTTAAGAACTGTCTGCTATAAAGAATGATTTTATACCTGTGATGTCAGCATCCTGAAGACCCTAAGTGTCTCAGTCTCACAGTTCTCCTGCTGTAAATCAAGTGCACTCTTCTTGACAGAGAGGTGAATATTCTCCCCTTCCATCTCACCAAGGACCTTCACCTGCCTGACCCTCAGATTATGGTCTGGACCCTTCAATTCAAGGTGGACACATCTACATTTGGGTTCTGGTATGTGGCAACTGAGCCACCCTGTAAATCTTGTGTCCACATCAACCTAAAACATTGTATTGAATATTTTATTTATGTTAAAACAGATTAAGCTTTTTATTTTTCAATTAACAAAAAATTATACATGACTTTTGAACATATTTTAATTGCAAAGCATATTTTGTTTCATCCAAAAATACTTCCTATCTGCTTTCAAAATCATCATCGTTGAACAGAAGTCAAATTTAGATCTCAGTATGTTAGCTAGTTAATCAAGATATTTTTATGTGTCAAGTTTACTTCAAAGTTTGATCTTTAAAAAGTCAATACTGATGTTTTTATGCTTAACAATTCATAACTAAGAGGAATTTTACAAGTCAGTCCTCATTAAATGTGTTTCAAAAAATGCTGAATGGTCAGATTGCAGAAAAAAATCTAGTCAAATGTCAGTTTCAAAAGCAATTAATCCATGCAGTTAACTCCCATACTGAGGTATTCAAATATTGGCAGGTTTGTTAGGTAAGTTGATAAAAGATTTTTTGAATCAGCACACAAGTTTGCTGTTTGCAAATGTTAAAAAAAAAAACTTACCTGTTCTAGTTTTGTTAAATCATCTGCACTAGGCCCTGCATTAATTGTTATTGATGCAACTTTATTCTGGAAAAGAAAATAAGCTGTCTCTTTGAGAAATAGATATATGATGTCTATACAACTCTGAAACTACAGATTGTTTTGCAGAAAAAAGATTTCGTCATTTAATAAACAAATCAATAAAAAGTAAAGGCTTCAGATTTCTTTGTCAGTTATTAAGTATTTTAGGTGTAATACCACCAAATCATAGTATGTCACATCCGGTTGTATACGAAAAAGGGTTGAAAAAAAAATATTCCCTTGAATTTGACAGTTGTAGGAAATTAATCCTACATTTCATTGCAGTAAAAAAAATTCTGAGTCATAAACATATATCTTGGGTGTTTCAAAGCACCCTTATCTTTTTTATTTGGTGTTTCTATAGAATATTTTGGAAACTTGAGGTTACCTGGTTACTAAAGCTTGTACACAGGAAAAAAAAGGGTGAAAATTTGATTGGTTAACTTCCAGTGATGGTTATTTTCTTATATGCAATGAAATGTTATGTAAAATTTTGTCTATAGTACTGGACAGGATAAAACTTTACTCATGCCAAGTATTTCTTTATTTGAAGCAAAGATAAATTCTGCACAATTTTTTGAAAAGTGCAAACTTAAAAAAGAATGGGAAAAATAAACGGTGGTATTACACCTTTTACAGTAAAATGTATTACCTGGCAAAGGAATAAAACAATACATGTACATGTATTCTCAAAATATAAAATTATCCATGATACTATTATTCATAGAATGGTTCAATTTGATATTAAAATACCAACATTTTTAATTTTACAACTTGTCTGAGTCTGAATATGAATAAATGCAACAACTAACAAAACAATAACTAAATGCTGAAATATATATCTTTCTGGAGCACCTGAAATCACCCCAGGTTTCTGCTGGGGTTCATATTGTTCAGTCTACAGTTTTCTATATTGTGTTTTGTATACTGTTGTTTGTCTTTTTGTTGTTTTTCTTTTTTTGCCATGGCATTGTCAGTTTGTTATTGACTTATGAGTTTGAATATCCCTTTAGTATCTTTCTCCTTTTTTTTAAAGTAATTTATACAAAATTAAAGTAACTGTAATACACCTTTATATGGGACAATAATCACATGAGAACTTCATTCCATATCTCAGTAATTAAATCCCCTATAACAGGGTAAGTTCAGTACTCATTTTGTTCATTTGTTTGTATGTAAGCCAGCTCTGTGTTTCTGATAATTCTCTTTAACCAGCTCTGGATTTCGATGATTCTTTAAAATTGTTAACATTCTATGGCATTGTACAACTCTATTTCAAATTTTTTATCTAAATGATTTTTGGGATATCCCATAGCATAAACATGAACTTTGCAAAATTTCTACAAAAAATGGAGAAAAGGTACAAACTTGTGAGCTCTACAACAATTTTTCAAGTAGCTTTTAATGCAAACCTCTTCATGTTTTGCCAAGTCCTTCATCAAACATTTGATGGTTGTCCAACTTTAAATGAAGAACATCAACAGAAGTTCTTTTCCTTTGCTTTTGGTGTTGTCAAGTGTATGTAGGGATTTTGTGTCAGGAATTAATACACTATATCCTTCCTTTCCATTAGTACTAACTGCTAAATCTCTGGTATTGTCTATGTGAATGTAAACCACCTTAGGGAACGCCTTCATAAAACATGTGATGGTAACCTGACTCAGTACTTACTGCTAAATCTCTGGTATTGTCTATGTGAATGTAAACCACCTTTGGGAAGGCCTTCATAAAACATGTGATGGTTACCTGGCTCAGTACTTACTGCTAAATCTCTGGTATTGTCTATGTGAATGTAAACCACCTTAGGGAAGGCCTTCATAAAACATGTGATGGTTACCTGGCTCAGTACTTACTGCTAAATCTCTGGTATTGTCTATGTGAATGTAAACCATCTTTGGGAAGGCATTCATAAAACATGTGATGGTTACCTGGCTCAGTACTTACTGCTAAATCTCTGGTGTTGTCTATGTGAATGTAAACCACCTTTGGGAAGTCCTTCATCAAACATTTGATGGTTGTCCAACTTTAAATGAAGAACATCAACAGAAGTTCTTTTCCTTTGCTTTTGGTGTTGTCAAGTGTATGTAGGGATTTTGTGTCAGGAATTAATACACTATATCCTTCCTTTCCATTAGTACTAACTGCTAAATCTCTGGTATTGTCTATGTGAATGTAAACCACCTTAGGGAACGCCTTCATAAAACATGTGATGGTAACCTGACTCAGTACTTACTGCTAAATCTCTGGTATTGTCTATGTGAATGTAAACCACCTTTGGGAAGGCCTTCATAAAACATGTGATGGTTACCTGGCTCAGTACTTACTGCTAAATCTCTGGTATTGTCTATGTGAATGTAAACCACCTTAGGGAAGGCCTTCATAAAACATGTGATGGTTACCTGGCTCAGTACTTACTGCTAAATCTCTGGTATTGTCTATGTGAATGTAAACCATCTTTGGGAAGGCATTCATAAAACATGTGATGGTTACCTGGCTCAGTACTTACTGCTAAATCTCTGGTGTTGTCTATGTGAATGTAAACCACCTTTGGGAAGGCCTTCATAAAACATGTGATGGTAATCTGACTTGGTACTTACTGCTAAATCTCTGGTGTTGTCTATGTGAATGCAAACCACCTTTGGGAAGGCCTTCATAAAACATGTGATGGTAATCTGACTTGGTACTTACTGCTAAATCTCTGGTATTGTCTATGTGAATGTACACCACCTTAGGGAACACCTTCATAAAACATGTGATGGTAACCTGACTCAGTACTTACTGCTAAATCTCTGGTATTGTCTATGTGAATGTAAACCACCTTTGGGAAGGCCTTCATAAAACATGTGATGGTTACCTGGCTCAGTATACGTACTTACTGCTAAATCTCTGGTATTGTCTATGTGAATGTAAACCACCTTAGGGAAGGCCTTCATAAAACATGTGATGGTTACCTGGCTCAGTACTTACTGCTAAATCTCTGGTATTGTCTATGTGAATGTAAACCACCTTTGGGAAGGCATTCATAAAACATGTGATGGTTACCTGGCTCATTACTTACTGCTAAATCTCTGGTGTTGTCTATGTGAATGTAAACCACCTTTGGGAAGGCCTTCATAAAACATGTGATGGTTATCTGACTTGGTACTTACTGCTAAATCTCTGGTGTTGTCTATGTGAATGCAAACCACCTTTGGGAAGGCCTTCATAAAACATGTGATGGTAATCTGACTTGGTACTTACCGCTAAATCTCTGGTATTGTCTATGTGAATGTAAACCACCTTTGGGAAGGCCTTCATAAAACATGTGATGGTTACCTGGCTCAGTACTTACTGCTAAATCTCTGGTATTGTCTATGTGAATGTAAACCACCTTAGGGAAGGCCTTCATAAAACATGTGTAGGTTACCTGGCTCAGTACTTACTGCTAAATCTCTGGTATTGTCTATGTGAATGTAGACCATCTTTGGGAAGGCCTTTATAAAACATGTGATGGTAATCTGACTTGGTACTTACTACTAAATCTCTGGTGTTGTCTATGTGAATGTAAACCACCATAGGGTAGGCCTTCATAAAACATGTGATGGTTACCTGACTCAATACTTATTGCTAAATCTCTGGTATTGTCTATGTGAATGTAAACCACCTTTGGGAAGGCCTTCATAAAACATGTGATGGTAACCTGACTCAGTACTTACTGCTAAATCTCTGGTTTTGTCTATGTGAATGTAAACCACCTTAGGGAACGCCTTCATAAAACATGTGATGGTAATCTGACTCAGTACTTACTGCTAAATCTCTGGTATTATCTATGTGGTCCGAGTACACAGTTATCGTCCTTTGATTTTCGTTGTCCACAAATATAGTCCCTAGTGTGGACAGTGTGTTACTTGCCAGTTTTTTTTATACCCCTTCCAAATTTATTTCTCCATGTTTTATGCCTCAAATAGCAAGTAGGGGGGTGAAATTACACTGTAAAAAAATTTGGGTCATGAATTTTAAAGTAAAGTAGTGATTTGGTCCAGCTGAAAAATGTTAAAAATTAGCACTTCGGAAGCTGTCAAAAGATTTCAAGACCCCCTTAACATAAAATTGTCCATATTTTGAGTTAGAGCCGATGAAGTTTTCTATAATTTTGATATAATTTGTCCCAAAAGTAGTACAACACACTGTAAAAATATTATTGAGAAAGCGCATGTGGGATTTTTTTAATTTTCATTTATTGTCTAAAAGAAATGCACTACGAAATAACTGTGTACTCGGACCTAAGAGGTGAAATCAGTAAATATAGAATCTGTACTTTGGCAACTTCCCTGAATGATTTGATGGTGTCAATTTGTCAAATAGCATGAAACTAAAGGATTTAAACTTTTATTTGATAGAATATCTGCAAAAATGACCAATTTTGGCATTATATGGTCAAAATAAGCATTTCATAGCTTTTTCAATTTTGATGCATTAGTGGCATTCTGACTTTCTATCTGACAGGTTTTCATGTGTCAATATTTGTGTTTCTATGCTTTAATCCAGTTGTATTACTCATTTCTGAACTCTGAATCTACAGAAAAGAAGATTATATGTGCAAAATGTGTTGTATAAATGACCCTCGTCTAATGCCTTGTTTGGATCAAGTTAATTGTGAGGAGCTTGGTACATAAAAGTTGAAGCCCATAATAAAGACCTCACTAAATTTGTATAAAAAGCACTTTACAATGTCTTCTGTACCTGTTTCATTTCATATAATATCTTTCTTTTCCTCTGTAGGATAGCAAGAGGTTCAAATATAAGCCTGTTGAGACTAAAATTGCATGCAAGTTTTTCACTAAAAAGTGAAAAATCTTTGTGTCAGACTATACTGTCTGCAAAAAAAGTTGAATGCAAGAGTCTTTTTGTGCTCAGATTTATTGTATCATGTCACCTGAGTATAGAAATGATAAAAAAACACAAATTTTTATTTTCTATAGCTTCAATATGCATTTTTAAATGTAAATATGTGCTACGGCCTAAATTGACCCTAAATTATTTTCAGTCTTACTTGGCCTAAGACCCTTTAAAACTAATATGATATGTTACTTGTAATTTTTCTTTCCATTTAAAGTACATTAAATACATATGTAAGGATTATTTATAACCAAAAAGCTTCACAAATTTAAAATTGCTGGAAAATATTACATCTTCATGTAAGGCCTCCCTTCATTGGAAAATCTCCATTTTTAGGCACAGGCTCATATAAATTTGACTTTTGAATAGTTATGCTAAGTCTGATAAATCAAATGAGTTCTCTATTGCTTTTAATACATGATATATTATATATTAAGGCATTTAAAAAGTATTTTTTTGCAATATTTTAATTTTTAAAGCCCCAAATGTTGATAGTTGAAATTTTTCAATTTTAACGTCAAAATTTAACACGCAAAGTTGAATATAGAATTTATCATATTGTCTATTATATATATCCTATTGCCATGAAACTTTGTAAGCAGTTTTATAATTTATTAAGCTTTGGTCATACCAAGTTTTATTAAGATTGGTCAACTTTTTCTATCCTATTAGGTCCGAGTACACAGTTATCGTCCTTTGATTTTCGTTGTCCACAAATATAGTCCCTAGTGTGGACAGTGTGTTACTTGCCAGTTTTTTTTATACCCCTTCCAAATTTATTTCTCCATGTTTTATGCCTCAAATAGCAAGTAGGGGGGTGAAATTACACTGTAAAAAAATTTGGGTCATGAATTTTAACGTAAAGTAGTGATTTGGTCCAGCTGAAAAATGTTAATCAAAGCGTGAAAGCGCTGTAAAGGCAGTTAATTACAGGTTGTGTGTATTTTTAGTCCAGTTATATCATTATCTTGCATAGTACAGTGTACTTATCAGAGGTGGCTTTCAGTATTTAAGATTTAGAGTTCTCTAATGATATTGAACAAGTTTTATGAATGTTATATTCTGAGCACTATATGAAGGCGATTGTTCTCACTTGTTTATGAACTAGTGCATTATGTCCAGTTTGTACCTTTTTTATCTATGTTTATAGTCAAATTAGTTATCAAAGGTACCAGGATTATAATTTAATACGCCAGACGCGCGTTTCGTCTACATAAGACTCATCAGTGACGCTCAGATCAAAATAGTTATAAAGCCAAACAAGTACAAAGTTGAAGAGCATTGAGGACCCAAAATTCCAAAAAGTTGTGCCAAATACGGCTAAGGTAATCTATTCCTTGGATAAGAAAATCCTTAGTTTTTCGAAAAATTCAAAGTTTTGTAACAGGAAGTTTATAAAAATGACCATATAATTGATATTCAAATACTGTTTAAAAAAGTTAGGCATTTTCTTTTTAGTAATAAGTAAATGTTATCAACTGTATTTTATTCAACTCTGCAAATGTGGTTTGTTACTGGTAAGTATGGATGATAGTTGTTTCATTGGCAATCATAACACATCTCCTTATTTATATAATGATCTACATTGTATATTCAACGACCTCAGGTACAAAAAAAGTGTATGTAACTAAACTGTGATGGGAAACCTTTGACTTCTTTCTATTATATAAACTTTTGATTTGGTACCATAGAACTATGTAGAATAAATGTACATTGCAACATGTCAACTCTTTCAATGACAATACTTTTTTAGAAACTATAACTCCAAGCAAAATTATATTTCAAAGTTTCAAGTAATTTATGAATGAAAAAAGGAGTTCTTAATTAAGAAATAAACTGATTCGCTGAGCTCAGCTGGATACACCCGCAGAGGTCCAACCTTGAACAGTTGGGGCAAAAATGGACACAATATTCAAGCTTGATACAGGTCTGAATTTGGATTGTAATTAAATATTTGACATATTTTAGTTTCTGAATAAATGTAGTCAAAGAACTTGAAATAGGTTATATGAATTGAATTTATATTCAAATAAAGATTTCTTGCTGTTGTGCAATAAACTGTGCTGTTGCGCAATACTTAATAAATCTGTTGCCAGACTATAAACAAATAAAGTTCAATTTCTTCTCAATGTCATATTTGAAATTTATGAAAATCTATAGGGAGATTACATCAATAGCTATAAATAATTCACCAAAGTTTCATGCGAACTGCTTAAAGCATTTTTGAGTTGTTGTCCAACAACAGTGCACACGCTGAAATGTCTCGCCTTCTTTACTAATCACTGATATTATGTTGATAGTCCTTAATATAAGCTTTATTACAACTGTCACATAAACTTAACATTAACCAAGAAAACTAAACATTGACCAATGAACCATGAAAATGAGGTCAAGGTCAGATGAACCATGCCAGGCAGGCATGTACAGCTAACAATTCTTCCATACAACAAATATAGTTGACCTATTGCTTATAGTTTAAGAAAAACAGACCAAAACACAAAAACTTAACAGAGCAATGAACTGTGAAAATGAGGTCAAGGTCAAATAAAACCTGCACGACTGACATAAAGATCATAAAATATTTCCATACACCAAATATAGTTGACCTATTGCATATAGTATTAGAAAAAAAGACCAAAACTCAAAATCTTAACTTTGACCACTGAACCATGAAAATGAGGTCAAGGTCAAATGACACCTGCCAGCTAGACATGTACATCTTACAATCATTCCATACACCAAATATAGTAGACCTATTGCATACAGTATAAGAAAAACAGACCAAAACACAAAAACTTAACTATAACCACTGAACCATGAAAATGAGGTCAAGGTCAGGTTGGACATGTACACCTTACAGTCCTTCCATACACTGAATATACTTGACCTATTGCTTATAGTATCTGAGATATGGACTTGACCACCAAAACTTAACCTTGTTCACTGATCCATGAAATGAGGTCGAGTTCAAGTGAAAACTGTCTGACGGGCATGAGGACCTTGCAAGGTACGCACATACCAAACATAGTCATCCTACTACTTATAATAAGAGAGAGTTTAACATTACAAAAAATGTTAACTTTTTTTTCAAGTAGTCACTGAACCATGAAAATGAGGTTAAGGACATTGGACATGTGGCTGACGGAAACTTCGTAACATGAGGCATCCATATACAAAGTATGAAGCAGCCAGGTCTTCCACCTTCTAAAATATAAAGCTTTTAAGAAGTTAGCTGACGCCGCCGCTGCCACATCACTATCCCTATGTCGAGCTTTCTGCGACAAAAGTCGCAGGCTCGACAAAGACTGGAAAATCCCAATAAAACCCCATAACTCAGAAATGTAAAATCTAAAATTTATAAAATTCTAAAGGGAGCTTACGGATTGATAATTTAGTCTTAGATGCAAGATTTTTTTATCAGTTGTTAGTGGCTTTGAACTAGCTGTCAGTAACTGCGAGTACTCTCAGATCTGTACTTAGTGTCTTTTTGTTGTTTGGATGTACAACTAAACGACCACGTCCACTTGTATTTGTATTTATCCATCTGATGAGTTAAGCCTCTTTCAACTGATTTTTATAGTTTGTTCTTATATTGTACTGTTACACCACTGTCCCAGGTTAGGGGGAAGGTTGGGATCCCACTAACATGTTTAACCCCGACACATTCTGTATGTTCATGTATGTGCCTGTCCCATGTCAGGAGCCTGTAATTCAGTGGTTGTCGTTTGTTTATGTGTTGCATATTGGTTATATTCGTTCATTTTTTGTACATAAATTAGGCTGTTAGTTTTCTTGTTTGAATTGTTTTACATTGTCATTTCTGGGCTTTTTATAACTGACTGTGCGGTATGGGCTTTGCTCATTGTTGAAGGCCATACTGTGACCTATAGCTGTTAATTTCTGTGTCATTTGGTCTCTTGTAGAGAGTTGTCTCATTGGCAATCATACCACATCTTCTTTTTTGTATTTACATCAACAGATATAAACAATTCATCAAAGTCAAGGTGAGACAACAAAACTTAGTGGTAAGATCTCTGAAATTTTTTACACGGTACAAGTTTTTCTCATTATTGGAGACTGTAAGATGACAGTAACACCTGTAACTGCTTAAACCCATTTCGTATGCACTTTAGTTCGATAAACTCACTGAATATCATACCACATCTCTTATTTTTATATGCATTACAATTTACATGTGCATGTAATTATAAATATATATATATATCAGAACAAAATTCATTGCGTCACTTTTATTTCTGCATCCTTTGGCACAATACAAGTTCTAAAATTACACAACATAAAACAACTAAATGTTATTTCAGATGAAAGTTTTGTTTCAGTTCCATTCATAGGATTTGTGAGAATTTTGTATGTTTTGCCAAGTCCAATAATTCGCTCTATGTGCACATGTTAATTGGAGACTTTTCTATCCCGTATAAGAGTTTTGGAACTAATTCTGTTTCTTTTTTTGAAAAAAGTTAGCAAACAAATCTTGCACATTTAAACCTTTGTCTGCCATCACACTGTCACCTGGATCACATAATTGAACTACATTTTGTATTCTACATCTTTCAACTATTTCATAGTCACTGGTAGAACCAACATATGCATTAGAGACATAGTTGACTAAACCACCAGGCGTCGAACATTCAAGTATTTTCAGTGTTTCTGTTTTTATATGATGAAAAGGTTGCCTGAGCTCTAGGAGCTTTAGGTTTTATCACGGGATATTCTGTGCTGTCAATAATAATCAAAGTCGTAGGAAACTTTAATTTGAAGTTGGATGGCGAAAAATGCCTGACTAAACCACTAGATGGCCAAGTGTTAGCCTCACACCACTGTTGAGGCATAAAAACAATCCATGTATACACAATATTCTTAACACTAGATTCAATCTAGAATCTAGAAAGTTCAAAGTTGGTTGTATAATGCCTCAATTTCATCAAAGTCATAAAAAAACTGATTTTCAACTGACACCCTATCAATTTGAAAATATATGTATCTCAAACAATGTGCTGTTGGACCAAGTGTGGTCAAAACAAATAAAAATTTAGTGTACAACTCTAAACCGGTATAAAAATGCATGGCTGTGTCACGTGTCTTCATTTCAAAATTCTCTGCTGAAAACATAGACATTGATGGTGTTTGCGTAATTCCATCTTTGAAGCTCAACATTAGCTCGGCAGTTGGTGGTGGACAGTCATAAATCCTTTCTGCAGTATGAATGACTTCTTCAGGAAAACCAACTTTACAATCAAAACTTTCCTCTAGATTTCTACTACAATATTCATCAAGTTTAGTTCTTTTGTTTTCACAGGAAACTGCCCTGATTTTTCTTTTTGCGGACGATTCAGTCTCTTGCTTGGTCCAGGAAAATAGGCTGGGAATGGCAGTAGACTTAAGTCTCTGTATGGTGGGTTTGCGCCCTGAAAAAGGTTATAAAACATTAGATTTTTGATAATTAAATGAAATTCCATTAGCAATGTATACTTTGTATTACCTGGCGAAATATTAACTAGATTTATTCATTACAATCTGGATAAAACTATGTTTGCCTGATTCAATGTATGTTATGTAAGTCCAAAGGACAAACAATGAGAGACTTATGCAACAAACGTACATTGTTTGTACCTAAATAACTATAATATAGATGAGAGCATGTCACTGTTTTGTTCCTGTTAACATTGTCATTGATATTTTTCAAGAAAGTCTATGAGGCATAGCTTATGCATTCCTGTCATTACTACATTAGCATAATTACTGCTAAAATAATTCTCAGTATGATATACCTCTTGTAAGAAATCATTATAATTGTAGCAATCACCAAAAAATCTCACACAGATCACATTGAATCGTAATCCAAAAAATTATGACGTCTTGAATTAACCACCCCCTTTTATTCTAAAACGATAATTGCGGTTGTAAACATACTTTGGTTTATTCGCATGGCGATTACATATATAACTATATATTTCAAAAAGAAAATAGAGTTTTACCATGAATAGTTTCCTGCACGTAGTCTTTTTCAGTAAAATGTGCCCTGCAAACAACAGCTGATTGAGATGGACTCCACGATTTCATCGTGTTCTTGTCCAATCTACGTTTGGGCCATGGCGTTGATCCAACTTTTCCTTCTTTTTAAGTCATTTGGAAATGCATGTCCTCCTCTTAAATGACATCCAGGAACACAACAACAAGTACTTGGCATCGATAATTAATTAAAAATGTAACTGAAATAGTTGCAGTGCAGAAACCGGAACTGGAGGAACAGGATCGGCTACCATGGCGCCACCTATTCAGGAACGATAATTTGCTACTTTATATAACTGCGAAATAACAATAACGTTAGACGGGTTCACGTGCATTGACAGAAATGCGCTTTAAATTGTATAATATAATTAATGTTCAGTCGACTCTTAATTATTATATCAAAGACAGAAATGATTTATAAACATCTAGATTGCAGATAACACTCGAAATTAACCCGAGCTCTTTCCACACGGAATTCAAATAATTCTAGTTTGTCAATCGGTTGACTGCTTATAATGCAAAATACAAATATATCAAAAGTTTTTAAAACTAACAAAACACAATGATCGTTTCTCTATTTCCCAATGTAAATGAAATGAAACAAAAAACATTTTATATCACAATAAGAAGAGGAGAGAATTCAACATTTCCGGATCTACTTGGAGCCTAATGACCCCCCACGTAGATAAGTTGGATATCGCGGAAGGAAGGATTAACCCGGCACCTAGAAAGGCATTAAAGCACTGCCTTTAAAAATTAGCACTTCGGAAGCTGTCAAAAGATTTCAAGACCCCCTTAACATAAAATTGTCCATATTTTGAGTTAGAGCCGATGAAGTTTTCTATAATTTTGATATAATTTGTCCCAAAAGTAGTACAACACACTGTAAAAATATTATTGAGAAAGCGCATGTGGGATTTTTTTAATTTTCATTTATTGTCTAAAAGAAATGCACTACGAAATAACTGTGTACTCGGACCATGTGAATGTAAACCACCTTTGGGAAGGCCTTCATAAAACATGTGATGGTAACCTGACTCAGTACTTACCGCTAAATCTCTGGTATTGTCTATGTGAATGTAAACCACCTTTGGGAAGGCCTTCATAAAACATGTGATGGTTACCTGACTCAGTACTTACTGCTAAATCTCTGGTATTGTCTATGTGAATGTAAACCACCTTTGGGAAGGCCTTCATAAAACATGTGATGGTAACCTGACTCAGTACTTACTGCTAAATCTCTGGTATTGTCTATGTGAATGTAAACCACCTTTGGGAAGGCCTTCATAAAACATGTGATGGTTACCTGACTTGGTACTTACTGCTAAATCTCTGGTATTGACTATGTGAATGTAGACCATCTTTGGGAAGGCCTTCATAAAACATGTGATGGTTACCTGACTTGGTACTTACTGCTAAATCTCTGGTATTGTCTATGTGAATGTAGACCATCTTTGGGAAGGCCTTCATAAAACATGTGATGGTTACATGACTTGGAACTTACTGCTAAATCTCTTGTATTGTCTATGTGAATGTAGACCATCTTTGGGAAGGCCTACATAAAACATGTGATGGTAATCTAACTTGTTACTTACTGCTAAATCTCTAGTATTGTCTATGTGAATGTAAACCACCTTTGGGAAGGCCTATATAAAACATGTGATGGTTATCTGACTTGGTACTTACTGCTAAATCTCTGGTGCTGTCTATGTGAATGTAAACCACCTTTGGGAAGGCCTTCATAAAACATGTGATGGTTACATGACTTGGTACTTACTGCTGAATCCCTGGTATTGTCTATGTGAATGTAGACCACCTTTGGGAAGGCCTTCATAAAACATGTGATGGTTACCTGACTTGGTACTTACTGCTAAATCTCTGGTATTGTCTATGTGAATGTAAACCACCTTTGGGAAGGCCTTCATAAAACATGTGATGGTAACTGATTTAGTTTTGTTCCTGTCCTCATCTCCACTCTCCCAGAATGTTTCTGTTGAGTTATCTAAATAAAAAGAAGAAAAACATAAGGAAAAAAAAGTTCATATTTTTATCTTCTTTATTAATATGACAATTTTAGTTATTAAAATATGACAAATAATCTGACATTAATCCTATATTCATTTTATAACAAGAACATACACCCTTGTAACATTGCTGAATGTTTCCAAATCTATAAATACATTCACAGACTCATTTGCAAAGTGTGCTTATTAGTTTGGCAAACCTGTACAAAAAACTTTCTATGTGCTTGGAAGCTTGCTCCAGAATTGACAAAAACAAATTGATAGGGAACCTCCATCCACAGAATGAAATAGAATATGTCAATATATTGCTGATCGTTTTGTTTTTATCATAAGGACTCCTGTTTTCCTCGCCAATTTAACTCAATGTCATTTAATTGTATGAAGGTACAGAAAGTGTTACTAAACTCCATAAAACAAACAATGTATGTACATTTCTATTCATAATAAGTCTAAAATTAGATACTTGTGTCATTCTTATATCACTGCATCCCATCCAATGTTCTCAATTTCAAAAAGTATGAATATTAGAACACTGACAATAATGCAATATTAATCAATGTGATATATGTCATTTTTATAGAGTATTGATAGTAAAAATTAAGTAAGTTTTGTTTATGGGAATGATCATCAAGCCACATTGTTCACATTTATTTCAGATTACCCCTTGTTGTTAATTGTTCCTCATTAAATTTTTATGTCAAAATCAAAATCACAAGAGCAAATAAATGGTATGGTGTCATAGAGCAAAAGTGGTTTTTGTATGATGTCAATAGGTCTATAATAGCTTACCTGTGAGACTGGATATCATTGCCTGTTTACTAGAAACCTTGATATCTGCTGATGGTGGTCTATAAAAGCTAACCTGTGAGAATGGATATCATTGACTGTCTACTAGAAACCTTTATATCTGCTGATGGTGGTCTATCATAGCTTACCTGTGAGACTGGATATCATTGCCTGTCTACTAGAAACCTTTATATCTGCTGATGGTGGTCTATAATAGCTTACCTGTGAGACTGGATATCATTGCCTGTCTACTAGAAACCCTTTATATCTGCTGATGGTGGTCTATAATAGTTTACCTGTAAGACTGGATATCATTGCCTGTCTACTAGAAACCATGATATCTGCTGGTGGTGGTCTATAATAGCTTACCTGAGAGACTGGATATCATTGCCTGTCTACTAGAAACCTTAGATATCTGCTGATGGTGGTCTATAATAGTTTACCTGTAAGACTGGATATCATTGCCTGTCTACTAGAAACCATGATATCTGCTGATGGTGGTCTATAATAGCTTACCTGAGAGACTGGATATCATTGCCTGTCTACTAGAAACCTTTATATCTGCTGATGGTGGTCTATAATAGCTTACCTGAGAGACTGGATATCATTGCCTGTCTACTAGAAACCTTTATATCTGCTAATGGTGGTCTATAAAGTTTACCTGTGAGACTGGATATCATTGCCTGTCTACTAGAAACCTTTATATCTGCTGATGGTGGTCTATAATAGCTTACCTGTGAGACTGGATATCATTGCCTGTCTACTAGAAACCTTTATATCTGCTGATGGTGGTCTATCATAGCTTACCTGAGAGACTGGATATCATTGCCTGTCTACTAGAAACCTTTATATCTGCTGATGGTGGTCTATAATAGCTTACCTGAGAGACTGGATATCATTGCCTGTCTACTAGAAACCTTTATATCTGCTGATGGTGGTCTATAATAGCTTACCTGTGAGACTGGATATCATTGCCTGTCTACTAGAAACCTTGATATCTGCTGATGGTGGTCTATAATAGCTTACCTGAGAGACTGGATATCATTGCCTGTCTACTAGAAACCTTTATATCTGCTGATGGTGGTCTATAATAGCTTACCTGAGAGACTGGTAATCATTGCCTGTCTACTAGAAACCTTTATATCTGCTGATGGTGGTCTATAATAGCTTACCTGTGAGACTGGATATCATTGCCTGTCTACTAGAAACCCTTTATATCTGCTGATGGTGGTCTATAATAGTTTACCTGTAAGACTGGATATCATTGCCTGTCTACTAGAAACCATGATATCTGCTGGTGGTGGTCTATAATAGCTTACCTGAGAGACTGGATATCATTGCCTGTCTACTAGAAACCTTTATATCTGCTGATGGTGGTCTATAATAGCTTACCTGTGAGACTGGATATCATTGCCTGTCTACTAGAAACCTTGATATCTGCTGATGGTGGTCTATAATAGCTTACCTGAGAGACTGGATATCATTGCCTGTCTACTAGAAACCTTTATATCTGCTGATGGTGGTCTATAATAGCTTACCTGAGAGACTGGATATCATTGCCTGTCTACTAGAAACCTTTATATCTGCTGATTGATTGATTGATTGTTGTTTGCTTTACGCCGCATTAGCACAGAAAGGCTATATCGCGGCGAGAGCTAATTCGAATATTATAACAATTTAAGGTATATTTTTAAAATCAGACAAAAGGTCTTTCAATAAACTAAAATTCTAGACTAAAGCAAATTGATTATTTACAAATAAAAATCAACACTAAGATAACGTGATAAAAATTAAAATCGTTTTAAATATAACAACATTTTTATATTTTATAATATATTCCAATTTCTTTTAAGAATGAAACAATATTTGTAAATGGAATATTATTAAATAAATCATACATATTATTGACATTGAAATGCTTCTTCCGAATATCAGCAAAGTCTATATCTGCTGATGGTGGTCTATAATAGCTTACCTGTGAGACTGGATATCATTGCCTGTCTACTAGAAACCCTTTATATCTGCTGATGGTGGTCTATAATAGTTTACCTGTAAGACTGGATATCATTGCCTGTCTACTAGAAACCATGATATCTGCTGGTGGTGGTCTATAATAGCTTACCTGAGAGACTGGATATCATTGCCTGTCTACTAGAAACCTTTATATCTGCTGATGGTGGTCTATAATAGCTTACCTGTGAGACTGGATATCATTGCCTGTCTACTAGAAACCTTGATATCTGCTGATGGTGGTCTATAATAGCTTACCTGAGAGACTGGATATCATTGCCTGTCTACTAGAAACCTTTATATCTGCTGATGGTGGTCTATAATAGCTTACCTGAGAGACTGGATATCATTGCCTGTCTACTAGAAACCTTTATATCTGCTGATTGATTGATTGATTGTTGTTTGCTTTACGCCGCATTAGCACAGAAAGGCTATATCGCGGCGAGAGCTAATTCGAATATTATAACAATTTAAGGTATATTTTTAAAATCAGACAAAAGGTCTTTCAATAAACTAAAATTCTAGACTAAAGCAAATTGATTATTTACAAATAAAAATCAACACTAAGATAACGTGATAAAAATTAAAATCGTTTTAAATATAACAACATTTTTATATTTTATAATATATTCCAATTTCTTTTAAGAATGAAACAATATTTGTAAATGGAATATTATTAAATAAATCATACATATTATTGACATTGAAATGCTTCTTCCGAATATCAGCAAAGTCTATATCTGCTGATGGTGGTCTATAATAGCTTACCTGTGAGACTGGATATCATTGCCTGTCTACTAGAAACCCTTTATATCTGCTGATGGTGGTCTATAATAGTTTACCTGTAAGACTGGATATCATTGCCTGTCTACTAGAAACCATGATATCTGCTGGTGGTGGTCTATAATAGCTTACCTGAGAGACTGGATATCATTGCCTGTCTACTAGAAACCTTTATATCTGCTGATGGTGGTCTATAATAGCTTACCTGTGAGACTGGATATCATTGCCTGTCTACTAGAAACCTTGATATCTGCTGATGGTGGTCTATAATAGCTTACCTGTGAGACTGGATATCATTGCCTGTCTACTAGAAACCTTTATATCTGCTGATGGTGTCAAATCTTTCAGGTTACATATAGAGTAAGTAGCCTTTAAAATAAAAATAATGTGTTTGTTGATTAGTTAATCATGGTTTAACAATATAATAATGTTGAGGTGGTATCAAAGTATTGATACCAGATTAGATGATAAAAACAAGAATTATGATTGTATGATTGATTGATTGGTGTTAAACTCCACTTTCAGCACGATTGGGATGTTTCTTCGCAGTCAGTTTTTTTGGTGGAGGAAGCCAGAGTGCCAAGAGAGAACCATCGACCTTCAGTAGGAAAACTGACAATCCTAGTCAATTAAGATTGAAGTCAAAGGCACCTACCATGTGCCAGATTCGAACTCACAACCTTAGTGTTGACAGGCTAGTGATACAGTTCGACTAATTCCCTAATTCCTAAACAGTTGGGACCATAACCCCCAAAATCAATCCCAACCTTCCTTTAATGGTTATTAACCTTGTGTTAAAATTTTATTGATTTCTATTTACTTATACTAATGTTATTATCCGGAAACCATCTGTCTTAGGACGACGCTGACGACGACGACGACGACAACGTGATACCAATATACGACCAAAAAATTTTTAATTTTTGCGGTCGTATAAAAATGTGCTGAATACATGTTGGGGAGAGAAAAAAAGACTATCTATATATTAAAGTAAGAAGATGTGGTATGATTGCCAATGAGACAACTCTCCACAAGAGACTAACCGACACAGAAATTAACTATAGGTCACCATACGGCCTTCAAAAATGAGTAAAACCCATACCACATAGTCAGCTATAAAAGCCCCGAAACGACAAATGTAAAACAATTCAAACGAGAAGATTAACAGCCTGATTTATGTACAAAATAATGAACGAAAAACAAATATGATATACACATTTCCAAATGTAGGTCATTAATTTTCTTCTTTTTTTTTTTATATATATCAATGAAATTTGAAAAAAATACAGGAAACAAATTTGATAGGTTGTCAATAACTGATATATTCAAACAAAGACAAATGGTATAAACACTTTCTACAGCTGAAAACAAAGCATTGATTGGTTGTTTTTTTGTGTTTTTGGTAGCTGTCTCACTGATAAATATATGACCAACATCATCTTCCATACATTTTTTGTGAATTTTATTATATACAAGTTAAAAACCTTATGATTTCATATGCCATTTGACTAGATCATCTTCCATGTTAGAGACATTCCACATCGCACTAAGGTTTATAAGTACAGATATAGAAGTGTAAGCATGCTAATACCACAACAGGCAAATAACCATAACCAACCTATAATCAACCCCAGGTACTATAAATTCCCTTTTCCCAATTTTTGAAATCCAATAAAATAAAAAGCACCACTAAAGTATTTCAATTATTTTTCTTATATTCTTAAAATTTTATTTTATTTGTCATTTCAGAGTTTAAAATGTCATTGAAGAAGCTGAGAAGTTACTACATATAACTTAACTATACTAAACAACAAAAGAATCACGTAACCTCAATTAATAGCTCCTAAGTAAAAAAAATTCTATTGCTTATAACTTTTTAAAAAGTGATTGAAATGTGTCAAAAAAAAGACACTTAAGCATAAACATCAAATTCTGTGAGAAAGATTTTTTTCAGATTCCAAACTTCTCAAAAAACCCTACATTTTCAATCCAAAAACAGAGAATACTGACAAATTAGTGAAAACTGAAGTTGCTTGTATTTTTTCACCTGAAACCAAGGAGAATGATGTTGCTGTTCAGTTTCTTAATATATTTTTTCTCACATCCAATTTGAAATTTGACTTATGTTGGACTTGACTTCTGATTTTTTTTTTATGAAATCCCTATCATGGCCATAAAAATTAAAATATCTCTGTTAACCCTAGTATTAATTTCAAGGTAATGCTTTAAATATGCATTTTTTTCTGGATTAACAAGAAATGGTGAAACTACTATACATAAGAAGAAGTAGTGCGTTATTTATGTTGCTGATTACAAATCAACATAATTTTACTAGAAAGACCAGTAAGAAAAATTATGATAAGAATTTTAGTTTTAAAAGTTTTAATAATCTACTTCTGTGAAATTCTTCATTTTTCTTAATAAGTTTCAGGGGTTGGGGTGCACCCAGCACCCCATACCCCTGAACAGAATGTGAAATACTGCTAATGCTACATTCATGAAAACATTAATATACAACTAAAACACAAAGCATTAGTATTGTCTGTATAGTTATGAGTTGCATTTAGTTTTCCTCTTTTTGAAGAAATGAATAAAAAAAACTTTCATGTTAAAATGCGAATTTTACAGAAGCATAACTTAAGATATAGGATATAACCTTATGCTCAAAGATCCATCAATCAGACATAGCCATAAGAATACCAAATATCAAAAGTCTCCTTTAAGTACTTCTTCTAATATACCTAATCTAAAACTTCATAAAGGCTCATTTAGAATTTCAGTCATCAGAGCAAAATGACGGTGACCTATACTTGCTTAAATTGGCTTCATTTAGACTCTGTTGAATAGTTGTCTCATTGGCAATCATACCACATCTCTTAATTTCATATTGATAGGACAGAACCTAATTTCATACATGAAATAATCTGTACATCTGCTATTCAATTATCACACTAAATATCAATGGTCTTTTACAATATTTTTCAAAACTTGAAAAAAATATCAAAGTCATCATTTTTTTTCTACAATGAACTCCATCAGGACACTAACCATCAATATATTATCACAGACAAGATCTCCACCATGGGAAAAGTAATACCATTTATCTTCTGTGAAATCTATGCAAGCGTGACAATGACAAAAACCTTGCAGATTTTCCATTGAATATTTACATCAATCACACATAAAAATTAAATATTGCACACTTAAAAACTTACCACCCAAGACTGAATTCTACTCTTAGTAATCTATGTTATAATATATAAAAGATGCAAGTACAAGTAGATCAAAATACTTACACGAATCTTAGTCTGTTTAAATTGTAATGCAAACTTTCAAATTAGTACTGTTATGCTTTCCATGGTGAATAACTAAAATATTTTTTGATGTGATTTGAAAAATGCAGTGGTGGAATTGTAGCAACTAAGATTACAAAAACTTGCAGGGTCCTTCCAAACTAACCTAGAATATATGTAACAAAGGATTGAAAAAGCTCCTTTGGGCCTAAGTATCCAGGAATTCTGCTCTAAACATGAGTAATTAAACTTCATCATGGAAGGGAATTATTAGAGAAGAAAATTCACAACAATATTTCAAAACAATTTTTTTTTAATTAACAAAAAAATTCCACTTAATCAGGCTGAAAATTGAAACATGCTGATATTTTTTCACAGTGGCAGATCTATCCCTGTTGAAAGTGTTTCTATTTAACCCAATTATTAACTTTACATGGATGAATCAAGATCATAGCATGCAAGACACACTTCATAAAAGTAACAAAAATATCAATTCAAAGTCAAAACCAATTACATAAAAAAACAAATCTAAAAAAAGAAAATAAACACAACATAAAGAAAACTAGATGCTCTCAAGAGCCTGTGTCGCTCACCTGATTCTACTTTGGTTTTGGAAATCATGTAAAAATAGATTAAAATCATAACAGATACCCTAATAATGAGTGAGGCCAAATTTGGTTTAATATTGGTCCTGTAATTTAATAAAAATCCTGGTGGCCATCTTAAACAGAAAATCGGCAACAAAGTAGCAACACTTAATCAGCACCTCATAAGAAACATTTATGCCATGTTTTGGTTTCATTCCATTCAGTGCACCTCTAGAAGAAGCATTTGTATGTATTTCCCATAGGGTCTTATGTTAAAGGAAGTCCCCCCATTGGCGGCCATCATGGATGAAGGATCAGCTTCAAAGTAACAAAACTTAGTCAGCACCTCATAAGGAACATTCATGCCATGTTTGGTTTCAATCCATTCAGTATGTGGTTCTCTAAAAGAAGACATTTGTATGTATTGTCCATAGGGTCCTTTGTTAAAGATTGTCCCCATCTGGCAGCCATCATGGATGAAGGATCAGCACCTCAAAAGGAACATGCATGCCATGTTTGGTTTCATTCCATTAAATGGTTCTCTAAAAGAAAACATTTGTACATATTTCTCATAGGGTCCTATGTTAAACTAAGTCCTCCGCTGGCGGCCATCTTAGATTATGGATCGGCTTCATAGTAACAACACTTGGTCAGCACCTAATAAGGAACATTCATGCCATGTTTGGTTTCATTGCATTCAGTGGTTCTCTAAAAGAAGACATTTGTATGTATTTCCCATAGGGTCCTATGTTAAACTAAGTCCCCCGCTGGCTGATCCATCTTGGATGATGGATCAGCTTCAAAGTAACAACACTTGGTCAGCACCTCATAAGGAACATTCTTGCCATGTTTGGTTTCATTCCATTCAGTGGTTCTCTAAAAGAAGACATTTGTATGTATTTCCCATAGTGTCCCATGTTAAACTAAGTCCCCTGCAGGCAGCCATCTTGGATTATGGATCAGCTTCAAAGTAACAACACTTGGTCAGCACCTCATAAGGAACATTCTTGCCATGTTTGGTTTTATTCCATTCAGTGGTTCTCTAAAAGAAGACATTTAAAATTGAGAATGGAAATGGGGAATGTGTCAAAGAGACAACAACCCGACCATAGAACAGACAACAGCAGAAGGTCACTACAAGAAGACATTTGTATGTATTTCCCATAGGGTCCCATGTTAAAATAAGTCCCCCGCTGGCGGCCATCTTGGATTATGGATTGGCTTCAAAGTAACAACACTGGGTCAGCACCTCATAAAGAACATTCATGCCATGTTTGGTTTCATTCCATTCAGTGGTTCTCTAAAAGAAGACATTTGTATGTATTTCTGATAGGGTCCCATGTTAAACTAAGTCCCCTGCAGGCAGCCATCTTGGATTATGGATCGGCTTCAAAGTAACAACACTCGGTCAGCACCTCATAAGAAACATTCATGCCATGTTTGGTTTCATTCCATTCAGTGGTTCTCTAAAAGAAGACATTTGTATGTATTTCCCATAGGGTCCTATGTTAAACTAAGTCCCCCGCTGGCGGCCATCTTGGATGATGGATCGGCTACAAAGTAACAACACTTGGTCAGCACCTCATTAGGAACATTCATGCCATGTTTGGTTTCATTCCATTCAGTGGTTCTCTAGAAGAAGTTCAAAATGTAAAAAGTTAACGCCGACGCTGGACGACGGACGCCAAGTGATGAGAAAAGCTCACTTGGCCCTTTGGGCCAGGTGAGCTAAAAAGGAGTTATCCAATTCATTCAGCTTTGAAAAAAGGGGAACACATACATCTTACAATAATTGAACCACTACCAAACAATAAACTATTTTACCTGTGGTGAGTCAGCAGTTTCTTCACTCTCCTCCTCAGATTTACTGAGTATTCTACTGATGTTACTGAAAACATGGCTTTCATGGAGGAACTGATGATCTGACGGTCGGAAATTTAAACAGAAACAATGGACTGCCATTTGCTGTAATGATAAAGAAAGCTGCATTTTATTCCCTAGAGATTTATAATCAGCCATTAAAAACTAATATTATATTTTATTTCTTAAGAACTGCTATAGGCCATTTAATATGTGCAGAATAAAAATTTCAATTTTTCAAATTTGCTCTTCTAATGTTGTTTTTGCAAACATTTTAATTAATACAAGATGCTGAGCTGTCTTATCACAGTATACGTAGTTGGAATACAAAACAAATTGATTTACTACGTTAGTTTATAACAATAAAAGAGATGCTCCTTAAAAAATTTGATATTCTTGTGAATATTTTGAGCAATTAAATCATATGACTGGTTCTACAAAGTAAGCTACTCAGAGAACACACTAACAAACTGCTGTTCATATTTTCTGCAATCAAGTTTCACTCTATTTTTTAATATACACACCACATCCTAAACTCTTCATCGAACTTGTAATTCTAGTGAAAAAGTACCTACCCTGCATATAACATATGTTTAGAAGGAACAGTTCTCCTGAAAATGTCATATAGTTGAAAGCATATATGGAACATATAAATTTCACACACAAGAAAGCATGTCTGAAACATACCTGTATAGGTGATCCCCATGGTAACTGCATCATGACATCAGCTGTCGTCTGCAGTAATGTATGGAACACTTCTAACAATGGTTCAACTGCCTGCCCTGCTACAGTCACATCTTGTAATGGATGTTCACAAACTGGTGCATCCTGGGATATTCAAAATGAAATGTTAACACAAATTTTTACTTGGATGGTCATTTTTAGTTCATAAAAAACATGCATATGTTTGTTTGGTAGTTTGACTGACAAATCTAAAAAAAAAAAAAAAAAACAAATATTGAAGAAGCAAAAGATAATATTTATGCATTTGAATTACATGTAATAGTACAGTAATCAATTATGTCATACTCATTGTTATCAAAATGCTATATATCAAAATTATTATTTCTAAAGAAAAAATCTGCACCTCTTGATCTTTTTTCACTTCTTTCTTCTTTTTCTCTTTCTCTTTCCCTTTCTCTGGTTCTTCCTCCTCCTCCTCTTCTTCCTCAGAGGGAGGTGTTAGTGAGGCCACGAAAAACCACATCAAATCATGTAAACATACAATCTGTGTCACACTTCTCAGTAACCAGTTCAATGCCTGCAATAGTGTAATGGACACAATAGAAACAAACTCAAATTTTGATAGCATTATTTGTATGCAGCATTTCCTGAAAAAGAATTATATAAACTCACACTTGTGTCCATTGTTCAACAATCGCAATAATAAATGCATGCAATAATTTCTGAATTTACAGTAGCTTGAATGCTTATGCTGTTGTTATGTTTTATTTAGTATGTTTGGGTATTTATCCAATTTTATCTTTTGTTCTACAGTATAGTTTCTAACCTGCATGCCAAATACTCTACAAGCTGCCTTCCTCAGTGCTTGTCTCATGGCTAGTTGTAACCCATCCAGATCATGTCTCTGGACTATGAATGACATCACAGGTCTCTGTAATGTTCTGTCCCCATCATTTTCTGAACCACCCTTGTCTACAGACTTTATAAGTGCAGACATGGCAGCTGATGGATGTTTTAACAGGGACATCCCTCCATCTAGAAAAATAAACCTAGAAAACTTCACCATGTGACACAGTGTGCATGCATCAATTAAGCTTTCAATATTTATACTGTATATGTTGATTAATTTGTCTTCAAAATATAAAATGTCATTTCATGTAAAAGAATCAGATGCCCCAGTGATAAATTCTTTGCTCTGAGGATATCTGTGTTTTTCCTCTTTGACACAATGAACCTTTTATAAATTCATTTAAATATTGAATATTCAGCAAATGTTCCACACATTGTGCTATATTGGCACAGGAAAAGTTTGCAAGAAGATGTATCCAGGGACAAAGTTGAAGAGTTATTTCATAGATGATTAGAAGTTCAATATAAAATTGCACTTAGTCTCTATTTCCTGATCCAAACACAAAAGTTCTGACAGCAAGATAGCCTACTAGGCCTCTGTTTCTTCTGCTTTCCAGATTTTCTTCTTTCCTTATAATTGAAAATCTTATATTCTAATGTAGAAATATACCTGTGACACCTCCACTGTTATTTCTCCGTCGACCAGAAAACTTATTCCTATCGTTATTGTCATCATTATCAGATACATATTCTGATATACTTCTTTGGAAGGCTGTCTTCTTAGGAATTTGATCCTGTTCAGATTCTGGACTGGTACCTGCACTCCTGGGTGTCAGTTTGTTGTCAGAAGCATTGCTGTTGTTTTCCACATTAAAGTCCTGTTACAAAAATATAGTTATTAATGTATGTATTTAATTAAACATTCTCATAACAGTTGTTTTAAAATGATTTGATGTATTAAAGTTTTTCTTTCAGAATCAATTAACACTATCTATAACTTCCATGATTGTTTACCTTTTCTTTCATCATGGTTTTCCCCTCCCACTTGCGCTGTGCCGTTGCTGAACTAACCAGAGGTCTTGACATTAAGGTCAATGCAGATGGAAAAGCTAATGGCTAATTGAGAGTAACAGAAGACAATAACTCAATAATAGTACATTTATGAAGATTTTCATAAGATAGAGGATTTTCTTTTTAAAGAAAGTCCACATACATGTGTTTGAATTTTTTAAATTTAAGGTATCATATGACTTTAAAAAAATAATAATACAATAGAAGATACAATACAACCATACCTTAGGACTAGGAGGTGATATATGTGACAGTGCTGGTCTCATGTCCTGTCCTAGTGAACCTGACCTAGCTAATGGACTGTGTCTAGGTTCTGTCGGCAGCCTAGGTCTGGTGAATGACACATTTCTAGTTGCTATACTCATAGATCCAGATCTAACAAATACTCTCTCATCAGCATCAATGTAGAAATCGTCAGCGAAAGCAGAGTCAGAATTCTGAGCTCCTTGTCGTACAAGAAATGTGAAGGGAACCGGTGGAAATGGATTAAGCTCTTGTCCGTACTCTTCATACACACTAGGAAGCAATAAATCTGAGTTATGTTGGTTATTATGCTTTTTATGTGATTGGACTGGCAATGTGAAACCTGAAGCACTGGCTAGGTCTAATAAAAACATGGCATTAGCTTTCAACACAACATGAGGATCCTGAGGGCTCAGAATTGCTTGAGCTCTAGACTGAGCATTTTTCTTCTTTAATTTCTTAGCTTTGTCTTTCTCTTTCTGTTGTTGTTTTTTATCCTTCAGATATTTGTCTCTACATGTTTCACAAATCAAATACCATCCACTTCCGCCATAACCCCCTTCCCCACAGTTGCCAGCCCATCCACCACAAAAGTTTCCACTACTGTTGTATCCCTTGCCTCCTGCATGTCTGCCACAACCAGGGTGGGCCTGTCGCATGTGGTATGTCACAGGATGTGGAAAAGTTCCCCCACATAATTCACACCAGGTGTCACCCTTATATGCAGCACCCCCTCCTCCTCCTCCTCCAAAGATTCCAACCATAGCTTCTCCAATAGCATTTCCTCTCATTACCTGTTTGTGCTCTTTCTTTTTCTTATTCTTCTTTTCCTTCTCTTTCTCTTTGTCTTTCTTTTCCCCTTTCTTTGCTTTCAATGTCACAGCAGCACTTGGGTACACCAAATCTTGTAAAATTACTCGTAATATTCCACATGACAATTCTTCCCAGAAATACACCAAGTGTTGTAAAGTAAGAGGAAGAGCAGATGACTTATCTTTGTCTTTGTCAAGGTCATCTTGTCCAAAATGGCTGACACTACCTTCTGACTTATGTCTTTCTACAGGTTTCTTGTTATACTTCAATTCTTTGGCCAATACAGGGGAGTCAGACTTGTCACTTTTGTCCGATTTGTCAGACTTATCTGACTTCTCAGAATCACTTCTTAAAAACTGGGGTTCTAAATTAAATCGAACCCTTGCTTCATTTATGTTAATATTTTCCCTCGTTTTATTAAGTTCTTTGCTTGAATCGGTAGCATGCCTGACTCGAATATTTTTCTCCTGTTTCTTCTTACTGGCAAATTTGGACATTTCCTTTTTCAAATCTGGATGAAATTTCAAAAAGGAGGCACAGGCCATAGCATCATGGACAATACCTTCATGCCAAAGGAAGGCAGCAAACACAGCTCTCAAACATTCTGCTACAGATGGGGATAAGGCCTCTTTCACTGGCTCTTTGGGTTTTTCAAGGATGGTTGAAGTGGAGGAAGACCTATTTCTGGCCACAGGAGCTATATCTTGAATAGAAGGTGAATTTGGTCTGTCACGTTTTGACCGTAGTTGTCTTCTATCTTTACGCCCTGGTTTAGGAGACATCCTTAAAATGTAAAATGATACAAATAATTTTTGATTATTTTTGTATTTAATGTGGATTCATTTAAATTTCGAGGATTGAGGAAAAATGCTATTTTCTTTGATATTTGATTTTGTGGTTTTGCCAAATTTTGCACACAAGCCTATAGAAAATTTGTACTTCCTTAAACATTTAAATTTGTGGTTCACCTCTGCCCATGAAATCCACATACATTGGTATTCTACGAAAAATAATGAATCCACAGTATTACTTGAACTTCTATTAATAGAACATTCTAAAGTGTCAACATCATTTTAAAAGTCAAACAAACAATTAAATAAAGTTATAAAATGTCAAATCCCTTCATCTATTTTCTCAGAACCATATTGCAATTAATTATCATACACCTGATATAATTTCATCAAAATCATACCAAATGTAAGGTAAGTATTGAAGAAAAAAAACTATTTCATCATAACAGAATATTAAGTAAAAGTTCTACCTTGGTGACTCATCTTTAGCTGAACCAGATCCTATGTTGAAGTATTTATCAGCAGCAGTCTGGTCTGATCCTAGTACAGGTGATGATCTAGGGGAGTTGTGATGTAGTAAAGGACTGCTCCCTCTCCTAGGACTTCCTCTCTGTGGACTGAAATCAAAATAAAATGACAATTTAAAGACAGGGGGTTAATCAAGTTAAACCAGATAAAAAAACATGTGTGTTCTAGGACTTAAAATTTGGACTGAAATATTACTCATGGTGTATAATTATATTGAACTTAGAACTAATATTATCCAATTCTAAATAAATTAGCTGAACAGAAAAACTTTTTTCATATTTTTAAGGATATTATACAGCAGTTTTCAGAAAAGTATTGTAACACACCTAATAGTTCTAACAGGAGAAGTGTGCCTAGGACTTCCAAAACTTTCCCTCCTCTGAGGCACAGGACTTCCAATACTGTCCTTTCTCCCAGGGAGTGTTGGAGGACTTCCAAAACTGTCTCTCCTAGTTGGTACTGTTGCATGACTGTTACTCAGTAAACTCTCTCTCAAAGGTGATGACCTCCCATCTTTTGAAGCATCCGACAATCTCCCCTTCATTACAGGAGAGCCAGGAGGTGACTGGGAGAAGCGATCAAACGATGGTTCTTTTTTTAAATTTTTTTTCCGTATAGGTATAGGACTATCTGGTGGTGTTGTGAAAAGTTCTTCCTTCAGTGAAGCTTGTGATGAAGACTCAGACACCACAGTTTTAGAATCTGATTTGGAAAGTTTTGGACTAAGGCTCCTTATGGGGGAGCCTGTTCTTGGAGAATCTGATTTCGAATGTTTTGGACTGAGACTCCTTATAGGGGAGCCTGTTCTTGGAGAACCTGAAATAAGAAGAGATACATTTTTTCACCAAGTTATGACAGCAATGGCTTTCTCTACATAATTTATGTACATTTGGCCTTCAAAATTTTTATCTGTAAGAATCTTGATGATAGCAAATTTGTTGATACTGACATGATTGAAAGGATACACTTCATCTGTAAATTTCCAATTAGTGTATTATGTTTTTGTTTTTATGCTGAGATATTCCCTCCAGCAAAAAGGACCTAACCTAAGTAAAAATTGTCGTTTCTGTCTAGGGCCTTACATTCTTAATGGTTGCAAAACTTTCCTATTTTTTTTACTTCCCAAACTTTTGACCTGAAATGTATCTGATGAAAGTTATTCCAGAACTACTGTAGTGTTCATTGTAATCCATATTATGCTTTCATTTTATTCTTCTTTTGTTAACAGTAACAATAAGATTATGTAAAGAAGCATTTGACTAAGTTCAGAGGTGAAATTTTCCTCAGAGTATAAAGATCTAAATCTGTATGCTTTTAAAGTGGCCCCAAACAGTTTGATAAATTTTTGTAAACCTCACATTTTAAAGTTAAAACACTTTTACTATCTTGAGTGTACAAAATATCAACAGGTTTGTATGGTCGAATTCATTTTTAACATTTTCAAACTGTTTATTTCAAATGATTTGTTAAAAGGTTATAAATACATATAATTTTGAATTTGTATTTTTCAATCAACAGCTAAAGATCAAAAGGTGTGAAATAAAAGATCTTTTATTTCACACATTTTCTCTGTTCACTTTTGTACAATTATAATAAATAATTACAGTGCTAATAATAGCTTTTTACCTGCAACATCTGGGGCCAGGTGAGGACTAGAACTTCTGGATCCTGATTTTTTAGGGGTCCCAGGAGGGGATGGTACTGGTGTTGGACCATTTCCATTGGCTCTACTCTCACCTGAAATGACAAAATTTATAAATATATTTCCCGACTGCAAACATATCATAATATCCTATATTTGTTCAAGTTATCTTAGTTTATGGAATCCATTGTAAAGTGCCATAAGAACATTTTAATATTCAAGCAATTTAAGAATAAGGTAAAAAAATATACAGTTCTGTTTTCTGTATTCCTTCCTACCCTCAATTTTCATGCCTACCCTGACACATTTTATGGTCATTTTTAGTCAATAAAGCACTGTAAAAATAAAGACATTTTTGGTTAAGAAACTTTCAAGTCCAAAAAATTTCCCTATATTATTCAAAATTAAAAATTGTAAAAAGATAATTTGCCTACCCAATTTTTTTTCTTTATGGAGGCAGTCAAGAAGTATATAATTGTTTTGGCCTAGTATAGAAACATAAATAATTCATAGATTTCTGAGTTACACAATGCTCACAAATAAAGACTAGAAAGTGTATGAAAGACTCCTACAAAGTAGCTTGTGATCTTATAAATTAAACACTACATATATATCTTAAATTCTAAATCAGATTTATTATAAATCAGCAAGTTTAAATAGCATAAAATAACAGTTTCAAAATAAGTGAACACAAAATCTAGTGAAAAAATTGACATTCATCATCTCATATCCAATTATTTAAAAATCCAAACATTTCTTGTAATTCAAAAGAACTTGATTTAATTATTTTTCATTGTGTTACTGGGTTGCTGTTTTCTCTGATTTATACTTTATGTCTGTGTCTGTTTATATATAAAGACAATTCAAATTATTGTCATAAAAGGATATTGTTGCTATGGCTTATATGCATAATTTTAAAACCAAATAACTATTATATACATGTATAAGTAATTAATGACCAGATCTGTGTATATTAGTAAATGGCCTTTTTCTATCAATCTTTTATTTTTATTCATCTTTCTTTATTTTTGCCATTTTTGAGAAAGTGAGTGAATATACGCTACAAGCTATAGATAAAATGGTGAGTGAAAGTACATTGCTGCATAGCTAACTACAAAGAACAATAAACATCAAAATAATAAAATAATATAGGCTTACAACACATAAAATATCATACTAAATAATATTCATAAAATGACATCGTACAAAACAACAATTATGTTACCATAACAACATCAATAAGCATTGTCAGCATCGTTACCTATAATGGCCGCCAGCCTTTTTATAGATGTACTCCTAATAACATCTAATTCTTCATGCCTAAACCATGTGGACACTTGTTTATAATTTTTACTTGAAGGTGAACATGACTTCACTGAGCAGCAAAACAAAATTAAAAACAGGCAAAATCGTTAATCATTGGTCAAAGCACCATGCTAACTTAAATAAAGCATTTTTTTACATGACTGGTATACACAAAAAAAACAACTTGCAACTGAAAATGAACTGGATACATAAAAATCTTAAGACAACTATCATCCATGTCTAATTTTGTATTTGTGCAAAAAAATTAAGCTGTACAATATTTGAATATCAAAGCCAATTGCACATTTAAGTCGATTACAAGGAATGATTATTCATGCTGTGCACAGCAAATCATGTTTTTTCAAGCCAAAATGTGTCCTTTATAAAGTAACCAGACAACATTGTAGGACTCATTCCACAAGAACCACTCACCAACTAGGTGACTTAGTTTCATTATATCCTTGCAGCTACATACTAAAGTTTTATCAAAGATTATAAAACCATTCTTAAGGCATTATAACATAGACACAGTCCGTTCTTTTTATACAACTGATGGTTATACCTATAAAATTGCTTTTATCTTTGCATCATTCATGTTAAATTTCAATTTAAGAATTAAAAGTTCTGCTTGTTGAAGTTATAAACAAATACTTTTTTTTATTTTCAAAACACTTTCCCTGACATGTAAAAATTGTACTATATCAAAATAAAATTTCAAATGTTAGTCAATTAAACAGTTCCTCTAATGTAAAACATATGCAAGTGTTTCATGCGCCACCATAACTGGTTTTCAGGAAACATTTTATCGAAAAGCTATAATTTCAAATACAGGTGACCTTTTCAAGGTAAACATAACAAAAAAAAATGTTAAAAAAATATCCTGTCATTCATATTAGCATAACAAAATGTCCTCTGATTTACAATTCATTGGTATTTCCCAACATCAACCTAAACAAGAATGTGTCCATAGTACACGGATGCCCACTCGCAGTATCATTTTCTATGTTCAGTGAACCGTGAAATTGGGGTCAAAACTCTAATTTGGCATTAAAATTAGAAAGATCATATCATAGGGAACATATGTACTAAGTTTCAAGTTGATTGGACTTCAACTTCATCAAAAACTACCTTGACCAAAAACTTTAACCTAAAGCGGGACAGACGGAAGAACGGATGGATGGACAAACGAACTGACGAACGAATGAACGAACGAATAGACGCACAGACCGAAAAACATAATGCCCTATTGTAGGTGGGGCATAAAAATCTTTTCTGAATTTTCCATAATGTCAAGGACAAAAAATTCAAGTTCATATATATGTACATTACTTATCTTGCAACCTTTTGGTAAAAACCTTCTAACTTTACATAATACAAACCTAATGCCTTGACTAAATCTTTCACTGACACACCCTGTAACTCTGGTGGTATTCCTGGGTCACGCCTGGAAGACTTAGGGGACCCTGATACAGGTGACCTTGTTGTTGACATTGGCGACTTTGATCGTACTGAAGTGTCCATCTTGGCAAACGAGGCAGAGCTAGGAGTGAAAGGTGATTCTGATCCAAATGATGGATGTGATGTTGTATGTGTCATATCTGAGGAATGGAAGGAACTGTCAAAACTGGCCCTGCCCGCATACCCTTCACTGATGGGCCTCTGTCCAAATGTAGGTGCTGGGGATGGAGTACTCCCTATAGATGAATAAAAAACATAAAGTTCATAGTTCTATTGAATTTACTTCTATTAACTAACAGATTTACATAATAAATCTACAATCAAAATGGATAAGACAAATATTTCAAGAACAATGCCTTCATAAGATACTGAAATTATTAGACCTAAGTAGTGTGTAGTGTCATTTCCGCTCATCACTGATACAGTATGATTTCAAGGCCTGCTCTAGACTTTTTGTAATTACTGGAATCTACTTCTGTATGATTCTGGAAATTGTTTTATTTTTACAGAGTTTAAATTTCATGTTTGATTTTTGTATTTTTTATCTTTGATTCTTATCTTCCTTAAGGATGAATTTTTTTGTGCTGGGATATTTTTGCTATTTTATCTAAATCTTAAAATTGTCCAAAAAAAAAAACCACTTGCAAACATTTCTCACTTTAAAGTAATATTTCCAGTTAGTGACAATTCAGAATTTGTTTCAATGTTTTTATCATTGCTGAAAATGTAGTGTGAGAAGTATCACATTAAAAAGAATACATACTTCTTATTAATTTTAGTTGTAATGTCTTTATATATAAGCTCTAGCCAAATTGACTTGAGAAGCTATATTACTACATTGATAAATCTTTCGCCTCTCTTTGACTGCTGATCAAAGACTGCTTCAATAAATGTACAGTGATTTTAGTACGTTTAGTTTTGTAGCATCCTTAAATGATTCAACTGACTCACAGAGTGTAGTTAAATTCCATTGATCATAAAGCCAAAACACAACCAAAACAAAATTTGGACATTAGGACTGACTATTTTTAAAGTGAACATTTTTAATGATTTTTGAAATTCCTTTGCCACATAATTGCCATGTACGTGTGTCAAGAATTTTAAAAAAACCAAAACTTTTGTTTCAACTATATCCTACATATTAACCCTCTTTAGTGTATTAAACACTTGAACTTTATGATAACTATTTTCCTGTTTAAACTTACCTTGGAATCCAAAGGAAAAGACATTTGTTGGTAGACTGGCACTTCTTCCAAATCCCCCAGATGGCGCTGAAATTGAATTAAAAGAAAGTTATTCGTAAATTTATCTCAATGCAATAAAAAAAAAACTTAGATGATTCAATGCAGTTGAATATTTTTCATGCATAGCCAGAACTTATTTTCCATATAACATTTTGTCCTCAGTTCAAACCTCAAATTCAACATAACAGTGTCAACTATTGAAGGGAATTTTTTGTAAAATATAGCATCTAGATTCAGTTTTTTACTCCTAAATCAAATTCAACCTTTGTTTTAGGTTAATGAAAAATAAGTTTAAATCTATGAAAATCCTAACATTATAATAACAATTATTGTACAAAATCCAAAGCAGATGAACATAAAAGAAAAATGTATGAAAAAAGATCATATAAACTATGTTTATAAGACTAGAATTATATTTCAAGGCTAAATTCCTGAGGCTAATAAGTCACTATAAGTAGAATAAACAGAATTGAAATGCTTCTGAAAATGATGTTCCCTGAGATTAAAAAGATTTTAAGCTTTATAGACTCTGAATGTCGATGTGATGATGTATTTCAATAATTATGGATAGTACATACAGCGAAATATTTTTTTTTAAATTCATACATGTGTATACATGTATGCTTCATATCTTTTAAACAGTAACTAGAGTGTAGTAGAGTGTGTGTGCTTTTTTTTTTTTAATTGTCTATTTTCTATAAATGTAAAATAAATACCTGGACCTATCAAAGAGCCAAATACAGAGTTAACAGATGGAATCTGAGTTGAGGCTCCAAAATTAAACCCTCCTGAGGCCCCATTAGGAGGAGAACTGAAGGAGAAGGGTTCATTCTCTACAGGGGTGATGCCTTCCTTAACATCACTTTCATGCTGGAGATACACTATCCCTTCTTTGCCCTGAACCAATGTCCAGAATTCTCCTTTCTTTGTCTGACAGAAACTCTCGGCACTCTCAGGATCAAGCTTTATCCAATAACCATCTTGATTAGTTTTCTACAAAACAAACCACAAGGGTCATATATAATTCCATTTAGGAAATAAGTTACTTTGAAAGCCTAACAGACAAGTTTTATTTTTAACACCTAATGAAAACATCATTTTTTTAAAATCACTTCACATAAAAAAATAACATGTGGTTGTCTCCTTTAAAATATGAAGATCAAGATTTACTCATTTTTACATTTTAAAGAAGAGGTATGGTGTGGATATACATGAGCAAAGTTTTTGTTGAGCCAAACAATATCAACAGGCTTTAGTTTTGTCTAGTGTAATTCAACTTTATTTGTCCAAACAATTATGAAATATCAAATTCTTATTAGTTATCTTGAAAGGGACACTGGTACTGTTTAACATTCTGTTACAAACATTTCTCTGTACAATAAAATTATGTGTTTATTACTTACATCTGCAATGGCTAAAACTTTATCTTCAAGCGTAAACATTCCAACTGGTGTCGATTTCAGACCTGCTCCACATCGAATGTTGTGTCCAAAGGAGCCACATTTTATAACTTGATAGACACCAGGACCTACAGCAAAAATGTTTATAATGAGGGATTTTCAGATTCGTAATCTATAAATATCACTTTATCTTTATACATGTATTTTGAAATATTTAAATCAACAAAAGGAATCAGTTTATTGGAAATATATCAGATTAATAAACATAACCCGCTATAAGCATGGGATTCAGCTATTTCTACTCATTTAAACGAGTAACCATATCCAAATATATATCTGGTATAACTTTTTTACAATTTTTTTTTCAGACAAAAAAAATAAAACAGATGCGTTATGTCAACTTTGTTTAAATACGACTGTTCTTGTAAAAACCTTACATAGCCCTTTAAAAGAATGACTTGAGATTATAAACACAATGAAATTAATGTGCGAATTGACTTATTTTTTACCTGGAACAAAAATATCTATTCAGTTGATACTATAGTCACCTATAAATAGTTGTAGAATACTAAAGCTTCATGTATTATTATTTTTGTATTTTTCTGAAATAAGCCTCCTCCCCTTTTTTTGGGGGGTTCTCTTTTACTCACCTCTCCTATGTTTAGTAGCCTCAGCTTTTAGATTTCTCCTTATAGTTTCTTTGATGATTTCTTTTGCTATGGACTTAGGTTCCTCCACTGGTACCAGTAGAGTTTTGCCTAGGTGTTGGTTATACTGTAGAACCCAGCCTTCAATGTGACCATTGGTACAGTGCTCTCTGATGGATTCCTGGCTAAGTCTCAACCATACACCATCGTCATTGTGGATCTAAGTTGGTAAATATCATAAAACAAATCAATCCTTCCTAATAATAATGATAATTCTACAATACTTTATACAATTTTAAAGTAACAAAGATGAAAATTTCACAGTCTTTCAACGCTTAATGTTTTTCACCCTGTTTGTCCAATTTGCTACTGATACACAAGCATTTACCTTTAATCATAATCCATTTCATTTTTATTCAAAAGTGGGATATCTGAACATTATTTCAACTATCAGATTTGTGTCTGCTGCTGTGATGTTGTGTACAGGTTCTACGCTGTCTTGTAAAATATCTGAATACTGATTTGAATGTCATGTCACATTATTTTCGCTAGTGTCCTTTCAATGAATTCAATTAACTATGATGTCATGACGCAAAAAATTCCAAACTTGACTTAAAAAAAAAAATGTCCATATCACTTACCTCATCAACAAATGCAATTATTCCTTCAGGGGGAATAACTCCTATCTGTTCACTTTGCAGTGATGGGTTAGTTCTAGCTCTCAACCCAGAACTATACTTCTGTACAAACTTTCTCAACTGAAAATAATAAGAGAAAAAAGTAAAGAGAGCCATTATAAAATGTAACCCACCAAAACAAAAGGATCTTATGTGCATTTGGATATGCTGTCAAATTCAAGAAATCTACCTTTAACCTTACAAGTTGAAACACTTTAAATGTATAGAACAATCCTTGTTTGTAACAAATTAGGCTACCTGACCCTTGTATTGTTTGTTTTTCTCTATACATCTATTTTCTCAGGGGAGTTGGTTGTTAATATGGATTATTGTACTGTCTAATATTTCTGGCAATTCCTGTTATACTTTTTATGTATTATTAGCTATCTTGATAATGTTTGTAAGTTTGAGCGATACCAAAAATGAGATATTTTGTTTTGTAAGGGTTATAAGATTCCTGCCGCATTTTCATATACCTAAAATCTCTTTGTATCAATACTGAAGTAAATATTTAGTTATACTAAAACATTGAATGACTATTAATTTGTTTATTTGAATACATACTTTATTAGTGTGATGTGGTTTTTTCTCAGTCTGACTTGGAGGGGTAATGCCCTGTGGTGGATCTTTTACATCTACTTTGTACACTTCACCTATAAATAGTTATTAAACAAAACAGTTTAGAAATATCATCCTCTGTGCATATCTATAACATTAAATCATGGTCACTTCCATTGAAGAAAAAATATGAATAAAGATGAGAATAATCGAAAGAGGGTCTGCCCCAAAATATGCTTTTATGGCTCTAATAGTTTCCCATACTCTCAGAAGTTAACCGTTCATTGGTAATAGCTAAAGAGCTTCATAAAAAAAGTAAACTAGATGTATTGACCAGACTATTATGATGAATTATTTGTTGTAAGTGAAGTAATTCATTTTGAGTTTGCTAGAATATGGCAAATATTTCCCAATGTTAACTGTATAGGTTGTACAAGATTAACAGAAAACCAAACACATCTCTATTCAAAATTAACAAAAAACCTAACACTTATACAAAAATATCTCCCCAGAAGTCAAGAATTAACTAAAAATAATGTCACTTCAACAGTTGTCATATATGAGTTAATATCTTGCAATAACTTGACCAAGGGCCCATGATGCTTTTTTTAGAATCAAATTTCCGATGTCTTACCTGTATCAAACCCATCAACAGTGACCTGTATACTGTAAAGTCCTACCTGTATCAAACCCATCAATAGTGACATGTATACTGTGAAGTCCTACCTGTATCAAACCCATCAATAGTGACATGTATACTGTAAAGTCCTACCTGTATCAAACCCATCAATTGTGACATGTTTACAGTAAGGACCTACCTGTATCAAACCCATCAATAGTGACATGTATACTGTGAAGTCCTACCTGTATCAAACCGATCAATAGTGACATGTATACTGTAAAGTCCTACCTGTATCAAACCCATCAATAGTGACATGTATACTGTAAAGTCATACCTGTATCAAACCCATCAATTGTGACATGTATACTGTAAAGTCATACCTGTATCAAACCCATCAATTGTGACATGTATACTGTAAAGTCCTACCTGTATCAAACCCATCAATTGTGACATGTATACTGTAAAGTCCTACCTGTATCAAACCCATCAATAGTGACATGTTTACAGTAAAGACCTACCTGTATCAAACCCATCAATAGTGACATGTATACTGTAAAGTTCTACCTGTATCAAACCCATCAATTGTGACATGTATACTGTAAAGTCCTACCTGTATCATACCCATCAATAGTGACATGTATACTGTAAAGTCCTACCTGTATCAAACCCATCAATAGTGACATGTATACTGTAAAGTCCTACCTGTATCAAACCCATCAATAGTGACATGTATACTGTGAAGTCCTACCTGTATCAAACCCATCAATTGTGACATGTATACTGTAAAGTCCTACCTGTATCAAACCCATCAATAGTGACATGTATACTGTAAAGTCCTACCTGTATCAAACCCATCAATAGTGACATGTATACTGTAAAGTCCTACCTGTATCAAACCGATCAATAGTGACATGTTTACAGTAAAGACCTACCCGATCAAACCCATCAATAGTGACATGTATACTGTAAAGTCCTACCTGTATCAAACCGATCAATTGTGACATGTATACTGTAAAGTCCTACCTGTATCAAACCGATCAATAGTGACATGTATACTGTAAAGTCCTACCTGTATCAAACCGATCAATAGTGACATGTTTACTGTAAAGACCTACCTGTATCAAACCCATCAATTGTGACATGTATACTGTGAAGTCCTACCTGTATCAAACCCATCAATAGTGACATGTATACTGTGAAGTCCTACCTGTATCAAACCCATCAATAGTGACATGTATACTGTGAAGTCCTACCTGTATCAAACCCATCAATAGTGACATGTATACTGTAAAGTCCTACCTGTATCAAACCCATCAATTGTGACATGTTTACAGTAAAGACCTACCTGTATCAAACCCATCAATAGTGACATGTATACTGTAAAGTCCTACCTGTATCAAACCCATCAATAGTGACATGTATACTGTAAAGTCCCACATCAAACCCATCAATAGTGACATGTATACTGTAAAGTCCTACCTGTATCAAACCCATCAATAGTGACATGTATACTGTAAAGTCCTACCTGTATCAAACCCATCAATTGTGACATGTATACTGTAAAGTCCTACCTGTATCAAACCCATCAATAGTGACATGTATACTGTAAAGTCCTACCTGTATCAAACCCATCAATAGTGACATGTATACTGTAAAGTCCTACCTGTATCAAACCGATCAATAGTGACATGTATACTGTAAAGTCCTACCTGTATCAAACCCATCAATTGTGACATGTTTACAGTAAAGACCTACCTGTATCAAACCCATCAATAGTGACATGTATACTGTAAAGTCCTACCTGTATCAAACCCATCAATAGTGACATGTATACTGTAAAGTCCCACATCAAACCCATCAATAGTGACATGTATACTGTAAAGTCCTACCTGTATCAAACCCATCAATAGTGACATGTATACTGTAAAGTCCTACCTGTATCAAACCCATCAATAGTGACATGTATACTGTAAAGTCCTACCTGTATCATACCCATCAATAGTGACATGTATACTATAAAGTCCTACCTGTATCAAACCCATCAATAGTGACATGTATACTGTAAAGTCCTACCTGTATCAAACCCATCAATTGTGACATGTTTACAGTAAAGACCTACCTGTATCAAACCCATCAATAGTGACATGTATACTGTAAAGTCCTACCTGTATCAAACCCATCAATAGTGACATGTATACTGTAAAGTCCTACCTGTATCAAACCCATCAATAGTGACATGTTTACTGTAAAGTCCTACCTGTATCAAACCCATCAATAGTGACATGTATACTGTAAAGTCCTACCTGTATCAAACCCATCAATAGTGACATGTATACTGTAAAGACCTACCTGTATCAAACCCATCACTAGTGACATGTATACTGTGAAGTCCTACCTGTATCAAACCCATCAATAGTGACATGTATACTGTAAAGTCCTACACTTCCTGGAGTCCAGTTTACTAAATAAGTTCCATCATTATTACTTCTAACTAACATGTTCTCACTTGGACGTGGCACAGCTGGGGCTGCCACCCTTAGTTCTTCAAAGGAATAGTTTTCATATGGCTGAAAAAAATCATTTAAAATAAAATTAAGCATTCATTTAAAGTAAAACAAGTTAAAAGCAGGCACTGCCAACTAATATTCCCCAAACTGCACATTTATTAAAAGAAAACCTATTCATTTCAATGGCTCCAAATACTAGTATGATTGGAGGGACAAATAAACATGTACTATTTTTACAATTTTTTTCCATCTGTGTTACATAAAGTCTATAGTGGTATACCATCCCAAAACCAACTTAAAACAATAAATTTAGTAACAGTGACCTTAACCTTAGATCTGTTGACTCCACAATCAATAAGCTTCGTCCCCTTTCCCATACATTCCATCTGTATAAGTTTCATTCCAGTCAAGCAAGGGAAACTCCAGCTACCATCCAGAAACCATTTATCCAATTGTTTTCTATTTTTTGTAATAATGACCTTGTTTTCTATTTTTTGTAATAATGACCTTGATCTCAAAACCAACAGACTTCTTCCTCATCCTTATATCTTCCATCTTTTATATATGTTTCATACTAATCAAGTAAGGGACACTCAAGTTATCATCCAGATGCCACTTGTTTTGGACACACAGATGTAAGGAATTTTTTCAGGGAGTATAATAAAACTTATGCTCTAAATTACCATGTCTAAGGTAAAACTTTGAAACTTTACAATTTATTAAATGTTCCTTCCTTTTTTCTGTCTATATCGCTGCTTCAAATGTAATGGACATCAGTTAAGTTCACAATCTCCACATTCTTTGTCGTTTACAGCATTTTTGTAATTTTTATCAATTTATTCAAATGTTCCATTATTTCTACATTATTTTTTTCTTTGATATATATTTCATTTGTGTAATTATCCTTTGTGTTTTTTTAAATGTTACCAAAAAATTCTAACATATGATAAACACCTTATCATCAGACAGTATTAACTCTGTTGTAATTTGTCTTCCTCTTTTATTCAGACTATGGTAATTTTGGACAAGCATGTGTTACTGATTACGGGAGAATTTTTGTCATTATTTACATATCATCTTACCTTCATCATACAGATAGCATGAAAGATATCCTTTTTATCCTTAATTGTAGGTTCATAGGGCACATCTAAACAAGGAGGAGGATGACCTCCAAAGGTCATATTACTGTTGTCAGGACGACTCAAACGTCTCATCTTTTTATTGTCATCTCCCATAATTCCTTGATCAACAGGAATAGCTTTGACCTCAACCTTTAGATTACTGACTTGCACAAGATTCCCATACTGGTCTTTGGTGTTTACTGTGAGAAGAGCAGGCCAGCTACATCTTAGGTCTTCCTTATTATATACCAGCTCACACTGGCTTGGGTCTAGGTACGAGTCTGGTTGTAGCCATCTGGAAAAAATAACAGTTCATTATTTTCATAAAATAGATTGTGGGTAAAGTGACCGTAAATCTGAGTAATCAATGGGGGACTTAAATATGAAATTAAAATCGCTAGAAATTAATTTTTAACAAACCAGCAAAATTTGTAATAGCTCGCTGATGTAAGCTGAGTATAGACAAAAAATGTATGACATTAATAAGAATGTTTGTTTGATCATGTTTAATATTCACACATTTTTTTATGATAAGTTTTATTATTAATAGTGAAAATCAGTGTACAAGGTGTATTCCAGTTATTTAAATGTATTTTTTTTCAAATTATTAAATTGAACGTAGAAGCCTATGCAGGTAGATGTTGATAATCTACCAATAGCTACCCCCGTCAGACAAATTGATTCACTGAATCTGAAATTTTTTTCCACTTCAAATCAATGCTTGCTTTTACTTCAAATCATTTTTTATTCAGCAATATGACTCCTATTCCTTTGAAAAACTCCAGTGTTTAATGACCTTCACTTCAATTGAATTCAACAGCTTGTAAAAATCAACACACAAAATTAAGCAAAAAAAATTAATATAAACATTGGTTTGTAAAAGTTTCCATCTAAACTATTGGTAATAAGACACCTTCAAAGAAAACTCATTGTTTATCTGGCTATTCACTCACAACTGGTTCCTGGATAATATAAAAATATAGGAAAGGTAATGCTGTTGCACAGTACTAACAGCGCCTGGTGATAATGCATGCCTGACTGGTTTCGGTCCTTTACAGACCTTCTTCAGAGGCATTCTAATTCTAAAGACAACTCATTGCTTACCTGGCTATTCGCCCACCACTGGTTCCTGGATTACAGGCAATAAAATCCTTCAGGAAAGATCTTTCATTGGACTGCCAACAGAACGGTAGATTTCCTTCTAGTGCCTGCATGATTGATGGAGGGTGTGACAAGGCAAATCCTTTACCTAACAGCTTTGAATGTTCATTGAATACCTGTATAGGAAGAAATAGTGACATATCCATCTTTAATCACCAAACATCAACTTCAGCTGTATATATTTGTTTTAACTCGTCTCATTTTGTGTCTACAATGTAGACCACATTTTTTTCAATTTAATTCAAGATTTTGTACATTAAGTATTTGTTTTTGTACTACTACAGAATTGTTCAGTTTGTTTTTGTCCTGTATTACCATTTTTTAAATATAAATGCTGTCTCTGAGATTTCTATATTTCATTTTTGAAAGAATGCAGTTTTTATGGATATCTAAATGCAACTAATCTTTTACTTTAAACAGGCAATGCTTAACTTTTTTTAATAAACCTCACCTTTTATAATTATACAGAAAACATGAATGATTTAAAATACTGTTAATTCAGAAATTATTGTGTGCATTTATTATTGTGAATTTTGAAGAATGGACAAAAATGCGAAATTTTTTATTGCCATTTCAGGAAAGTCTGCATACGGACATATATATCAGATATCAGAATGCGAGTTCTTATTATTGCGATACTCAACCAGTGGCATTATTCATGTTATAAAAATCTTGCATTAATTTCTGAATTTACAGTACCAAAATTGATTGGGATATTTCATCTTCTAAATAATTTTCACTATGATTAATCATAGATTTATTGAATGGAATTTCTTGAAATGGATGTAGAACATTTAATCATTTACACTATAGCTATATTTTGGCCAATTGAAACAGTAAAGTCGGTTTTCAAAGTAATGCACTTGACAGTTGTAATAATATACTTATTAACAAACAAACAAACAGACAGATAGACAGACATACCATCAATGAACCTTCTTCTATGTATTCCATGTCTTCTTCTAATTCCTCAACTGTTACTATAAATAGACATGTCATTGTACAAATTTAAAATCATATACATATAGATTCTACCATGCCACCACATTGATTGCAATATTTATCCACTCTAGAGAGTAAATTTTTCAAACATTAAAACAGGACTCAGCTATGGAATCTTGTTCTCTAATGGGTTGATTCACCAACCCATAATTTTGGCCCTAAAAATCTGAATTTTTCAAACTGTGATAATGTTGTGAAAACTTTATGAAAACGTATGTTAAAATGTCCAATTGTTTCAGTAAGAGAAGATTTTAACCAATTGATTCATTACTTCATAAATAAAGGTGACTTTCATTAAAACCTGATTTTTAGCATAATTTGGCAAAATTTAAGACAGTATTTTGCAAAATTAACAGTGACGCCACCCCTCGCCCATAAATATTATTGCTCAAATATTCTTCGATAGTCAGATCGAGTTTAAATGCACATAGAAAAGAGAAACAGTATAACCATGCAACTAAAAATTCATTTGTCAAGTAAAAATTCCTGAGTTCTATTTGAATTTCAAATTTTTCTCTAAATTTGCAAAAAGAAGTATACCGGATAAAATGGTATTTAAGTATGTTCAAACTATATTTCCATTTATAGAAAATGTGAGAATTTCTGTTAAAATATCATTTAAAGCGTATTTACCTGGAGGTAATGAGATGTCTTTCTTGATCAAAGATCCAGCACACATTCCACCAAGATAAGAAAGTTCTCTTTCTAACTGGGAAATTGTCTGAAATATAAGACATTTTTCTTATCTAATAGCAAGTCTACTTAAAATCAAGATCTGTCATTTTTTGTGTGTGAAACCAGAATTAATTTATGACTGTCAATGTACATGTATGTGCCCTAAAAAATCTATTTTTTTTAACAAAATAAGAGTGCACATGCTGAAATGTCTCGCCTGCTTTACTGACCATTGATTTTATGTTGAAAGTTTTAAAGATAAAAGTTTTACTACAAGTATCTCATAAATTTAACGTTTTTCAAGATCCATTACAATGAGGTCAAGGTCAGATGATACCAGCTAGACAGACATGTTTACCTTACAATTATTCCATACACTAAATATAGTTGCCCTATTGCTTATCAGTGTTTTCCATTCGGCATTTAAGCCGGGTGTGGCGACCACCTTCTTTTGAAAGCCGACCACCTTTCCATTTTAGGAGGTGGCCGGCTTTTTTTCAAATTCCGGATTTTTTTCACATCCGCACCGTAAAAATTTAAATACTTATCACGCCTCACTGATTGTTTTCATTGACAAAAATGGCGGATCATCAAATTTCATTTTGAAACAATGTTTTCTTTTATTAATCGGGGGAAGAGACAGGCAGATGACGATGGTGATAAGGAAAATTCTAGGCCAAATAACTCAACTAAAACGGATAGTTGTATTGAAATTGTTGAAATGGAATAAAAAGTATCAAAACAACCAAAAAGGCACAGAAGCGATCGCGAAGATAAACAGGTTGGGAAAAGTTTACGGGAACCTGTATGATTTTACATAATGGCAGACACATTTGCATACAAGTGTAAATACGTCTATCCCCCAAATGAGTGATATCCCTTGAACGAGGGACTGTCTCTCTGGCAAGAGGTTATGTTAATTCTGTTGAAGAAAAGAAAAGAGAAAAACTTAGATTTTTTAACTCAAAAGGGGAAAAAATCGTTATATTCAGACCAACTTTTCTAAAAGAAGGTCCCATTATTTTTAATGATAAAGAAGATATAAGTCCAGGAATATTACAAAATTTTTGGACATGTTTTGACCATATAATACCAAATAGATGTATAGTTCTTCGGGAAAATTTTCTGTAAATAAAATAAATATGTGCTCATTTGTATCTCGTTAAACTACCCCTCATAAAAGAGATAGTCATTACCTTGAGAGGTTACCCCTCATTTGATAAATATGAACAGGACTTTAAATGGCTAATCGTCACAGAAGGAGGATATTACTGCTTTGTGTTCCAAAAATACAGCACTAAAGCGAGGAACAGGACAGAAACTTGGATCGATAAGCTATGCATATGCAGGAGGAGGAAGTCCTACAAAAGCCATATCCGAGATCCGCAAAACTAATTTGTCAAATGAATGGCTAGCAGTGATAGCAGAAGAACAGTTCAATTTTATTAAATGTGTATACAATACTAATCCTTCTTTTTGTGACCCCCTCCAACAGTAAAAAACCCGGTTGGAAATGTTAAAACAAAAAAAAACCACCCGGTTGCAAGTAATTTTTTCACAACACCCACCTTACCTTAGTGAAAAATGGAGAACACTGCTTATGGTAATTGAAAAACAGATCAAAACACAAATCTTATCATTGACCAATGAACCATGAAAATGAGGTCACAGTCAGATAAAACCTGCCAGACAGACATGTACACCTTACAAATATTCCATGCACCAAATAAAGCTGACCTATTGCTATAAGTATATGATAAACAGACTAGAACACAACAACTTAATATTGACCAATGAACCATGAAAATGAGATCAAGGTCAGATGATACCAGCTAGACCAACATGTACACCTTACAATCATTCCATACACCAAATATAGTTGATCTATTGCTTATAGTAATTGAAAAACAGACCAAACCACAAAAACTTAATATTGACCAATGAACCATGAAAATGTGGTCAAGGTCATATGAAACCTACCAGACTGACATGTACCCCTTACAATTATTCCATACACCACATATAGTTGACCTTCTGCTTATAGTATCCGAGAAATGGACTTAAAACTTTACACTTTAAACCTTGATCATGGTTCAATAAAATGAGGTCGAGGTCAGGTGAACTTGCTACAGGACTGAATTTTTTTTAGTTCCTGGTTACAGTAACTTACCTCTTCTGGTCTTGTTTTCCATTCATAACCAACAACAACACATTTAAATCCAAAGAAACAAGCTTTCTCATCCTTAACATAGTCTGATGCTGTCTCAAGTGAAAACACTACTTTGTTACCTGAAATAGATACATTTTTTCCTGATTATAGTTGAGTGTTTGCAACACTTAAATATTTTGTTTTACTTGAAATTTATGAATGTAATACAACAGACTGCTAACAAAACTACAAAGTTATAAAATTTTTCGATTCATAACCTTAAAATTCTTTTCATAATAAGATATGACTAATGTTGACTAAAATAAAGTATCATTGCCATGCACATTGTATTCTTATTTCTACCTGGTTTTGATTTGTCAGGTGCCAACTCTCTAAGACAAAGCTGACATTGTTGGCTTTTTAGCTATTCTTTTCGAACCCTTTTGGTCATAAGCTCCACAAGTAAATACATCTTTGGCATTCAAATGTTTGGTTTTTAAGACATGTGATTTCAATGTGGGGTTAAGGTTAATAGATCATACCTGGTAGAATAAGTGCCTGTTTAGGCCAATTGTCAGCTCCAGAAAACTTTTTAAATACAGAGCAGTATTTCCTATTTGTTTTAGTTTCTTCATTTCTATTTGCAGGTGGTGAGGCAATCTCTTCTGGTCCAAGTCTGGTAGGAATCAACAGCTGTAAGACATCCTCAGTCTGTGCTGTTCCACAGCCAGGATCAAACTCTACTGCCATCCATTTTACTTGTTCAGGGAAGGTCACCTTGAAAAAGATAGATGATTTTTATTGTAATTTCATGGCTAAGTAAGCCACGAAAAGAAAATATTTTTGATCAAACTGCAATGTTTTCTAAATAAATTCAAGCTATATTTTTTACATGGACATTAAGCATGCAACAATCAATCATTTAATGTTTAATTTTGCACATTTAATTGAAGAAATGTTTGAAATACATTTGAATCAGTGCCAATTTGACCTAAATTGTAATTTTTCTTTTCTAATGCAAAAGATAGTTCCTTTGTCCTTTAGAAAAGATTCATTTTGAGGTTAAATCTTCCTTGGTACATATTTTATACTTTTTATACATTGTGACTTGGATGGAGAGTTGTCTCATTGGCACTCATACCACATCTTCTTATTTATATTGATGGTGAAAATTAGTTTCTTATATATTTATTTATATTTGATCTGAACTCAAAATATCTACTTTTGACCCTTTACCTTATAATGTGACACTGTTGCCGGTTTGTATGGGTGTTCACTCTCAACAATAGCATAATGTTGTGATGTTGTTCCACCATTAATTTCTGTGCCAGGTTCATCGAGTTCTGGGGGTGGAGATATGTGGTTGTTCAGTGAAGCTACAGCTGGTAATATTTCCTGAATCATTCCAAGGACTTGCACTGATCCCTGCAAAAAATGTTACGATCACAATTTAATATATAGACTTTTCATATGAATATGGAAGATACAGAGAGAATGTATAAGAATACTTATCTTATAAGATAAGAGATTAAGGTTTATGAACAGTCAAACCTGTTTTTAAGAGACCACTTAAGGGAGAGCCAAAAAGTGGCCTTATAAGACAGGTGGTCTTTTAATACAGATTCAAGCTATATGATATGCACTTCTATTATTGGTCTGTAGTTCAGTGGTTGTCATTGGTTCATGTCTGTCATAATTGTTTTTCGTAATTGTTTTGTTATACATTAGGCCGATAGTTTTCTCAATTGAATTGTTTCATATTTTTCATGTTGGGGCCTTTTAAAGCCGACCATACAGTATGGGTTTTTCTCATTGTTGAAGGCTGTACGGTTGCCTATAAATGCTTACATCCACTTCATTTGAACTTTGGTGGATAGTTGTCTCATTGGCAATCATACCACATCTCCTTATTTTTATGTTAAAACACAGGTTTTTGCTTAATACAGGTTGTCTCTTGAGTAGGTTTGACTTCAGAAATTTATAAGAACTATATGGGTTTATGGTTAAAACAGGTTAAATGAAATGCTTAAGAAAAAAGCAGCAGGAATTACAAAATACTATGGCTAATAGAATACATTAGTTGCAAATCTATTTTATGATAAAAGTGTAATTTATTCTCTTTTTGTACTTATAAAGTGGATTGGTGAAAGATTAGATGTTAATATAGATTTCACTTTTTTAAAAAAAATTTTATTTTGAAATACATTATTTTAAGTACCAGGAGTTCTTACATATACTGTGGATACATTATTATTCATGGGATACCTATTTTCTCTGAATTTGTGGGTATTGGTGAAACACATATTTATATGTTCAAGGAAGTTCAAATTTTCTATAGGTTTGTATGCAGACTTTTGAAAAACCAGGATATCAAAATATCCACTAAAATATAATTGTTCCTCAATCAACAAAATTGGTAGCCACAAAAATAAATGAATCCACAGTAATCAAATTAATGTGAATTTCCTATGATAAACAACACATTAAGCATCATATAATAATACCCTAGGGTCCTGTGAAGCGACGGGTCCTATGTGTGCCAGAATCATTGGTATCAGGGACGAGAAAAGATGTGAATTGCCAAGAATCCTGGTAACAATTTCTGGTGGCAAACTATTTGCTCTGTGTAACATATCTGTAGCCATCCTACATATAGCTCCTACAATATCTATGGCATTCTTCCTAGCTTGTAGTTCTGCTAAGGTCTTGTTGCTTTGTTGTTGATTTTCACCATCTTGTGGGGCACTTAAATATTAAAAGAAGTATCAAAATAAAGTTTGCAAGATAGCCATCAAAAACTCTGGACTTGGATGCAGAAAATCTATATTCTTCCAGTGATAAATATTTATTAAATCTTGGAACAAATTAAGTCAAAGCTTTGACATAATTTTTACCGCATGTGAAATTTTGAATAAGTGTAGATAAATAAATTTAAAAAAACTTCAGACATTTTTTAAGTCAGAAAATGTCTCTTCACAGTCATCAGAAACTGAACAAAAAATGTATCTCACATTTTGTCAATTCTTCAATTCTCTCAATAAAAAATGCACACCATATTCTAATAAAGGCATACAATATAAATGCTGATCTTACAAATGAGACAGAAAGTATTGAATGTATCAGAAAGGGTCTTAAACGACAAAGCAAGATCAAAGACAAAATGCTTAACCAATGAAATTCCGTCTTAACCACATTAATTTGTTTTACATTTAACAGTAATATGCAACATACATACCTGTAGTACAAAATTTGTGGTATTTGTCCCCTCATGTGGTTAGTACCATTACTGCTCAAAGAACATGCTGAGAAGGTGAAGATCGTACCATCTGGACATTTGACCTTGTTCATACCTCCATCACCATTCAATGTTTTTGGACCATGATTTTTCAACCTCAGTGTATACTTTAATCCTTCCTGTGGACATAAAATAAAAATCAAAACAATACAGTGAGAACTGTTTTATTTGAACCTTTTTGAAATAAATGGAGAACGTGTCCTTGGAACACAGATGAGCCCCGCTTGCATATAATGTTATAAAGGGGCATACCTCGAGAACAGTAAAAGTGCATCACTCAAATTCGAACTTGATCTGTAATTTGTGGCAATAAGCATTGTGTATAAATTTCATTACATTTGGTTGAGGCAAACTAAAGTTAGAGAACATAAACCAATTTTGGGACACAAGTACGGACGGACGGACGGACGGACGGACGGACGGACAGACGGACAAACGGATGTACAGACAGACATGGGTACCACTAAATACCCCTCCTGGTGATGGCGGGGGCATAAAAACACTTAGTTTTGTATAGGGATATTTCATGTAATTTTTCGTGGATACTTTTATCATGTCTATTCCTTTCCAGCTGATATCTCTACAATATATTTTCACATTTTCTAACGATATTGTTGTATTCATATAAGAGGTGTTCACAGTTTGACAATTTTTTGTCGATTCATAGTCATGTAAGTTTTCTACTCACATAAGTCATGAAAATAAATCCCTTTTAATTACAAGGCTTACAGTATAAACTGCATTCTTCTCAAAGAAATTAGTTATTGTCTTTCACTTCGCCTATATAACTATGCTCAATCCCTCTGAAATTCTTGTATTATTGCTTTCAGACGTGAGCAGAACTTATCAGCAATGTCACAATGTCTGACAAGAAGATATCAATGATGTCACAATATGTGAGGTGATGTTATCAAGCTTACTTTCGTCACTAAAACTTTCTAAGGAAGGAGAAAAAGACCAATAAATAGCGCAATAAACAGATTATCCGGTTTTATGTGTATAGATAACATAAAATATCATGCTCTCAACACATTCTGAAGCTTTTTTGCTCTCTCGTTAAAAAAAGTTTGTACTAGGTGGATTCTGGATCCTACTGAATTCCAATTTGTACTGTAACATATACATCTAAATCCTATAGTCTTGTTGTTAAAAAATATGTTATCATTAAATCACTAACCTTAATAGATACAGGTCTATCAAACTTGATTTCAGCTATATCATTGACACAGTCCTCTGGACCATAACAACCTTTGACTAACTCTAAACTATTCCATCTCTGCGCTGGAGAAGTCTCACTCTGTCCTCCAGATATCTATAATGCATATATAATGTCAGTATCTGTTGAATATTTATCTTATATATTCACCCTTAAAGAGTCAATTAACAAGTATTGTAAAAGTAAAATTATTTAAGAGTAACAATTTTTCAGAGATGTGTGGCTCATTCTAATTCTAAACATTTTGATACCCAAATGAAATACAAATTTTCCAATGATGTAATATATGATAAGTGTAAGACAGTTAATGCAAAACCCCACATACTAAAGATTTCTCCATACACAACAAAAGATTGACATTCATGAAGAATGCTCTCTACTAGTTAAACATAATATAACAACATCATATAAATGAATTCACTTTTTACATTATTAATTTTTAAGAATTTGTGAAGAAAATACATGTAAAATTCTCTTCTTCAAGAGATTAATATTTACTGTAAATTCAGAAATTATTGCGAGGTTTTTATTAATGCGAATAATGTGACTGGGTGACTATCGCAATAATAAGAACTCGCATTCTGATGTCTGTTACATATATCTGTATGCACATTTTCATGATATTGCAATAATTAAACTTGCATTTTTGTCCATTCTTGAAAAATCGCAATAATAAATGCACGCAAGAATTTCTGAATTTACAGTAGGTACTTATACACACATTATCAATGGTTGACTTACATCATCCAAAAGTTCCAGTTCATACTGATACTGTCCAGCTCCACCATAGATACAAACTCCAGCAATAACAATCCCAGACTTGTCAACAGAGAAAGCTATAGCATCAGGACTACCATTCCCTGTGTTCCAACTAGCACTCTGACTGGTTCTTGTAAAACGGTTTGGTGTTACTAGTAGTGGTGTGGATGTACTTGACAAATCCATCTATATAATTATAATAAATTGCCATTAGTTACTTCGGTTTGTCTTGGACATTGATGCAGATCAATCTAATGGTAAATGAAATGATGTGGATGGAGAAATCACATATTTTTCCTACACAATGCCTTTTAGCAAATAGTTTTTAGGGTTTTCCATAGCAAAACATAATTTCACTATGTCTACACAAATGCAGTTGTGGAGTTTATGAGCTCTACTCGAAGTTTTATCTAGTTTTTCATAGAAATAAAAATGTCTGCATTAAAAGCTGCTAATTTCATAAAATTTCATAACAATAGTTTTGAAATCAAAGAGTCTACACAGTTTAGACCTTGTAACTACCTTCAGTATTCTTGGACATCAACTTTTTGATCAACTATGAAAATGGGTCCCAAATTTAACTTATTCCACTATAAGGGTTATTCCTTTACCATGGATGTGGGAGGGTAGGAGGAGACTTTAAAAATACCCCACAACCAACTAACTTTCATTGAATAATGCTCGTGCATAAAATGTACATACATCCCTAAATATTCAAAAATAAAACTTCCCTTCCTACCCTTACATGTTGGTTTCAATGGAATAGCCCTTACTGCAGAGAAGACAGAATATTCCAAATAAAATGTATATATGTAACAAAGATTTTTTCAATTATCGATCTTTTTTGGCTGGATTGAATTCTGCTTGATAAATTTTTTTTAAAACCAAACTACTTAAAAGAATCAATAGTTTATTTGTTAAAGTGTACCAATGTGTTTTTAAAAGTGAAAAAAATAAGGAAGTCCAGAATCAACAAAGTACACTTACATTAATAAAATAATTTGCATAACATTGACCTATAACCTTACCTCTAAACCAATGGAAGTAGCTGACAGTTCACTGATGATAGTAGACAGTAAAGCACATGTATTATCCACCAATACTGAAGGATATGAGGGTTTATCCCTGTCTAGCTCTTGTCTCACAGGCAACGTTATAACTGTCAATAATTTATCTAACACTTCACGAAATGATACCTGATTCCCACCTAATCCAGCCATCTGAAATGAAAAACAAAATATTTCAAACTTCTATATTTTCAAACTTTCATAATTATTTATTTTTCTCACACAATTGTTTAGATTTTTTTAATTTGCATCTTTCAAAGATGAAATGATATCCATCCATTTGAAAATTTAAATCTATTATGAAACCAATTCTTTTTCATATTGTCAATTGTCTGCAGGTTCTATACGGGTAGCAAGCAATGTTCTAATTTTATGAATTATTCTCATCCACGATTTTTGTTAAGGGGTGCAGTTATAGTATTATTTTTCAACTTTTCATTACGTTTCTATATAATTTTTAATGCATATCATTTTCAAAACAAATTTCTATAGTATTTCATCATTTTGTTTAGGTATATTCTAGATTTACAAATCTATATACATAAACCAGCAAAGATAATGATATTTCAAAATATTTTTCCTCTCATATTTGAATTGCTGTTGTACAATTTTCATTTATTTCCATGCTTGTTAAAAAATGTGTACACAAACCTCCATTCTATATGTCATGTGTGACACCAGTAAAGGAAATCTATGTTGATCATTGAGTCTCGCCATACTGTTTGTATTGTCATCCATGACAACCGACTGCCGTCTAAGGATCTCTTCGGTCTTAGGTTCACTGTTGATTGGCATGATGTTGGTAAGTCGGATGGTTGGGTGGCACATGGCCTCCATTACTGCAGCAAGCAATCTTCCATAACCGTTTATGTTCAGCATTTCCTACAACAGTGGTAATTTAATCTATTATAGTTTTACTTGCAACTGGAATTGTAAACGAAAGCTACAATTTTTGGAAGTTTTCTTAATCTTTAAGTTATGAAATTGTTGTTAAAATCACAAGATTTCTATAAAAAAAATGTCTTTTTAATGTAAAAGTGTCATTTTCATGAAAAAGACCTTCATCAAAATTATGAATTTATTAAAATAGAAAGAATTTAAAATCACAACGGAGTGTAAACAAACAATTATGATTATCCTGATGCAGCTATTTCCCAAATCTTTTCATATAAATATGAGTTAAAGGAAATATAGGGTTTTCATTAATGAGATAACAACTTCGCAATGCAGGCTTACAAAACTGGACATCTACAGGTCAAGGACAGGTACATAAACAGGTCATGGGGTTAACATTATTTGTTATTTTCTGAAAATGAGTTATTTCAATGTAATGATAAAAGCTGTTACCGGATTCATATTGTATTTTGAAAGTTTAAAATACGGCAGTTACTTCCCTTTGTCCGTAAACATCTCCAACATTATTCTGAAGTATTACTTGGAATATGGCACTCATGGAAATCAACAAAAATTAAGTTTTGGGGAGTTTATTACAATGTATTTAAATATTTCAGTCAAGTTACAATCAAGTTAACATATAAATGGAAACTAGATTTTCCACACAGATAAATGAACTGTGCATAAATTATATGTTATATTATTACATTATGTTATGATTATAACGTATATGTTAACTACAGCGAGATATATAAATAAAAACACTTTCTCTGAATTATGTTTAAAACAAAGTAAAATTAAACAACTTTAAAGCCTTTGGAATATTAAAAAATATGAACCACTTGTCACAATATTATAAATTACATTACATTTTGCAGTATCAATTTGAGGATAACTTTTCATTTCACTGAACAACATTTGGTGCCTGTACTAAGTCTGGCTATCTGGACCATGTGTTGTTGGTTGTCTTTGTATGTCTGTTTTTTTTTTTTTTTTGAGGAGTCAGGTTTGTGGTTGGTGTTATCTGCTGCACTGTGCAGTAGTTTTGGTGATTCCTATTATCTCTTCTAATATTTAATCACATGTATTAAAATCATACTAATCTTGACAATATTATTGCATATGAGCGAGCTATCAACAGTATTGTTTAGTGCTACATTTAACTTCTTTTATAAAATTAATATTTGAGAGGTCAGTTAACAGAATAAAGGATTAATAAAACCAGCTGTCATTAGACAGACAATGAAATGATGATAGCATGCTCAATATATATTTTATATTTTTAAGGCTGGAAGAAAAATAATATGAACTAGGATCAGGAAATATATGGCTGCTATTACATGGATGTTCAAGATCAATCATGTATTGATTGATTCACTTGTGGTAATTAAATGTCATGTCAGCAAAGATGGGTATGTCTTAGAGAGTTAACCAAAGAACACCTTATGTATGTTAAGTTATTTTTTTTGCTATGAGCAAATATAAAATCTCATTGAAAAAATAACTAAATTTCTTTTATGCAACAATTACTGAACCAACTTGAATAGAAATGAAAAAATAAACAAATAATTGCCTCAAAATTTCCTACAACTTTCTTTATATTAAAGTAAATGAAGATAACACTTTATTAATTTGGTGTGTCAAAAGCTTTTCTGGATTTACCTTCATTAGGAACGCTCAAGCCCAAACATTTTGAAAGCCAGGGATGTATAAGAACAGCTAAAAAGGGTCCAATTCTCTACTTTTGCAACTCTATACAGGAATTTCTTTCAATCATTGATTTGTGGGGTATATACATTAAAGAATTGCTGTGTCATTAAAAGACCCATACTCTGATATTTTTAAATTCCTGATGAATTATTATTGCATATGAGGGAGCTATCAACAGTATTGTTTAGTGCTACATTTAACTTCTTTTATAAAGCAATTATACGACAATTCTTATTAATTTAAGCATCAACTTTTCCTGCTTACATTTCTCTGTAAGTGAGAGTTGTTGCTTTGTTTTACCCTAACCTGTATGTAATTCTATTTGCTTCCCCTCAATTAAGAACTAATGAATCCTGTTTACAGTAGAAAAGCAAACTAATTCTAGACAATAACAAATATCTAAATTACTATTATACTGTTTTCATTTTAAAATTTTGTTGTTTGAATGCCAGCGTAACTGATCAAGGGTACATAACAAAAATTAAAATTCCCATGTTGTGGATCATTTTTATAAAATTCAAATTTCACTCAGTGACGAATATGTCGCTACAGTATTAAAAACAAGCATAGCATAGAAAGTAAGCATGGCATAAAAATTTAAGCATGGCAACCCTCCAAAAATATGTCATGATCCCCAAACATCTATTTAATATGACTTGAACAATATATATCAATTAAATACATTGTGTAATAGTAATGCTGAAACAGTTTAATGATATAACTAAGAACATATACCATATATTTGAAGTGCCCCTGGAAAGGAAGAAAATGGCAATAAGTTCACAAGTAAAATAAATTCTAAGTATTTACATTTAATAAATAGTTGTTCCTTAAATTATCATACAGTAACATTTTGTAAAATTGCTAGAGGATATTTTTGTCAGTCTGACTGAAATATAGATCCTGCATCCATCTGCTTATACATGTATTACAAGCATGCAACAATGCTCCATTCTAATTTTTATGATAATTATTATGTCAATCGATTAAATGTCTGCCTCTAAGTTATGAAAGATGTATCATTACCACAAATAGGTCTTAAGAACAGAAAGTAGAACAGGGTGTTGTCAGATCCTTGTAAGCAAAGCATGGACACAGGATCTACATTTTACTTAGATTATATTTTTGTTCAAATTGTCCTTGATGAAGGGACAGTAATAAAATACTGGTAACAAGAGTGCACACGCTGAAATGTCTCGCCTTCTTTACTAATCATTGATATTATGTTGATAGTCCTAAATATAAAGCTTTATTACAACTGTCACATAAACTTAACATTAACCAAGAAAACTAAACATTGACCAATGAACCATGAAAATGAGGTCAAGGTCAGATGAACCATGCTAGGCAGGCATGTACAGCTAACAATTCTTCCATACAACAAATAGAGTTGACCTATTGCTTATAGTTTAAGAAAAACAGACCAAAACACAAAAACTTAACACTGAGCAATGAACCTTGAAAATGAGGTCAAGGTCAAATAAAACCTGTGTGACTGCCAAATAGATCATAAAATATTTTCATACACCAAATATAGTTGAACTATTGCATATAGTATAAGAAAAACAGACCAAAACACAAAAACTTAACTATAACCACTGAACCATGAAAATGAGGTCAAGGTCAGATGACACATGCCAGTTGGACATGTACACCTTACAGTCCTTCCATACACCATATATACTAGACCTATTGCTTTTAGTATGTGAGATATGGACTTGACCACCAAAACTTAACCTTGTTCATTGATCCATGAAATGAGGTCGAGGTCAAGTGAAAACTGTCTGACGGGCATGAGGACCTTGCAAGGTACGCACATACCAAATATAGTTGAACTATTGCACATAGTATTAGAAAAAAAGACCAAAACTCAAAAACTTAACTTTGACCACTGAACCATGAAAATGAGGTCAAGGTCAGATGACACCTGCCCGCTAGACATGTACACCTTACAATCATTCCATACACCAAATATAGTAGACCTATGGCATACAGTATAAGAAAAACAGACCAAAACACAAAAACTTAACTATAACCACTGAACCATGAAAATGAGGTCAAGGTCAGATGACACATGCCAGTTGGACATGTACACCTTACAGTCCTTCCATACACTGAATATACTAGACCTATTGCTTATAGTATCTGAGATATGGACTTGACCACCAAAACTTAACCTTGTTCACTGATCCATTAAATGAGGTCGAGGTCAAGTGAAAACTGTCTGACGGGCATGAGGACCTTGCAAGGTACGCACATACCAAATATAGTTGAACTATTGCACATAGTATTAGAAAAAAAGACCAAAACTCAAAACTTAACTTTGACCACTGAACCATGAAAATGAGGTCAAGGTCAAATGACACCTGCCCGCTAGACATGTACACCTTACAATCATTCCATACACCAAATATAGTAGACCTATGGCATACAGTATAAGAAAAACAGACCAAAACACAAAAACTTAACTATAACCACTGAACCATGAAAATGAGGTCAAGGTCAGATGACACCTGCCAGTTGGACATGTACACCTTACAGTCCTTCCATACACCGAATATACTAGACCTATTACTTATAGTATCTGAGATATGGACTTGACCACCAAAACTTAACCTTGTTCACTGATCCATGAAATGAGGTCGAGGTCAAGTGAAAACTGTCTGACGGGCATGAGGACCTTGCAAGGTAAGCACATACCAAATATAGTTATCCTATTACTTATAATAAGAGAGAATCTAACATTACAAAAAATCTGAACTTTTTTTTCAAGTAGTCACTGAACCATGAAAATGAGGTCAAGGACATTGGACATGTGACTGACGGAAACTTCGTAACATGAGGCATCCATATACAAAGTATGAAGCATCCAGACCTTCCACCTTCTAAAATATAAAGCTTTTAAGAAGTTAGCTAACGCCGCCGCCGCCGCCGGATCACTATCCCTATGTCGAGCTTTCTGCGACAAAAGTCGCAGGCTCGACAAAAACTATAAATTTATAAGAAACCTATTTTGGAGTGAAATTGTACAAATGTTAATTTCAAATAGTAATATAGAATCTAATTCCTTTAAACCAACAAATTTTCACAACTTTAGTTTACCTTCTTTTTACAGATGTAACACATAATTTGTACAACATATTTCACTTTTAAATCTTAGGGTATAAATTCTACTTACAGGGTCTAACATTCCAAGAAGATCACACAAACATAACCACTTCAAATTTCCTGTGGGATAAAACGCATGAAAACAGGCCCTGAAAGTGATGTGACATTCATTAAGAACTTCTTCCTCTAACTGATGGAACAATGAATGGCTGCCTGGCTCTGATAGGTACACTCTGACCTTCGTTGAAGGTTGAACTTCCTCCGCTAAAATTGTCCTAAGTAAGTCTTGAGTTTTGCCAATACATTCTGCTAGCTTCTCAGATTCTGTCACTGTTCTATGTGATGTTGCTGAAGAAAAGAAAAAAAATATAAATGTAAATGTAAAATATAAACAGCTTTTTATCTGCATATTAAACAAAGTAATAATCATGATATTTTATACTTTGTCAGACTCTGTGAATTTTAGTGCTTGTTCAATTGTATGCACATCTGTCTACTAGTGAAGAATGTATGTTGACCTCTAGATGTCTTTTGGTTGTCAAGTTGTTGGGTTGCTGTTTTCAGTGATATATATATATATATACCACTGTTCAAGTGAAGTATATTCCACATCTTCTTTTATTATATTTTACTCTATTAATAATGGATATTTCAAGAAAAGTAATCACACAACTGATAAACGCAATCATTTAGGTTCTGTCTGATCATATTTACTATGGAAAGCATATAAAACATTACAATTCAGAGATTGTTAAAAACGTTATTTTCACTCTGTGATTCTTCCAAGATTGCCTATAAAATTACTAACTGCTCTTTGAAATTCTTTATCTATTATTTAATTTTTGTATGAATACATGTAGAATACCTCAAAACAGACAAACAAAGGAGTCAAAATGGAATTAAAACACCAATGTGCTCATTTTAAACCATAGTGTTATTGATTACAAATTATTATGACATAAAAATGAGATGCAATAGGTCCCCTAGTGCTTAAAATCCTGCATGGAGATTTTAAGAAGTGATATTTTGTTGCTGTAAACATTTTCATTTTAAATCAGTTTGTAATTTGATCTATTCTTGGAAAATCACATAGTTTTTAACAATCTCAAAATTGTCATGCTTAGTGACCTAATATTTCATGCTAAGTGACCCCTTTATATTTTCATATCATTAAAACAGAAATGTTTACCGACAAAAAATATCTTTTACACAAGTTTTTTCAACAGTATGTTTACTTACTTCCATCAGGGTAGATTTGTCCTACATAGGTCCTGACCAATCGTAGACACGCTTTGTTGACGTAGACTAATTGTCTGATATCTGACAAAGCAGCATTATAGTTATCTCCCTTTATACCATCTGCTTCAACAATGGAAGAATTAAATGTAGTCCATGACCACTGTATCAATGAAAGAAGAGCATCGAAACATTCCTAAAAATAAAGTAAAAGAAAAGTAAGCATTCGGTAAACAGGAAGTTGATGAGCAATAGCTGGGACAATGCATCACATTATATATCATGCACACATGAAACTTGAAACAAAATTTCTGGAAACTCAAATGTGTAGGTCCTGAGAAAATTGCAATGAAAATTTCATACATGTCCATTATTGGTGTAATAACTGTGACTTTGTCTACATGTCGGTGATTATGCAATACAGTGTTAACATTGTTTCCCGTATTTTGACGTTGTGTGATAGTGACGCGAGAGGAGAGAGATGTTTGGATGGGAGACTGTTGAGGAATGAACAGAATAGCTGGAATGGTGTGAACTGTCAGAGTGTATGCCTGCGTTTTGTATTTTATGTGAACTTTGTAACGTCTATATGATAAATGCAGTATGAATAAATCGTGTTATTTTCTACAAAGATGGTGTTTATTTATAAATATGAACGCTCTAAATTCTACGTTTACAACAATAGGTATGAACATATATTTATTCCATTAACAGGAAGTTGATGAGTGATGGATATGAAAACATGTCACACAGTATAACATGCTCACTGGAAGCTTGATGCCCAATAACCAAATAAAACAGCTTTGAAAAGACATAAGATAAAGACTATATGTCTATAGGACTCCAAGCACTGCTGGCACTATTACATTTGCATACTCTGGGTCAAACCCCTAATTTGGTATGTATTTTTTAAAATGTCACATCACAATGAGCATGGAGTCTGTTATCCAGTGGTTGTCGTCAGTTGCTGTCTGCCGTATTTGTCTTTCATTTATTGTTGTAGTTTAAGAAATGTAGTTGGCTTTTTTTTTTAAATGTTTCACATTTTATCATTTGAGGGCATTTTATAGCATACTATAGTGCCTAACACGATTTTGTGAGGTAGACGAAATTGACCTTAAAACAATCGTATTGAATTTTGATGTTCAAAAATAGGCAGATCGGACATATTTTGACTTTATTTACTGACTACGTTTGTTTGAATTTAATCGTAATTATAACATTATAATGAGACTGAAAAATTTTTTTTTGGTTAAGATAAACAATAATTTTACCTGGCGTAGCCGTGCGTAAAATGTATTTCAACATTTCTCTTCTTTGAAAAATGACTTGTTTAATGGAATAAAACATTATGATTTGTAAACTTTCTCTTTTTTCTCAGGAATAGGCTATTAAAAAATAATTTTTCTACTCTATATGCGTAAAATTTTGTGAAAACATAAGAAGTGGCAATTCTTGCCTTCATACCTTTAGTTTCATTGATAAAAAATAATATGGACTCGTCCAGTTTTTGAAGGTCATTTAAGTTACTGTATGCATTTGTGTACATGTAAAATGAAGAGCAATTATAATTCAGATTTAAGAAAACAAATTTTTCAAATACATTTTGTTGTACATTTTGAGCTTAATTGATAAATAAATAAAAACAAATAAGGCATCGACTGTTCATCTTTATTGTTACATTCTTCTGGGACTATAATAGTCCCAGCATTCTTGCACGTTTTGATTTAATCAATATACATGTATGAAAAATATAAACAGTTTAAAGGTAAACTAATAATAACTTAATCCAATCAAATTGCGTAAGATTCAATAACAATGACCGGTCCACGTCATAATATGTAATAAGGGTAAACTGGGTAGGGAGAAAATGATAGATATTTTTTGTAATAACAAATAAAAATTTGTCAACCAAAAGTTTAGCTATGATTTCAAAAACATGTCGTTCTGTATTGGTATAGTTTTCGGATATTTCATTAGCGTATTTAAGGCCATAAAAAGTTTGGGATTCAAAAGTCTACATAATTATTGACTTTATACAAAAAATTTGCCCTTTTAAAACATTTATTGTTTCACAAATAAGTAAAATCATTTCTTAAAACACTGCAAAACATTTCGTTCTGATTGGTATAGTGGTATTGTCAAAAGTGGGTTGAAATGAACTGTGGTATAGCAAACATCTAATTCCCCAGTCTCAAAAAATGTTATCACACACTATAATTGTTTTGCTCATTGTTAAAAGTCACATGGTGACCTGTAATTGTTTACATCAACTCACCATAGATAACAGGATTTAAATTTAGTACGCCAGATGTAGTGATACTAGAATCAAGAAAGTCAAAAATTCAAAATATAGGAGGAAGTTGAAGTGCATTGAAGATCCAAAAGTTCTGAACATTTTTTCCAAATACAACTAAGGTACATGTAGTTTATTCTTGGGATAGAAACCCCTTAGTATTTGTCCTATGGTTTAAATGTATAACTGTCTCATTGGCAATCATACCAAATCTCTTTAAATATATATGTGTAATAAGTTTGATGTTGATGTCACCAAAACTTCATGACAAATTGACTTAGATCAAAACTTTTCACCTAATTTGGGATGAACAGACAGACAGAAGTATTAACTCATAGAAAGCATGACTAACAGATGGACTGATGCACAAACAGAAAAATATGATAAATATCCAATGGAAATAACAACAACTTACAGGGGTTACTGAGCACGAGAAGTCCTGACCCAGAATATGAGCTGGTTCAACATAATCTACTTTTCTGACAACACCACTATTCTCTCTTGATGGTAATCTGTAAAGATGTAAGTGCATAAATATAAATATTATAAACTATACATTGCATATCATAAATCCATAGCTCTATGAATGTCATAATTTCAATTTGTAAAAAAATAAACAAGAGGCTCTCAAGAGCCTGAATTGCTCACCTATATTTCAGAGGAGAAGATTTTTAAATGTTAGCAAACTTGATGAACAAATTGTGTAAAATTGTCTTTAAAGGGCAATAACTCCTTAAGGGGTCAATTGACAATATTGGTCAGATTAACTTTTTTGTAGATCTTACTTTGCTGAACATTATTGCAGCTTACAGTTTATATCTATCTATAATAATATTCAAGATAATAACAAATAAAATGCTCCGCAGGGCGCAGCTTGATACGACCGCAGAGGTCGAACCCTGAACAGTTGGGGAAAGTATGGACACAACATTCAAGCTTGATACAGCTTTGCATTTGGATTGTGATTAAATATTTGACACAGCATAGGTTTCTGACACAGAATGAATGTGGTCTAAGAACTTAAAAATTTTAAATTGGACATTCACCTATTATGGTCCAATATCCAAAATCTAAGTACATGGTTAGATTCAGCATATCAAAGAACCCCAAGAATTCAATTTTTGATAAAATCAAACAAAGTTTAATTTTGGACCCTTTTGACCTCAATGTGGACAAAGTTGATAACGCAGCCCAAAAATCAAAAATCTAAATACATGGTTAGATTCAGCATATCAAAGAACCCCATATATTCAATTTTTGTTGAAATCAAACAAAGTTTAATTTTGGACCCCGATTTGGACCAACTTGAAAACTGGGCCCATAATCAAAAATCTAAATGCATGTTTAGATACAGCATATCAAAGAACCCTAAGAATTCAATTTTTGTTAAAATCAAACTAAGTTTAATTTTGGACCCTTTGGACCTTAATGTAGACCAATTTGAAAACGGAACCAAAAATTAAGAATCTAAATACATGGTTAGATTCGGCATATCAAAGAACCCCAATAATTCAATTTTTGATGAAATCAAACAAAGTTTAATTTTGGACCCTTTTGACCTCAATGTGGACAAAGTTGATAACGCAGCCCAAAAATCAAAAATCTAAATACATGGTTAGATTCAGCATATCAAAGAACCCCATATATTCAATTTTTGTTGAAATCAAACAAAGTTTAATTTTGGACCCCGATTTGGACCAACTTGAAAACTGGGCCCATAATCAAAAATCTAAATACATGTTTAGATTCAGCATATCAAAGAACCCTAAGAATTCAATTTTTGTTAAAATCAAACTAAGTTTAATTTTGGACCCTTTGGACCTTAATGTAGACCAATTTGAAAACGGAACCAAAAATTAAGAATCTAAATACATGGTTAGATTCGGCATATCAAAGAACCCCATATATTCAATTTTTGTTGAAATCAAACAAAGTTTAATTTTGGACCCCGATTTGGACCAACTTGAAAACTGGGCCCATAATCAAAAATCTAAATACATGTTTAGATTCAGCATATCAAAGAACCCTAAGAATTCAATTTTTGTTAAAATCAAACTAAGTTTAATTTTGGACCCTTTGGACCTTAATGTAGACCAATTTGAAAACGGAACCAAAAATTAAGAATCTAAATACATGGTTAGATTCGGCATATCAAAGAATCCCAATAATTCAATTTTTGATGAAATCAAACAAAGTTTAATTTTGGACCCTTTTGACCTCAATGTGGACAAAGTTGATAACGCAGCCCAAAAATCAAAAATCTAAATACATGGTTAGATTCAGCATATCAAAGAACCCCATATATTCAATTTTTGTTGAAATCAAACAAAGTTTAATTTTGGACCCCGATTTGGACCAACTTGAAAACTGGGCCCATAATCAAAAATCTAAATACATGTTTAGATTCAGCATATCAAAGAACCCTAAGAATTTAATTTTTGTTAAAATCAAACTAAGTTTAATTTTGGACCCTTTGGACCTTAATGTAGACCAATTTGAAAACGGAACCAAAAATTAAGAATCTAAATACATGGTTAGATTCGGCATATCAAAGAATCCCAATAATTCAATTTTTGATGAAATCAAACAAAGTTTAATTTTGGACCCTTTTGACCTCAATGTGGACAAAGTTGATAACGCAGCCCAAAAATCAAAAATCTAAATACATGGTTAGATTCAGCATATCAAAGAACCCCATATATTCAATTTTTGTTGAAATCAAACAAAGTTTAATTTTGGACCCCGATTTGGACCAACTTGAAAACTGGGCCCATAATCAAAAATCTAAATACATGTTTAGATTCAGCATATCAAAGAACCCTAAGAATTCAATTTCTGTTAAAATCAAACTAAGTTTAATTTTGGACCCTTTGGACCTTAATGTAGACCAATTTGAAAACGGAACCAAAAATTAAGAATCTAAATACATGGTTAGATTCGGCATATCAAAGAACCCCAATAATTCAATTTTTGATGAAATCAAACAAAGTTTCATTTTGGACCCTTTGGACCTCAATGTGGACCAATTTAAAAACGGGCCCCAAAATCCAAAAACTAAATACACGGTTAGAAAACCCCATTGAAATTGGTCAAGAAATAAGCAATTTATACAAAGTATCTTCTTTTGCACAATACTGTGCAATTAAATATTTCTTGCTATTGCGCAATACTGTACAATTGACAATTTCTTGCTATTGCGCAATATTGTGCTATTGGATATTTCTTGCTATTGCGCAATACTGTGCAATTGAAGATTTCTTGCTATTGCGCAATACTGTGCAATTGAAGATTTCTAGCTATTGTGCAATACTGCGCAATTGAAAATTTCTTGCTATTGCACAATACTTATTATATAATAATTTACACATCCTGTTTGGTGTGTATCTCCTACCATATCATTATTATTTGCTTTTAAATATAAATCAGAAATAACCAACTTAAAATGGAAAATTTTAAAAGAAAAAAAAAAGGAAAAAAAAAAAAATCCCCCCCCCCTAAATTTTTTTAACCCCCTTATGATTCATCACCCCCAAACTCAATCCCAGCCTTCCCTTTGTGGAATGGTACCTTGTAGTACAAAATCAGAGAGATCCATATACTTGAACACAAGTTATTGTCTGGAAACTAGAAAAATGTGTTTTTTGGCCCCTTTTTGGCCCCAAATTCCTAAACGTTTAGGGCAATTACCCCCAAACTCAAACCCAGCTTTCCCTTTGTGATATGGAACCTTGTAGTACAATTTCAGAAAGATCCATACACTTACACACATGTTATTGTCCTGAAACTAGAACAATGCTTGTTTTTTGCCCCTTTTTGGCCCCTAATTCCTAAAATATTGAGGCAATTACCCCCATCATCAATCCCAGCCTTCCCTTTGTGGTATGGTACCTTGCAGTACAATTTCAGAGAGATCCATACACTTGAACACAAGTTATTGTCTGGAAACTAGAAAAATGCTTATTTTTGGCCCCTTTTTGGCCCCCAATTCCTAAACGTTTCGGCAATTACCCCCAAACTCAATTCCAGCTTTCCCTTTGTGATATGGAATCTTGTAGTACAATTTCAGAAAGATCCATACACTTACACACAAGTTATTGTTATGAAACTAGAAAAATGCTTGTTTTTTGCCCCTTTTTTTGCCCCTAATTCCTAAAATTTTGAGGCAATTACCCCCAAAATCAATCCCAGCATTCCTTTTGTGATATGGAACCTTGTGGTACAATGTCAGAGAGATCCATACACTAACACACAAGTTATGTCTGGAAGTTACAAAAATGCTTATTTTTGGCCCCTAATTCCTTTACTGTTGGTACCATAACCCCCAAAATCAATCCCAACCTTCCTTTTGTGGTATTGAACCTTGTGGTAAAATTTCATAGAGATCCATTTACTTAAACTAAAGTTAGAGTGCGAAAACCAATGTGTCTTCGGACAACGCTGGACGACGCCAGACGACGACGACGACGACGACGACGCCAACGTCATACCAATATACGACCACAAAAATTTTTTGCGGTCGTATAAAAACTGCAAAATTTTGTTAAAACTACCAATTTGGTGGCAGAAACCCAACAATGGATTGTTCGATTCGTCTGATAATTTCAGGGCCGATAGATCTTGACCAATTGAACAATTTTACCCCATGTCAGATTTGCTCTAAAAGCTTTAGTTTTTGAGATATAAGCCAAAAACTGCATTTGACAATTATGTTCTATTTTTAGCCATGGCAGCCATGTTTGTCAATGGATCAAAACTTCGGATACATATTATAAACAAGATACCCTAAGGAACATTTATTAAAATTTTGAAGGTAATTGGCCCAGTAGTTTCAGAGGAGAAGATTTTTAAATGTTAGCAAACTTGATGAACAAATTGTGTAAAATTGTCTTTAAAGGGCAATAACTCCTTAAGGGGTCAATTGACAATTATGGTCTTATTAACTTTTTTATAGATCTTACTTTGCTGAACATTATTGCTGTTTACAGTTTATATCTATCTATAATAATATTCAAGATAACAAGAGTGCACATGCTGAAATGTCTCGCCTTCTTTACTAATCATTGATATTATGTTGATAGTCCTAAATATAAAGCTTTATTACAACTGTCACATAAATTTAACATTAACCAAGTAAACTAAACATTGGCCAATGAACCATGACATTGAGGTCAAGGTCAGATAAACCATGCTAGGCAGGCATGTACAGCTAACAATTCTTCCATACAACAAATATAGTTGACCTATTGCTTATAGTTTAAGAAAACAGACCAAAACACAAAAACTTAACACTGAGCAATGAACCTTGAAAATGAGGTCAAGGTCAAATAAAACCTGTGTGACTGACATATAGATCATAAAATATTTCCATACACCAAACATAGTTGAACTATTGCATATAGTATTAGAAAAAAAGACCAAAACTCAAAATCTTAACTTTGACCACTGAACCATGAAAATGAGGTCAAGGTCAGATGACACCTGTCAGCTAGACATGTACACCTTACAATCATTCCATACACCAAATATAGTAGACCTATTGCATACAGTATAAGAAAAACAGACCAAAACACAAAAACTTAACTAAAACCACTGAACCATGAAAATGAGGTCAAGGTCAGATGACACCTGCCAGTTGGACATGTACACCTTACAGTCCTTCCATACAACAAATATACTAGACCTATTGCTTATAGTATCTGAGATATGGACTTGACCACCAAAACTTAACTTTGTTCACTGATCCATGAAATAAGGTCGAGGTCAAGTGAAAACTGTCTGACGGTCATGAGGACCTCGCAAGGTACGCACATACCAAATATAGTTATCCTAATACTTATAATAAGAGAGAATTTAACATTACAAAAAATCTTAACTTTTTTTTCAAGTAGTCACTGAACCATGAAAATGAGGTCAAGGACTTTGGACATGTGACTGACGGTAACTTCGTAACATGAGGCATCCATATACAAAGTATGAAGCATCCAGATTTTCCACCTTCTAAAATATAAAGCTTTTAAGAAGTTAGCTAACGCCGCCGCCGCCGTATCCGCTGCCGCCACCAGATCACTATCCCTATGTCGAGCTTTCTGCTACAAAGGTCGCAAGCTCGACAACAAAAAACTGCAAAATTTTGTTAAAACTACCAATTTGGTGGCAGCAACCCAACAAGGGTTGTTCGATTCGTCTGAAAATTTCAGGGCTGATAGATCTTGACCAATTGAACAATTTTACCCCATGTCAGATTTGCTCTAAAAGCTTTAGTTTTTAAGATATAAGCCAGAAACTGCATTTGACCCCTATGTTCTATTTTTAGCCATGGTGGCCATGTTTGTCGATGGATCAAAACTTCGGATACAATTTATAAACTAGATACCCTAAGGAACATTTAGTTAAAGTTTGAAGTTATTTGGCCCAGTAGTTTCAGAGGAGAAGATTTTTTAAATAGTTTACACCGACAGACGACGACAGACGACGGACAACGACGGACGCCAAGTGATGGCATAAGCTCACATGGGGCCCTTCTGGCCCCGGTGAGCTAAAAAACAGAGTTTTACCATCCCCTCAGTTGCACATATCTTGCTAAGGGCAATAACCTTAAACAAGTTCTTTTACACTTTTCATTAATATCTTACAAGAAATGTAGGCATGTGATCACTAAGCATGTTATTTTCCATACACTTTTATTTCCATGGGGATGAACTCCTGTAAAAACAGTTGGTGGACACTCTCCAAAGACTTTACTGATATAAGCATTTGATATGAACTTCATAACAATTCAACAAAAAATGTAGGTTTTGGAGTGATAACAATGCAATGTTCAATATAAATTACATTTCAAAGAGACATAACTCCTGTAAAAATAATAGATCATTGAAGACATTGATTATACTAGGTCATGCATTTCTCAGACTGTTTAAAACGTTTTAACACCAAATCTGTGACATGTGTACTGATTGATACTTTAGTCTGGGAGAACATGATTTATTCATTATTGTAATTGACTTTGAGCTAGCTTTCAATAACTGTACTCTTATTTCAGTGCTTTGTTTCTACTGTTTTTTAATGCTAGTTGTTTTTGTGGCTCGTACCAATCTTTACAGTTAAGCCAATTGCTACTGATTTTTACAGTTTGTTCTTATGATGTGCTGTAACACTATTGTCCCAGGTTAGGGGAGGGTTGAGTGCTCACAAACATGTTTAACCACGCCACATTCTTTATCTGCCTGTCCCAAGTCAGGAGCCTGCAGTTCAGTGGTTGTCGTTGGTTCATGTCTGTCATAATTGTTTTTCGTAAATTGCTTTGTAATAAATCAGGCTGTTGGTTTTTCTCGTTTGAATTGTTTCACATTTTTCATGTCGGGGCCTTTTGTAGCTGACTATACAGTGTGGGTTTTTCTCATTGTTGAAGGCCATATGGATGCCTATAATTGCTTTAGAATCCACTTCATTTGAACTCTGGTGGAAAGTTGTCTCATTGGCAATCATACCACATTTTCTTATTTTTAAATTGAGAGCACTTAAAATACAATTTTCTGTATAACTGATATTTCCAACGGGCATAACTCTTTTAACAATAGTTGATCAGCACTGATTTTTTATCTTGTCTGAGACATTGCTAACATAAACCTCTGATATAAATTTTATCAAAATCTGGAAAGTTTTCTACACAAAAGGGTTTACAAGACCAGATGAAGGGTCATGCAGACAGACATCCAGTATTTTTATGTCTCATTAACTGTCCAGTGTTTTCATGTGTTAATGCATACTTCAATTTTACCTGTATAATAATTGTGTTATCTGCTCAGTGTTCATGTTTGTTAATGCAATACTTCAAACTTACCTGTATAATAATTGTGGTATTTGTCCTGCATTCACATCTGTTCCATTGTTGGACTTTTTAGAACTCTTAAATTTAAATACAACTCTGAAAATAAATCAAATTATCTCCAATTGAAAATAAATCTTCATTCTCACATTAACCTTTTAAAGTTGAAACCTTTAAATGTCAACCTTCTTATTTTTCTTGCATGTTTAAAATGTCAGCAACTTGAAACAGTCTCCTATGTACTTTACCAATAAAAGGTTTTAGTACATTATCATCAATGCATAATTATCACTTAGAAGCCTTAACATTATTTAAAATTCATTTTCAACTTGTCAGATAATTTAAGTTCTGTTAAGAGCTATTTAAAACAAAAACTGTTGGTGAAGCTTTTAAAAAAATCAGAACAAGGTCTTGTGACATTAAAATCTTTCAAAAATGATAAGTTTTTTCTACTCTCAGGCATAGATGGCTTTAACAAGACTTGGCACAATGTTTTGGAATTACTGGTTGTCAATGCTCTTCAACTTTGTTTTGGGTTTGACCTTCTTTTGTTGGATTTGAGCAGCACTGATAAGTTTTGTGTATGGACGAAATGACACAAAAAACATTATTGACATTAGAACCAACAACACAAGTAAACTGAAACAGACATATAAACTAACTTACTTTGAATTCACAGAAAAAAATTGTTATAGGGGGTCTTTTAACATACATTAATTTTATTGTAAAGGATTTGAGTATTTTATTCAATTATCTTTGAATTTTTAAATCTGTGGTAAATAAGACTCAAAACTTACTGGTCGTCGGTGGAAATAACTGGTTGACCATTAGATCCACAGTCACTGCTTGGACCAGAAATTCTGGCCCAGGCCACATACCAACATTGGGCCTGTATCTGGATAGGCTCATCAAACATCATTGCATATTTTTCCCTAAAAAAATTACAACTACTCAAAGGTTTGCACAAGATGCTATAATCTATGAAGATAAATGGTATAATAAAACTGAGAATTCAGCTAGGAATTCATCATTGTTAAAAAAGCCACTGACAATCATTTGGCATTTGAGTAGTTCATATTTAAAAAATCTAAACAGGACATCTGTTACAAATCCTACATGACTACAAAAAATGAATTAAATACTTAAAATTATAATTGCTGTACACTTATATTTTTATATCATAAGACAGCTACAGATATATACACTGTATGAAATGCATTTTTTTTATCTAAGGTGATAAAAATAAGTGATGTATCTTTTACAAGAAGTACTTCGACTTCAAATTTGCTAACTATATGCCCATTTTGTATTTGAAAATAAATGAAATATAATAGTTTCTTAATATTAATTAAAAAATTTAACTCATTTTACATTCTGACCCATTGTTAAAAATGTGCAAGTGCCAAATTGTATAAAGCATGAAGGCTAGTAAAGTCATCACATGATATGTTGATCAGCTAATAGAAAAGTACAGATTATATAAACTATAGATCTACTGTATCTGACAAGTATACCCTACCTGGCTCCACACTCATACACCACTTCATCAGATTCACCAAGCATTTCTCCATCTGTCTCATTGTCACCTCCATCTGGGCCCAATTCAAACAACTAGAAACAAAAACATTTGTATGTTTGAAACTGGTACATAAGGCAAAATAAACTGGTTTATTTGCATTTATTTTGGCTAAGGCAAAATAAACGGGTTTACTGCTTTTATTTTGGCTATGTAAACTGAATCATCTGTTTTAAGTTTTCAATAAAAACAAGATTCCATGTGTTGTCATGCAAAGCATACTCCCAACCTTAATTCAAAGTATCAAAAAACAAAATGAACAAGCATTCTGAGAGTATTGCATGGCAATGCATAGTCCCCTACCGGTTAAAATTTCATTATACTGGAACAAAATGCTATACTTGATCTATAACTTGTCATGGTGTAAACTATATAACAAATATCAAGTCAATATCTTCAAGCATGATGAAAAAAGGTGTGGAAACTGATTATTTGAGTGAATTTTCCAAGTCCATGGACCATTATTCTGCACAAAATCATCAGACCGGAAAAAAATTCGTACTTATTATATAACTTGTCATTATAAAACTACATACCAATTATCAAATCAATACCTTCAGGCATGCCCAAAAAAGGATGGAAAAATGATTAATTAGGTGAAGTTTCTAAGTCCAAGGACCATAACACAAAATGATCAGATCAGAACAAAATTCGAACTTGATCTGTTACTTGTCATGATAACACTATATACCAATTATCAAATTATTATCTTCAAGCACAAGGAAAAAAAGTGCGGAAAACTGAATATTTGAGTAAATTTACTGTCCATGGACCATAACTCTGGATAAAATCATCAGAACGGAACAAATTTCGAACTTGATCTGTAACTTGTCATGATGAAAATATATACCAAATATCAAATCAAGATCTTCAAGCACAAAGAAAAAAAGTGTGGATAACTGATTTGCCGGACTGACGGATGAACAGACAGACCGACAGAGTGCAAACCTTAAGTCCCCTTCAACTTCGTCAGTAGGGGACTAAAAAAACAGTCTGTAGGAAGACATGTCACCCTACCAGGACACATAATTCTGACTCTGTCCTGATCAGTCTTTGCTTATTCTCTTAAATGCTGTGTGCTAAGCAGTGAAGCAGTAAATGTTAATTTTCAAGTCTTTGGCTCGACTCTGCCTGGGTTCTAACCTGCAACCTCCCTTACATGAGACAAGCACTCTAGAATATCCAAAGCACATATAACTTTCAGAAAAATTACATATCAGAGCCCCCAAAAGCATATTTCCAGTTCCTAATACCAATAAAGATTATCAATATGATGTTCTGAATATTATTCTTACCTTAATTCTGCCATAGTATTCTCCACGTCCTCCGAAGAGACCAAACCCTCCCAACAAGACATCAGTATCACACATAAATCTGACAGCCTCCATTGAATGACCAGAGTATCCCCAACCTCCTCCATGACCTGGAAAAAACATATTTTTTAACGAACAGAATGTATCCTTGATTATAAAAATTTGTAAGGGGTTCCGTGGAACCCTGTGTCTCGCCTGCAATTGCTGCTGTAGGTGTTAAAGTGTAATATTGACTTAAAAAGTGAGTCCATTTATCAATAAAATACAAAATTCAAAATAAATTCAAACTTTTTCTTTAAATGCTATTTCATGGTCTTGAAGATTAGCTTGTGTCCGAGTTTCATAACAATCCATGAAGTTTTACAAATTTATCATGTCAAAAGTCTTTAATCCCAGACTGTCTGTAAATGTTAACTGTAAAAATGTAAAAAAAAAACCATCTATCAGAAAAATACTGAAAATGAAAAAAACAATATTTTCAAAAGTTTGCTTCAGACATTATCTCTTAATCATAAATAAAATAAAATGATCCGCAGGGCGCAGCTTGATACGACCGCAGAGGTCGAACCCTGAACAGTTGGGGAAAGTATGGACACAACATTCAAGCTTGATACAGCTTTGCATTTGGATTGTGATTAAATATTTGACACAGCATAGGTTTCTGACACAGAATGAATGTGGTCTAAGAACTTAAAAATTTTAAATTGGACATTCACCTATTATGGTCCAATATCCAAAATCTAAATACATGGTTAGATTCAGCATATCAAAGAACCCCAAGAATTCAATTTTTGATGAAATCAAACAAAGTTTAATTTTGGACCCTTTTGACCTCAATGTGGACAAAGTTGATAACGGGGCCCAAAAATCAAAAATCTAAATACATGGTTAGATTCAGCATATCAAAGAACCCATATATTCAATTTTTGTTGAAATCAAACAAAGTTTAATTTTGGACCCCGATTTGGACCAACTTGAAAACTGGGCCCATAATCAAAAATCTAAATACATGTTTAGATTCAGCATATCAAAGAACCCTAAGAATTCAATTTTTGTTAAAATCAAACTAAGTTTAATTTTGGACCCTTTGGACCATAATGTAGACCAATTTGAAAACGGAACCAAAATCCAAAAACTAATTACACGGTTAGATTCAGAATATTAAAGAACCCCAAGAATTCAAGAATAAAACCCCATTGAAATTGGTCAAGAAATAAGCAATTTATAAGAAGTATCTTCTTTTGCACAATACTGTGCAATTAAATAGTTCTTGGTATTGCGCAATACTGTACAATTGACAATTTCTTGCTATTACGCAATATTGTGCTATTGGATATTTCTTGCTATTGCGCAATACTGTGCAATTGAAGATTTCTTGCTATTGCGCAATACTGTGCAATTGAAGATTTCTTGCTATTGTGCAATACTGTGCAATTGAAAATTTCTTGCTATTGCACAATACTTATTATATAATAATTTACACATCCTGGTTGGTGTGTATCTCCTACCATATCATTATTATTTGCTTTTAAATATAAATCAGAAATAACCAACTTAAAATGGAAAATTTTAAAAGAAAAAAAAAAGGAAAAAAAAAAAAATCCCCCCCCAAATTTTTTGAACCCCCTTATGATTCATCACCCCCAAACTCAATCCCAGCCTTCCCTTTGTGGTATGGTACCTTGAAGTACAATTTCAGAGAGATCCATACACTTGAACACAAGTAATTGTCTGGAAACTAGAAAAAATGCTTATTTTTGGCCCCTTTTTGGCCCCTAATTCCTGAACTGTTGGTACCATAACCCCCAAAATCAATCCCCACCTTCCTTTTGTGGTATTGAACCTTATGGTAAAATTTCATAGAGATCCATTCATTTAACGACGACAACAACAACGACGACGGAGACGACGACGACGACGACGACGCCAACGTCATACCAATATACGACCACAAAATTTTTTTTGCAGTCGTATAAAAAAGCTTCTGCCAAAGTTTCAAAATTCTATGAAGGTTTGACAAAGTAATTGATGTGTAACAAACTTAAACCCCAAACTTTATCTACTTGTTAAATGTTAAAAAAAAAAACTAAAGTCCATTTATCAGTTAAATACAGAAAAATGAAAATAAAAATTTTCAAAATTTTTGTCTGAATACTGTATTTTGGTCAAAACTAAGCTTCTGTCTAAATTTCATAAAATTCCATGAAGGTTTGACAAAGTTATTGATGACTGAAAAACTTTAACCTCAGACTGTTATCTACATGTTAACTGTAAACAAAACTAAGTCCCCATTTATCAGTAAAATATGGAGAAATGAAAATAAATATTTTCAAAATTTTGCTCTGAATACTGTATTTTGGTCATAAAGAAGCTTCTGTCCAAATTTCCTAAATTCCATGTAGGTTTGACAAAGTTATTGATGACTGAAAAACTTTAACCACAATAAATGACATACAATGCCTTGTTTTGTAGTGGTAATACAGTGCTGAATTTTTCTTCACAATGCAAAATTTTTTAACCAAAGTGTGCACATGTGCCAACTAGTTTTGGAGGAGTATGAATCTGTCTGAAATTGCAGATAAAAAAATATGAGATTTATTTGCATGAGTTGCAAGAGTGAAAAAAAAGGTTTCAGTTAACAAGTGAAAAACTGTCACTTAATTGTACTTACTAGCAAATCTATTGACAACAGCATAGTCCTCTTTGGAATAAACTTTAGCTGTAGACAGTTTCTCCTTAGCCTCTTCTTTTACTGTTAGGTTTAATTGCTGGGCTAGATTCAGTGTATCTAAACAACCTGTTGGTAAAAGTATTTACCTTACATTACTATGCATCACATAGGTTAGCAAATGAATCATTTACGATAGCATGATTTACTGTTTAATATTATAAACTGCTTCGCTGAGCGCAGCTGGATACGCCCGCAGAGGTCCAACCCTGAACAGTTTGGGCAAAAATGGACACAATATTCAAGCTTGATACAGGTCTGAATTTGGATTGTAATTAAATATTTGACATATTATAGGTTTCTGAATAAATGTAGTCAAAGAACTTGAAATTGGTTATATGAATTGAATTTATATTCAATTAAAGATTTCTTGCTGTTGTACAATACACTGTGTTGTTGTGCAATACACTGTGCTGTTGCGCAATACTTAGTAAATCTGTTGTCAGACTATAAACAAATAAAATCTTATAACACGGAAATGTAAAATCGAAAATTTATAAAAATTAAAAGGGAGCTTACATCAATAGATATAAACAATTTACCAAAGTTTCATAAAAAATGCTTTCAGCTTTTTTGAGTTATTGTCTGAAAACTGGAAAATCCCCCTTTTTGTAATGAAAAAAAAACCATAAATCGGAAACGTATAGTCTAAAATTTATAAAAATCAAAAGGGAGCTCATGTCGATAGAAATAAACAATTCACCAAAGTTTCTTGCAAATTGGTGAAATCGTTTTTGAGTTATTGTCCGTAAAATTGGAAAATCCCCCCTTTTTTAATGAATAAAACCCCAAAACTCGGAAACGGTACATCTGAAATTTATAAAAAACGAAAGGGAGCACATGTCAATAGATATAAACAATTCACAAAAGTCTCATGCAAATTGGTGAAATTGTTTTCGAGTTATTGTCCGAAAACTGGAAAATCCCCCCTTTTTTAATGAATAAAACCCCAAAAATCGGAAACGGTAAATCAGAAATTTATAAAAAACGAAAGGGAGCTCACAACAATAGATATAAACAATTTAACAAAGTTTCATGCATATTGGTTAAAGCGTTTTTGAATTAATGTCCGACATGTTGACAACGGACGGATGGACAGACGGACAGACAGACAGACGGACAGACAGACGGACAGACGGACGGACAATGGTAGACCATAATACGTCCCACAAATGGGCATATAAAAAGTCAGTGAAATATGTATGTGTGTGGTAGCATATCTTCCTGCTGTCAGACTATTAACTTACAACCTTTTAATCCAGTTTAGAGCAAGTATCATATGCATATCATATCAACATGCTACTTTCACAAACATGGACAATAGATTACCAACTTAGCTTAAAACATCAAGCAACCATAATTTTATTGACTTAACTGAATAAATTTAAGAAAAATAATGAAAGAATTTAAGACCCTTGATTAAATAAGCAAAAAAAATTACAGCTTTTTAGAAAACTTCCTTGTTTTGCATTTGAATTTTTACTCATGTACAGCAAGATTTTGTTTAATTCATATCCACTTTATACATTTTTTAAACAGAATAAAAAGAGAAACTCTTATTGGTGTAAATATTATTATGCAAGGAAAATATACCAGTACATTTTCAGGAATACTTGTTAAAACTTAACATGAATGACATTTACAAATTTGAGAAGTTAAAATAACAATGAATCCAATTCATACCTAAAACATGCAATGCACAATGTGACCTTGTAGCCTTGTGACCCATTTTCACAGGAACAGCTAATTCTGGTTTAAACAAACCACATTGTTGGTGACCTTGTGAGGTCAAAGGTCGTGCTTCTGTCACCAAACTGTTAAAACAGCTTACTTCCCTGTTTTCTGGACTATAACTATAATAAAAAGAAAAGTTATACATATGTAAAACTTTAATAAATGTGAAACATAAGAGCATAATTTATGTTGCACTCATGTAGCAGCAAATGTGTGAGATACATAACAGCCACATACACTATCAAATTTTCTCCATATTTCTATGTTTGAAAAAATATTTTTATAATTTCCTCTTATTAATCAATTAATTCGAACAAAACTTACTTTTTTTTTTAAATGTTAAACACATCATGCTGTTCACTTTGATTTAGCATACATGTCAATCATATGTGAGAATCAAATCAGTAATTAGTTTATCATTTGCATAAAAGTCAATGATCTGACAGCTAAAAACCAATGATTTTGTGATTCAAACAGAATTATAGCCGACTATACGGTTTGGGTTTTTCTCAATGAAGGCTGTACGATGCCTTTAATTACTTACATCCACTTTATTTGAACTTTGGTGGATAGTTGTCTTATGAACATGTGTTTCAATCTCAATATATACTAGTCTTTTTTTTAATAGCTTGGGAGTATAATGAGCTGGTAATTAAATGCAGCTTTTAACTGTCATTTTTTCAAATGATCAGGAAAATAATAAATGAAAAATATAGCATTTTACTCAGTGGGCATGATTTCAAATTAACAAAAAATTGGTCTACACCAAATGTTCTGAGGTCTATTCCTTATTCAGTGATAATTAAACCATACTGGCTGAATAATAGACCACCGAAAAAAACTCGTCAATTATGCACGCCTTTATGACATCATTTACCAGATAGAGGGGATCGCCTGTATCCCTGCAGTATTAACGTTCATCAAGCGTCTTAGTGATAGTCATTGTGCAGGATAAACTAGAAATAATGTTTGTTCTGTAGGTACTTAATCACAATTCCCTAATGACAGCAGTGCTGATTGTCAATTATTAGAATTCAATTTGCTGAATAATACGTGCAATATAGCATCATAGTTTTCCAACCACTCGCTCAACATGGGAACGGAAGTGACGATGCCCCTAAACACACGAATGATGTTCACTAAAACCAAAGTTTTTGACGGAAATGCATTGAACTTGAAAGTTGTCTATTGATAAAGCATGAATCTCAAAGATCAGTTATGTATGTGTTGTTCAAAATTATCTATCTTTGTAATTTTTTTTTTAAATTTAAATTCATTTTTAATTCATCAACTTTAAAATATTTTTTTTTAAGTCACAAAGGTCTTTTTTATGTGTTACAAAGTACATGTATATATACTACTTGCCTCCATAAAACATCATACACAGGATCTAAACATACAGACTGTTTAGAAAGATTTATCTTATATGTTATAAAGTACATGTATATATTACTTACCTCCATAAAACATCATACACAGGATCTAAACATACAGACTGTTTAGAAAGATCTATCTGATCAATTCCTCCAAAGCTGAAATAAATGAAGTGAATTTTTTTAGCCACACAATTTTCAAATTGATATACAGGATACAAATTTATATGGTACAGATTTTAGTATGTGTCACCATGCTTCCAAATAACTTTTATGAAATTTGCTTCATAACAAATATTTTGGATCACAAAATCCAAAAGGACTCTTGGATCACCAAATCAAAAAGGACCAACACAGCTACAACCAAAACAGTCTCTGATCAACTTTGCCTCAGAAAGTTGTAACCTGAGTATTAGTGTAATCATATAAACTGAAGATAAAGGAAAAGGCAAGTTTTGTGTTCAAATCTCCAATTTTTACAAATAATGCATCAACACACCATCTCATTATAAACAATTGATTGGGACATTTTTTTAATAAATCAATATAACCAAATTGTATTGTAAATGCTTTTTGCAACCTTTTTCCTTCCATTTTTTGGAGGTCATATTTTCCAAACCTATTGACGGGTCATCTGACTGTGCCAAAGAACTAAACAAAAGACTTACCTTCTACAGCTGCCATCCACTTTATTGATCATCAGACATTTCATCACAGCTCTATTCTCTTCTCCAGTTGGTATCAGACCTGGCATAATAATAATCAAATAAAATATTATATCTCAAACTCTATAGAACAAGCAATCAATAAACTAGAAACAAGTTGAACTGTGGGCTATTGCTTACTATAAATGATATCCCCTATCAGTATTCAGTATACAGGAAGTTGATGAGTGATGGATGTCAAAAAAAGTTTCACACATTATAGCATGTTGACATGAAGCTTTATTCCAAATTTCAGAAATTTTTTTTTTAAAGTAACTGAGAAAAATCTGACAACAATTTCAATTAATTTTTTTTCTGTGTCATTACATATATATATATATATATCTGTAAAACATAAAAATGTCATATTGGACATCAATCCATCCACTATATAAAACGATCATTTATTCCCAGTATACAAATTAAATTTCTTGATATATTCCTACCGCTGTATACATTTTTTTCTGTTGTTTCCAACCTGAAATTTATTCATGAATGAATATGAATTGTATTTTTTCTCATTGAAATACAAGATGTTAAAGCTTTTGCAGACTTCACAATCTACAACTAAACAGTTAAAGAAAGTGTTTGTAGATAATGTATGTTAAACATTTGTTGAGGTCTTAATTTGATTTTGCATATCTATCTCTCAGATAAAACAAAAAAGTAAAAGGTCTATTTCCTAATGCAATGTTTTGCTTTTTTCAATATTTTGGTAATCTGTCAAAAACAACTTATTTAATATGAATTCAATACAAATTTGTGGAGAGAAAATAGAAATTGTCTAATATCGTTTTAATTCTTACCAATACTTGTTTGGTTGGCAAACACCTTGGAAGCAGCTAGTATATGGGCATTAATCAGGGACTCATCAATTCTCATAAATGTTTGGTCACCACTTGCTCCAATCCATGTAGCTCTTCTACCATATCTTGCTCCTGTATTTACATATAGAACTAATTTTCAAATCAAGTTTCACATTAAATGTTCATTCTATTACATTTTTGATCATAAAATGCTGCACAATATATATTTCCCATTCAAAGTACTGTAAGGATATACAGATAATTGAAATATTTGTCCTCGATTCAGTATTAACGTAACATCCTTTTCACTTGATTATAATTTCTTTAGTTCTGTTATTTTTTGGAAAATTAGTTCTTGCTGCCATATAGCCAATATGTGCTGATGCTGTGTTAAACCGCCTTCAATCAATCCATAATACAAAAGCACAAAATTTTGTCAGTATGTTTGCATTCTTTTCATTGAGAGTTTTAAGTTCTTGTATAAAACCATTACCTATGAATTCATCAATGATTGTATAGTACCTTGGAAGTCCACACATCATGATAAATTTTTCCAAATTTCATACCCAACACTTAATTTTGTATCTCATTTTTCTACTGTTAAACAAATTCTGACAACTTGTACCAGAATTATTTGTCAATCAGAATCAAAATATTCTATTAGGCTTCTAAATAAGTCAATGGACAATTTTTATTTATTGGAACAAAAATTTTAGAAATAAATTGTCAGAGTTTGTATCAAGGATAAACTATGAATTAAAAAATGTAATTCAATAATCGGATTTTTAGAAATAATGCATATCTTTGAAGAAAGAAATTTACAAGTGGGGGTTTAGTTACCTTTGAACTGAAATTTTTTGTTTCCACTAATGAACTAGTTGAACCTAATTAACACATAATCATTCATAAATAGAAATATGATCTGAATGATATTCCTCAGTAACTAATGTATAGTGACATAAATATTGTTTTGCAAAATTTTGTGCTGCTGAGTTGTTGTCTTGTGATTTATCCAATTCCTTCATCAGTTCATCTTGCCATTTTTTTTATTATAATGTTATCACATGAATATGCTAATAAGGGGCCCTTGTCACGCATGCTTATTTCCTGGTAATGAAATCTGCACTTACCAATGCCTGGTATAGGGCCTGGTAATGCATACCATGAAGTTTTTTTGTTCTTAACCCCTCCTGCTTCATCATGACCTATTCTTCCTAATGCTCCAGACTAAAATAGAAAACATATGACATTCTGAGAGCTATTTTCCTAATGCTTGTAGTTTAAAGGTTTGGTTGGCTTGCTTGCTTTGTTTGTATAAATGTTTGTGCAAGCATCGTAATTAAGATTGACATTTGCAATCAATAGATATGCAGGGCTTCAGCTTGTATACATTATACTTAAATGTTATTGGATGTCAGGTATAATATACAAGCCAAAAAGGAACTTGAGGTCACTTGTTGTGCCAAAATATTTGTCAATATGATTTCATTTCATTTTGTTCATATATTTTTTCTCTTCTATCAGTTTCGTTGCACAACTCTCTTAAGACTTTCAAAATTTTGTTTGTTTGTGCTGTACCGTCTTTAGACAGTAAGATATGCATTAAATATGCTAGTTGGTTGTTCTGTATATGTATATGTTGTAATAACATAAAATAAGAAGTAGAAAGGAACTTTTTTTAAAGATTTCTAATTTTCAACCAATGTCAATCATATCTACAGAACAGTATTCAAATTAGGATTTCAATCTTACAATACAAAATCCTGTTTTACAGTACAGTAGACTCCGGCAAATCGGATACCCAAATTGTCAGCAAAAAATATCCTATTACCCGATATATTCAATTAAACGATAAATGTATATTCATTGAGTATTCTGTAATAATGAGTAGACCTAATCCTGAGATGTTACTAGCCCTGACCACTGCTTATATATGAAAGGGCTGGAGGATTGATGGAGTGATTTTTATCAGTTACATCACCACGATGTATGTGTAAAAAATTATCAGCTGGTTATGTAATGCTCATATTTTTTTTCAGTTTTTAAACCTATATTTATTAAAATAAATCAAATGTCCTGAAATATTTATGTGAATAATTATCTACCATACATAGTTTGTATCTTTATTTCATTTGTAAACGAATTAATATCCATTATTTACATTTATCACAGGTAAGCTAATTGGGCATAAATAGATCAAAGCATTTTCTAGCTGTGTACAATCTCTAAACTAAAATCGTATTTGTTATATATTTTATTTCTTTAAATAATCAAATTTATATTTATGAAGATAATCATGATTGATAAAATATTATTGCATTAAGCTTAAGTTTTCTGAAGACTGTTTATGCTTAGGTCTTGGTTCTCTAGGCTTCTTTACATTTTGTAAGCATAACAAAATGGCCTCCATGACATGTGGTCATACACATGTTACAAAATTATATCTGACAAAAGTCAGATTTCTCTTGTCAAAAAGGATTTATATGTATATTGCAATAAATTATTCAGAAGGAGGTACATTCAGTTTAAATTATATTTCTGATTCCGTGAGCATTTAGAGATTTATCAAAATTCTCCCAACGTACTGCTCTTGTATATTTTATAAATGAATTCAAACCATTTGAATTCAAAGGGCATCTAATTCACATTACAAATGAAGACAATGAATAAAGACAACAATTCATTAAGAAATAGTTCCTTTTTATTCAGTAAAAACTAATTTTTCTTGTTTGCAAGATTGTAATTTCTTAACTTCTGGGTCCATTTCCTGTCAGAAAAACATTGGAAATATCCATTTGTGCATGGTTTTGAATAAAATTTCCATAATATTCTTATCCTATTTGCCGATATATTCTTATACGATAAAATTAGCATTAAGCATATAGGGAAGGGTTTGGTGTTTTGAAATAATATTACAATAGCCGATATCCGATTAGGTGGAGTCTACTGTATTTAAAATAATCCATACATACCTTATGATTACCAAATGTATAGACCTGACCATTAGACAAAAGAGCAACTGTATGCTGTGCACCTGCTGCTACTTGTGTGGCTCCCATTGGTAGCTCTACCTTAACTGGTGCCCCTCTGTCAAATATAACAATCAATACTAAATTATGTAAAAAGTTTCTTTATGTTTCATGTATTTACAAATATGTGGTATACTATTATTAATATTTGTGTAATGTAGACTTTGATTTGACAAAACCAGTCAATTTTATATCATCAATTTCCTAGCTGCTGCCACTAGAGACTCCATACATTCTTTCAGTTGATCGTAAGCAAGTATTTCTGCATTTTTTCACAGTTGCAGTACTTAAAAGTTTATATAAATGGTTATGGTACTGGTATTTAAAACACTTTAGACGGCCTCTATTTGATGTTTACAAATTAGCAAATATAAGGTAAACTATGGCCTCCTTATACTTATTAGCTAAACCAGACAAAGTTATAATTAAAAATAAATGGGGGATGTGTCCATGGGACACAGATGATGCCCCCACTTGCATATAATGTTATAAAGGAACATAACTCACGAAATGTAAAAGTGACGCTACCCAAATTTGTACTTGATCTGAGTTTTGTGGTAATAAGCATTGTTTATAAGTTTCATAACATTTAGTTGAGGCAAACTTAAGTTAGAGAATGGAAACAAAAATTCAGCAATTTTTCCATTTGTAAAACGGCATAACTCTAGAGCCGTAAAACTGACGCCACCAAAATTCAAACTTGATCTGTGTTTTGTGGTAATAAGCATTGTGTATAAGTTTCATAACATTTGGTTGAGGCAAACTAAAGTTAGAGAACAGAAACAAATATTTCAGCAATTTTTCCATTTGTAAAGGGGCATAACTCTAGAACAGTAAAAGTGACGCCACCAAAATGCAAACTTGATCTGTGTTTTGTGGTAATAAGCATTGTCTTTTAGTCTCATAACATTTGGTTGAGGCAAACTAAAGTTAGAGAACGGAAACCAATTTTGGGACATACTGACCTACAGACGGACAAGGGTAAAACTTAATGCCCTCTCCGCTACGGCGGGGGCATAAAAAATAGGTCACTGCTGAAAACGGACTAAGTTTCACCATCTGGAAATATGTTAAACTCCTCCAAATGTGTACACAAAGGGAGTTTATCAATCATAACACATAAACAAACATTCCAGAAACTTTGAAAGCTCAGACTTGAAAACTGTAGAAGGTTCTATCACAAAAACAGGTTTTCTCCAGGTATTGTGTCTTAGCATGTCCTTCTACTGCTATTTTATAAGCCTTTGCATTTTTGCTATACTTATTGATTTTACATTGTTCAATTTCCTCTAAAGAAAGCCCTTTTACACATAAATGTACCTAATGGTTGTATCTCCTTGTCCAAGCTGACCATGGTTATTATTACCAAACACAAACACCTCTCCATTCTGCAGCAGTGCGACTGTAAAAAAAAGAAATATGCTTTATGAATGATAGAGAGGTTTTCTAGTTTATCTTCCAGGGAAAATGACAAATTTACGGTGCTTGTCCAGAACTTTCTCCGTGAATGAAGATTTAGTCCAGAGTCACTGATATCCACCAATCTAAAGGTAAAATCAAATCCATCCACTAGAATGATATTACATGAACATATGTTTAGACCTTAATTGAATTGGTTCTGCTACAAAAGCAGTCCGCAAAAATATAATGAAGATTCCAGTATCAACAATATGAAAAATAAACTAGACAAAGATGATGCCCCCCCGCATGCATGAATAAAGTTCAGCAAACATTAGAAATAGCAAACAGTGACCTTGAAATACAACTTGAAACGGTTGTGTCACTCTGAAAGAAGCATTTGATGCCCCCCTTCATAGTTATGATTTATTCCATGATGTAGGACAATTCAGTTGTTGTATCTTTCAAACTCCATAACTCTTTTTTGTAAAGTTAAAAGTGAAAATTATATACATTTTATCAGGGGCATAAAAAGAAAATCTTACGATAATTGATAATGAAGAAGGTCTTCCTTCTTTTTTCACTTGCTTGTGGAGTGGACAAAAAGTATAGTAAAACAATATGATAATTTTACGTTTAGTGTTAAAGGTTAGACCTGACCATGAATTCTCAATTACAGTAAATTTTATATACGTAAGAATTGGTAGGGCGAGCTGATTCTGAATATGTACATCCAGAACCAATGCAGAGACCTATTTGATATATCTGCATCAAGATTGGGGATAGGCTTGTTAAAACACTGTATAATAGTGCCTACATGCATAGCAGGTACCTCTCAAGAACAAACACATATATGTATTAACTATAAATGGAAAAAGACATGGAATAGGACATTGTAAGAATACCTGTATGATGCTGTCCACATGATATTTGTGTAACAGTGATGTCTCCAGAACCAATGCAGATTTCCTGTGGAGGCAGACTGACGACTTTGTTATAGTCCCCTTCAGGGTCATTTCCTTGTGGTTCAGCTGCTGTAAATAAAAGGCTAACATTGTGATAAGGATAAAAGTAGACATGTATGTTTCAATTAGACATCAACCCAAAGACAAAAATAACAAACAGGACATCTAGAGGTAAACATAGTCTTCAATTATATTGTCTTCCTCTAGCTTTATCCATTCTTTTTTAGCTAACTATAAAGTATGTGATTTTCTCATTGTTGAAGGCCATACAGTGGCCTATAATTTCTTTCTACCACCTCATTGAACTCTGGTGGATAGTTGTCTCATTGGCAATCATTCCACATCTCCACATTTTTATGTATATTAAAATTTAAAAAAAAATTTAAATTACTGTTCTTGTTGAAGTGGACTATTGCCTTTTAAACCAGTTGTCTGTGGATACTGATTTTTTTCTTCTACTCGGTTTGTAGGTTTTAAAAAATAACAAAATAATGTGGAAAACATCTTTGAAAGTCCCAATAACAAATATATATGTTTATTTCATTCAATTTTAGTTCTACAAATCAAGAAAAACAAAACAAGCAATAAACAAGAATAAACTGTTAACACAGAGATATGTCTCGCCTTTTTGTAATTTTGATAATGTAAATGTTGAAATGAAAATAGCAATACTTTAACATGTAAGTTATGCAAATATTCAAAGTCAATGAACCATGACTGAGGAGGAAGGTCCAAACAATCTCCATGGAAATGAGATGTGCCAATGCTAATACAACTGCATATCAAATATCATTGACCCACCACTAGTGGTTCATCATAAACTAGACCTAATCACAAACTAATACATTGTTGATGACGCCGGAAACAGCATACTTATGTCTCGCTTTTTAACTCCGACAAGGCGAGACAATAAATTAAGTGACACAACCATTATAATTGGTTGAAAGTTTGAAGACTGTAATATTATACCTTTAGCTGCAAACATAATATGGATATTCAGAATAATAACATGCTAATGAGGTGAGGTAAGAGTTTTTTTGCTCTGTGTTGATTGCCTCACTGTGACTATGAGATGAAGAGCATTGTTATAAAAAGGCAAAAAGAGACAGATTTTTTTCCGTTTAACTACAGAAAACATCTCACTAAACACTGACACATTATTCCAACTCAAAACCAACCGACTTTTGCTTCTATTTTAAGATGCCACATGCATGACCGAGAAACAGAAAATACCAATTTTATTAGTCTTTGTTTAACCCAATTGTGGATCAAACCCATTACCTCCCACAGTTAAGAATTCTACCCAAAGAGCATCAAGACTGTTGAATTAAAATGAAAATGAGCTCTGATGTTTATGCAGCTGTGTGCGATGTACAAATAACTTATCAGCAGTGGTTCCTCTTGAAATTACTTAATCACCAGCTTAATTTGGAAGTACTTTTTTGGATTAAAGAATACTCTAACCCATACAAATTTGAAAGCCAAGAATGTATAAATACTTATCTGGAAACTTAACGCCTAAAATAGACCTAAAATGAATACCCAATAAATATAAGGTAAACTTTGCCATATAAAGTTGGAACCTTAGAATCTATCAACAGACAATTTATGAAAGGTATGTTATAATTCATGTTACTTTCTACGCAAAACTTCCATTGTGTAGATCTTTAAACAAGAGAAGTTGTGATAAACAGATCTAATTACCAATCTGAAACTTCTAACTCTTTGGAATGTACTATCTAAGTGTCTCCTTCTTTGACTTAAGTCACAGGTGTTAATAAAAATCTTATTTGAATTTTACCTTTAGGTTGATTTTTGGCTGCTTCCTTTCTCTTCGGTTCTTTTTTCAAAAGTAGTCGTTTAAAGAACTGAGCTAAAGGACTGTCTGGCAGATCTGGTACATGGTTCACTGAACATCAAGAAAATCAGAAAATATTTATTAGAATAATGACATATACCATGTATGATCAATAAACTCATCATAGATACCAGGATTGAAATTCAAATGTTTGTTAAACAACAAAAGTTCAATATCTTTACCATACCAGAGACTTACATACATATAAATTATCTTTATACAATCTGTGTCACTCGCAACGTTATACAGTCAATAGCAATAATATTTAGACACTGTATATTCAGAAATTATTGGGATGTCTATATTAATGCAAAAAATAGTAGGGAAACCAAAGATTCAAAACAGATTTTTTAAGACAACACTTGCTTTATTCTAAAACAAGCATTCTGAGAGTATTGCATGGCAATACATAGTCCCCTACCGGTTAAAAATTAATTGTACTGGAACAAAATGCTAACTTGATCTATAACTTGTCATGGTGTAAACTATATAACAAATGTCAAGTCAATATCTTCAAGCATGACGAAAAAAAGTGCGGAAAACTGATAATTTAAGTGAATTTTCTAAGTCCAAGGACCATAACTCTGCAAAAAATCATCAAACCGAAACTAAATTCAAACTTGGTCTGTAACTTGTCATGATAAAACTATATACCAATTATCAAATCAATATCTTCAAGCATGACGAAAAAAGTGCGGAAACTGATTATTTGAGTGAATTTTCTAAGTCCAAGGACCATAACTCTGCACAAAATCATCAGACCAGAACAAAATTCGAACTTGATCTGTAACTTGTCATGATAAAACAATGTACCAATTATTAAATCAATATCTTTAAGAATGACGAAAAATAACTGCGGAAAACTGAATATTAGAGTGAATTTTCCAAGTCCAAGGATAATAACTCTGCACAAATTATCAGACCGGAACAAAATTTGAACTTGATCTGTAACTTGTCATGATAAAACAATATACCAAATATCAAATCAATATCTTCAAGCATGAAGAAAAAAGTGTGGAAAACTGATTTGCCGGACTGACAGAAGGACAGACAGATGGACAGACAGACAGACAGACAGACAGACAGACAGACAGACGGACGGACGGACGGACGGACGGACGGACGGACGGACGGACGGACGGACAGACAGACAGACAGACAGACAGACGGAGTGCAAACCTAAAGTCCCCTTGGACTTCATCGGTAGGGGACTAATTAATGCTACTGGAAATAATAAATCAAGATAGAATGTAAAGAAATAATAGTTTTTGCTAGTTATAGTAAAAAATATAGATAATATTTGGTAACTTTCAATAGCAAAAACCAACATCTTTTATTCATATAAACATACATTTTTCATTTCCACCCAGTAACTGTTCTACATCAAATGGAAGATAATCTTTATGACGAGCCAACAATTCTAGCTGTTTCCCATGATCCTCCATTTCTAACACCTGTTCCCCAGCACATGTTCTACAGATACCACATTCTGAACATCCTGATTCACCTGCACCACACCCACAAAGCCTGAAAGATTAATTTGTACATTACAAATAGTTATGCTTGTTTTACTGGAACTAAGCTTTTTGCATGTAACTGTTTTACTGTGGTTTAATTTTTTTGTTGGTACCAATTTGTGGATTGAGAGAAAATTGTATTTTTCGAGGATATTTGTTTTAGTGGTTTTGCCAAAGTCTGTGATCAAGCCTATAGAAAATTTGGCCTTTGTTGATTATTTTAATTTGTTGTTCACGTTTACCAACGAAATTCAAGGAAATTTGTATCCCACGAATAATAATGAATCCACAGTTAATTTATATTTAACATTTTATTTCATCTGTATTAAACATGTTTTTGAACTCATTCTGCTTTTTCAAGAGTAATAGACAGTATTTTGAAACAATAGTTGTTTTGATTTACACTCAGCCTTATCCCAAAACTTATCTGGTCATATAAAAAACTGCTGATGTCCACAAATTGAGTCTTAAGTAGACTGGTACTCACATTGCAGACTGTCTCTCCTTATCTCCACTGTTGCAGCAGTTCAGACTGTAACCAGTACACTCTCCGCATACTGTACACACCATGCATTGGTCCCGCTTCCATTTATGTTTACCTACAGAATGAAACAATTGCATGAACAGTTTATTTAATACCTGTTCTAACTTGTTTGGTAAATTTTGATAAACCATATATTCATTAAATGTTGCTCTTGTTATTTCCAACCATATCCATTAAAAACAATGAACTTATGATTTTCCATTACATTATTAGAGAAACATATTCTACCACTTTATTCCATTGATTACAACATTTGTTCACTCTGGATTGTTAAACTTAAAAACCTTCAAGGTATACTTAGTAGGGATCTCCATGACCTGTTTTATGATGGCGCTACGCTATCTTAAATTATTTTCCACCATTATCAAATGATCCCCTCCATCATTGAATTATCAGCCCCAGCCATTGTTAGATAACTGCACTATGATTGAAAGGTGGAGTCAAATTTTGTTTTTGTTTCGCTAGCTGCTGTCATTTTTGTTAGCAATTATAATCAGCTGCATGTAATTGAATAACCCCTATTCTATTATAATCCAAAGGGTCCTCCTGATGGCTTTTTTAAATCCCTGTGGGAAAGCAGGCTTATGGTGGCTAATCACTTGTACAGTTCAACCTGGTCCTGGGGTACAATCTAAATTTACCTAAAAATATTCGTTTCTCTTTTAAGAAATACAGATCATTTTGAAAACAATTATAATAATCTTTGTTTGTGGGGATATAATTATATCCTCACGTAATTTGTTTTTCTATACAATAACACTTTCATTGTTTACCACTGTAGAATGAAATCAAAACAAATACTCTAATCCAATGAATAAGCAAACGGACTTATGGGTTTTACTTATTGTTGAAGGCCGTACGGTGACCTATAGTTGTTTTAATTTCTGTGTCATTTGGTCTCTTATGGAGAGTTGTCTCATTAGCAATCATACCACATCTTCTTATTCTTATATTAATATTCTTTGTAAGAAAATATTCCTCAATATTAGTGCAATTAACACTATCATCTATTAGTCCTTTTTAGGCCCATTTCAATTTTGTGCATTCAACCATTTCATACATTTGGCTTTCCAAATTATTGGGATTTCCTCAAACATGTGTTGTGCTCATGGATATATCATTTGTTTTAGTTTTTCATCTCTGAAATTTTCTTTTTTTCACATTGACTTACCATCAGGACAAATACCATCTTCTACCTCTGTTTCCTCTTCCTCCTCTGCCATGGTTACATTATTAGCTACAAAATATACAGCAAGATGTTATTTGTCAATTCATACCTAATTGAGTAGTTCATCTGCAGTGATCACTACCATGTCAACTCTGAGATTGTGAATTTGAACCCTGCTTAGACGGAGTTGTGTTCTGACTCAGATCTTAATTGACAAGGACTGTCAAGTTATTTTATTTTTGAAGGTCTTGGTTCTCACAAGGTACTCAGGCTTCCCCCACCAATAAAACAGGTGGCAATGATATAGCCAAGGTAACTGAAAGTGGCATTAAAACCAACAAGCAAACAAACATAGTTAATCATTATCGCTTTGAGCATACATTTATTTACGTGTGCAATAAGTACCATTTTTTTCTTTGTGTGTTTTGTTTCAAATACTTCATATCTTACAAGTCATGTGCCTGAATATAAACATTGAAATTATATTTGTGAATAACGAACCCCTCAAAAATAGAAGAAAGTAGAAAAATGCAACAGAAATGTGTTGCAGAACAGACTGATGTACAGAAAGGTGGACATAGATAAACCATTATATCTCCTCCTTTGGAACAGGGGTATAATAGCAGTTTACAGGTGATTGTTGTTAGATTACCTTCTTTAACTCCTCCAGGTAAGAAGTCTCTACCACATTGGCCTTTATTGTTGATACCAAATGTATAAACCTGTCCTCTATCTGTCAGCACTACTGCATGGGCCTTCCCTAAAGCTATTTGTGTAGCTACTGTGTCTTTCAGATCGGTTACTTGGCCTTTAATAAATAGAGAATATTATATGGCTTTTTCAACATCACATCCGTATCAACCTGAGACACCAATATAATCCCAAGAGCTCTGCTCGAGGGATTATATTGGTTGAGGGTTGATACGGTGTGTGATATTGAATAAACAGCTGCGCCATGAGCGCATGATACGCCCGTCGTCTTGTGTGTGAATTTTTATGCAATAAGCATAAATAGTTTCTGACATACGGCGTGACATGCGAAAACCCCCCTTTTTTTTTTTACAAAAAACTCAATATCTATAAAATAAAATTTTGAATCAAAACCAAAAAGTATACAGATCTTTAGATTAATATAACTAAGAAGTGTGTAAAATTTTAAGCAATAATCATAAATCGTTTTTGAGATACGGCGCGACATGTGAAAACACCCCTTTTAAAAAAAAAATCAATATCTCAAAAATAAAATTTTGAATCAAAACCAAAAAGTATACAGATCTTTAGATTAATATAACTAAGAAGTGTGTAAAATTTTAAGCAATAATCATAAATCATTTTTGAGATATGGCGCGACATGTGAAAAACCCCTCCCCCTTTTTTTACAAAATACTCAATAACTCAAAAATAAAATTTTGAATCAAAACCAAAAAGTATACAGATCTTAAGGTTAATATAACTAAGAAGTGTGTAAAGTTTTAAGCAATAATCATAAACTGTTTTTGAGATACGGCGCGACATGTGAAAAACCCCTCCCCCTTTTTAACAAAATACTCAATAACTCAAAAATAAAATTTTGAATCATCACCAAAAAGTATACAGATCTTAAGATTAATATAACTAAGAAGTGTGTAAAGTTTTAAGCAATAATCATAAATTGTTTTTGAGATACGGCGCGACATGTGAAAAAAAACACACACCTGTTTTAGTTACTAAGTCCCGTAACTCAAAAAGTTTTAATCTTATTTTCACCAAAAAGTATACAGATCGTTTGACCATCATAAGAAACAACTATGTTAAGTTTCATGAAATTTGGATAAGTCATTCTCAAGTTACAGTGCGACATGTTTATGCCGGACAGACAGACGGACAGACAGACGGACAGACAGACGGACGGACGCCGGACATTTGTATAACATAATACGTCCCGTCAAAAATTTGAAGGGCGTATAAAAAGCCATATCATATACACTTTATTATATACATATACTTCACGTAGATGTGTTTTATGTGACATGATGTCATACAGATAAGGGGGGTTGAAATGACGTCATACAGATTAGAGGTTTGACATGACGTCATACAGATTAGGGGTTTGATAAAGCCTTTGCAACAGTGACTGCAATCGATGACGTGACGTCATACAGATTAAAGGTGTGATAAAGCCTTTGCAACCGTGCTGATATCGATGCCAATGATTGTATTACACATACAATTTATCTGTATTTACTACTAAGTATATAATAAATATCATTTATACATGTATAAAGCAACAATCCTTATGCTTGAAAAAAATAAAGAAAAGATTTAACCAAATCTTAATAAAATGTATTACATTAGTTTAAATGCACATTCATGTCCTAATTTTTTGAAAGACAAATAAATATTAATATTCAATTTCTTTAATTTTTACCATTCCATATATCAGGTTATGGTCATTTAGTTATATGAACAGATGGTTCTGTTTTGCTAGGTTTGTTTTTCTTGAATGCTTGAATTTTAATAAAGTAACAAGAGGAATTGAATTTCCACAAATAATATCGTTGTGCAAATACAATGAAAGTAGAATTATGTTAAAACTCCTGATGGGTGTTGTAAGGCATTTTATCATCTTGATTTGTGGAGATTTTTATTTGAAGGAACAGATTATAGACCTAAACATTAAATTTGTATGCATGTTTGGATTTTACTATGTACAACATTCCTCCCCTTGCAAATGAATACTGTCCTCAAATTTACCTGTAGCATGATCACAATGTGTTGTATCTTTTCCAAAAATATAGACTTCTCCTTCTTTAGTCAATATACCACTACTCCCATTATTACATGCTGTATATACCACATGCTTTGACATAGTTTCCATACGGATAATCTTCTTTGGCTTCACAGCTTTTGGTTGTCTCCGAGCCTTAGCTGTAAAAAGATAACAAAGTTTAATGAATGTAAATAAATCACAACCAAAGATGAACTTTACTTCTTTATCGATTAGAAGGTTAATTGCTATTTATTCCTGAATTTTTCTTTGGAGGCAGAAACAATAAATTCAAATACTCGACTAAATACATTTTTCTAGTTCTTTCAATAGGAGAAAAAAATTAAAACACAAAATATGGTACCCTGGAAATAATTAATTTTTATTCAACAACAGAAATTGATATCAACCAAAACAGATGAGTTCATAGTAGCATTGAAATCACAAATTTCAAAAAATTAACTCAAAATTTTTCTATTTAAACTCAAAGTATTTGTTCTAATGTCTTACAAGAGCTAGCATCACCATCTTCGCCTCTTTTAGGAGTACCAACAAAGAACAAACTGCCATCTTCTGACACTAATAATGCATGTTGACCCTCATGGCCTGTAGAAATCTGTATAATCTTTGGTGACTTGGTAATAGGAAGCTCCCCCCATTTCCCTTGAGACGGTCCTCCTTGCTTGATTCCCAAAGCTTGAGATCTTCCTGTGTATAGTACCTAAAATATTGATTGTCATAATTCATTTCATGGCATTATAAGAATGACATTTATCAAAGTCTACATATTTTAATTAATTTTCAAGTATGTCTCAATGGTCTTTACCATTAAAGATAAGCTTCAATACTTCGTTTTCTAGTGGCAGTCCAAATATCTGGCTCTTCATCCCGGTCATCCCACCTTATAAAACCTACCTATTGTATCCATTGTTTATAATTTCTTGTCCTGAATATGCATGAAATAATTGCCACTGGAAGTTGCTTTTTTCCTTAAATCTATTATCACTAAAGACGCACCTTAAAAGAGTGTTACATTTAGGAGAGGTTTGGCACCATAAAACCAACCTTTATGTTATTGGCTTTGAACTAGTTTTCAGTAACTGTGAGTACTCTTAGATCAATGTGTCTTTTGTATTTATGTTCGTTGTTTTTGAGCCTCCGGCTTATCTGAATAGTCAAGCTATTTCCAACTGATTTTTACAGTTTTTTCAGATGTTGTGCTGTTACACCATTGTCCCAAGTAAGAGAAGAGTTGAGTGCTCACAAACATGTTTAACCCTGCCTCATTCTGTATGTGCCTGTCTCGTCAGATACCTGGAATTCAGTGGTTGTCTTTGCTTGCTGTCTGTTATATCTGTTTTTCTTTTGTCACAAACTAGGCTGTTATTTTTTTTTAATTGTTTTATTACACCTATCAAATGAATTTTATTATCAAATCCGTTAAAATACCTTGTTTCCAGAAGTTCTGACCAAGGCAAATTCTTTTCCTGATACAATAAATACTGAATCTTCATCAAAACCTGTATCTGAAACATTTAATTCAAAAATAATTTTAATTCCTGTATATTAACGATTCTTCATCCTAATTATTTCTTTTTTTTTTTGGGGGGGGGGGGGGGGGGGGGGGGGGGGGGGGGGGGGGGGGGGGGTGGTTGGGGGGTGGGGGAGAGATTTTAGAGTTGGGAGGGGGGGTGGTTGGGGGGTGGGGGAGAGATTTTAGAGTTTTTCAAACTAACCGATTTATAGTCATTTAAACATAAACATACTATATGCAAAGAGAACAAGTGAGTCAAACTCATAAAAGTTTTATTTAGGCAAATATTTCTTTGACTGGAAAACAAAGAGGTATGAGAGGTCATAAAAGAGACAAAAATTTGTTATAAAACTTTTTTTTCTCCTCCCTCATTAAAGGTAAGCCTAAAAGAAAACCCAGTTTGTTTTGTTGGTTTTTTTTACTAATTTTTTTCAAAATTGTCAAGTGAGATTGTAAGAAAACTGAAAAATTCTTCATTTCTTATATTTCATGAACTAGTTTGTTGAACAGTGTGGAAATTTCTGTCAATTGTAAAAAGCATGCAGTTATACATTTTTCCTGAATAATGAAGCAGACAAATCTAAATGATCATTTTAAATGATATGAGAAGAAATCTTACTGATAGATCTTTTCTCTGTTTCAGGATCATATTGAGCTGATCCAAACACATCCATACACTTCCTGGTCAATTTTAGTGGTAACTCGCTAACAACTGACATGGGAGAAACTGATGGATTATATAATCTGACTACAAAACTATCCTGTGGAAGAAAGCAAATATTTGTTTCTAAATATGCTGGGTTTTGATTTCATGAATTGAGGATGTGAGATGTGAAAATTAAATGGTTATGCTTAATTTCATCAATTTTATTCATGGCAGTTTCACATCACTTTGTATTGCTTTGGAATCCTTACAGAATTGAAAATATTTTCGAATATAACTTACTCATTAATGTTCTTGATGAAAGGCTTGTATGAAAACTATCTATATGTTGTTTTTATGTCTTATTTATTTTTTTCATCGTTGGTGGATATAGTGGTGTGTTGTACTATCCTGTATTTTAGGGGATTTCTGCTATTTATGTCATCTTTTCATCCGACTCAAGCGTAAATACCAACTTACATCTTTGGCTGAAGCTATCTGACCTATGTAATCTCCATCACTGAACAAGGCACAAGGACCATGACCTTTACCTAGGAAAAACAAATGGTTTTCTTTCTTTAAATATAACTGATTTATCCTTTTGCTGCAGTACAAACAGTTTTATGCGCGAATGTCTTAAATGGTTAATTATGTTTGTGTTTTTTTCCTTTTATTTTTGGCATATACTAAGTGGAAATGTAATCTTTGGTTCTATTCTATATTTCTCTGGCTTCTTTTGGTTATGTATATTGTCCTATAACTTTATGATATTTTTATTTTTTAATACCCCTTAAAAAGATTTTAAATCACAGTTTCTTGGGTTAATATTGTCACGAGACAAGATTCTTGTTCATTCTGTCTATTCCAAAACAACAACATGTAATATATGTATATATATAAAAGGAAAAAAGAAAGATGGAAAATGTTCTCCCTGTAAAATATTGAAGTACCTGACACCTCATTTGAATTTTCTAACCATCTATGGCAGTTTAAAAATTGGAAAGAGAAAATGAAAATGTTATATCAGTCAAATTGAACGAACGACATGAAATGTCGTCTAAATTGTGTTTTATGGCTTGCATGCACAGCAAAACATGTTTGATCAAACAGCATATGATGGATAAAATCATTCTTCTTCCATTTATAAACTGTTTTGTCAATTTTGACAGTGCATTTTTTACACTTATTAGTGTTTAAATTGAATGAAGACTTCTTAAAAATAACCATTTCTTTCTGTTTCAAGTTTTTTTTATAATCTCTCTGCCTTTTTATCAACTTTTAAAAACTATATGCATATATCTCACCGTCCAGGTGAAATGAATCTTTTAGTTCAAATGTTTTACTGTCAACAACAGCAAGACAAGGATGTGTGTTGTCATCTGTTCTACAAAACAGCTGATCCTGAAAATGAAAGTAAAGAAAATTAATTTCTGGATAACTAACATTGCAATGTCATATAAAATTTGGCAGTTTCTATTTCAAAGGTATAACATGATGAAAAATAAATAACCAGGTAAAAAAAAAAAATCTTCTTTCATATTTTTTTGTTTTAATATATTCCAACAGGGTTAAATGCAATAGACACCTTCTTCATGTTTATTTTGAATCTTATTTGCACCATATGTCTAACCAGTGCATAAAATTCATATGATTAAAATAAGGATGAAAAATTTTGTGGTGAAAAAAAAATCTTCAATACAAATACTGTAAGCCAATTTATTATCGTGGGTGCTTTTTTCCACATTCTAGCTGACTTTGCAGAGATTTATTTTGTGATTTTCTAACTTTCTAGTTATATAAGGAAGGAGCGAAGTTTAAGATGGTCACGATCATTCATATTCACTCTTTTAAATGCAAAAAAAATCATTGGTTTACAGCATTTTTTATGTAAAAAAATCAAATGAACTCTTTGTTGAAGAAACATCTAACCTTTGAGCACTAAAACTCATTGACATATTACCCAAAACTCTATTTATTAGTAGCTGTATGAAATATCAAGAATATGCATAAATGTGTGTACTCTTTACTTACACCTGCACATGTCAACCATGAATTAGCACTGTTTGGAAAATTTTTACTGTATAGGTAAACATGACTCTGAAATGTAAATATGTCATACACTGTAAATTCAAAAATTTATGCAATGTTTTTAAAAACAGCAAAGGTTTCACAAAAATTAAACACACATCTTAATTTTGATAGCATTATTTGTATGTAGCATTTCCTGCAATCCCAAGATAGAGATAACTGTATTGTATTTGAAGCTTTGCGGACGTCCATCAGTAGTTTTACTGTCGCAAATTTAGTTTACCTGGCGACGCGGAGCGGAGACAGGTAATTGGATATTTGCGACAGAAAAACTACCGATGGACGTCCGCAAAGCTTCAAATACAATACAGTTATCTCTATTCTAATGCAAAATAAACAAATCATTCAATTTTAGTCATTATTTCAGTGTAAAATTTTCATTCAACAAAAATTCCGCGAAATGATGTTATCTTCTTTGGCGCCTAAACTAGGTGACGTCATAGGTATTCTTCCGGCATCAAACGTAAAAACCGGGCGTTTTCTGGCTTCTTGTCCGCTTCAGAATGTAATAAAATATGATAAAAAGAAGATTTCTAGGTGCAAAATGTGAGTTTTTTTGGTTTATTATTGAAGAAATTACATGTCAATACATTCCCGAATTCAAAATGTCGGCTTCCTTAGTTACAGACCGGGAGATAGAGAATTTTACACTTATTGTCATCCAATCAGAACCATTGATACAAAATAATTGCATTAGAATTAATAATCTATGCTTGTAATCATCATTAATCATAATAAACAATTACAAACACACTGTGATTAGTAAGAGCTGTTATACATCATTGCAATTTGAAATTATGATTTCTTAAAAAAAGTCATGTTTACAGGGAGGTTTGCTTATGCAATTAGCACAACTGCTGTGCTGGCTTAGAAGGCAATACCTATTTTATCGTTTTCCTCTGTGCTGATGCAATTTCCTTAGTACTTTTTATGAAATAATTATCAGTCTAAATACAATGTACCCAACATTATCGCTATTTTACGAATTTTTCCTTTGATCTTGCTGACTGATAATTTCCGTTCTCAGCAGAGTCGAGTGATATGAAAACGGAGTCGAGTGATATGAAAATTATCGCTAGAAACTAAGGGAACATGTGCCGTTGTCAAGGAAATTAACAACGTCTTCATAGGTAAAATAGCGATAAACAGATTATCATTGGTCATCTCAACTCGATTGCTTTTCTCGCTTTCGCCGTATCGGCTCAAGCGAGAAAATCAATCTTGTTGAGATAACCAACGATAATCTATAAATAATAAGAGAAGCTTCTTTAATATCAGGGCTATTCCATTAAAATGAATGTGGGTATTTAGAAAGGGAAGTTTCATTCTTAATCATAGTTTATGGGTTGTTTGTTACTGCTTGTATGCCCATTTGGTGTGTCCAATATTATTTTTTTTTAAATAAGTTGGTTGTGAGGGGATTTTGGGAAATCCCTTCATACCCTCCCACAGCCATTTAAATGAAACAACCTCATGGTTAATCTTCTAAAACTTTTCCAGGAAAGAGATAAATTGATTATAGATGAAACTTTTTAAAAAACGTTAGGCTTAAAAAAATTACTAAAGAGTACAAATAATGACTGGAATTTAAAAATTGAATTTCCTATAGAAAATAAACCCCTATCTTTATATAAAAAGTTGGACAAAATCCCATTAAAAAGGACATCCCTAATAGTAACTTGTATACCTTAATTGTTCCTTTATAACCAGAGCCTACTTTAAATATCCCTTCTTTGTTTAGTAGGTATAAGTAGGCTCCATCACTGGCTATCGCACAGTTCTGTGTAGAATCTGCTAAAATGAAAATGAAAATAATATATATACAAAAGATAAGTGAACTATACATTGATGAGACAGTGACCTAACAACATAAATAAAAAAAATCTATAAGACACCTCAAAAGGACATATTCATAAATTGAAACTAACTGTCGAAACTATGAAAAATAATTGGATCTTACTCTTTCATAATAATGATAAGTACTACGTTTACATCTTTCTAATATTAATACATGCATGTCTAAATCAAATCCTCAGCAGTGTTCAAAACACTTTAGATTTCTAAAAGGAATTCCTTCTGTCTCTTAAGAAAATAAAAGAAAAGTGAAAAATATCTATAACATTTTTATTGTTTTACTTTTGATTTACCAGGTAAAGACAACAATTTGTTAATAACTATCAAGTTGCCCTTGAAACTTTTCTTTGAGGAACATGATTTTCTGAGCTGGATAACAGAAGAAGACTGTATCCCACTTCTAAACAATAAAGTAAACTGTACTTATCTGTTTGTGTAAATTCTGTCATTATATACTCTGTAGGGAGAAAAATCAAAAATCTGTTTCGTCTGTCCTACCAAATGGGCCATTTGTTTGAATTTGTGGCTGCTGGATGAATACAGACGTGTTTAGTATATAATGATTTAGAAGGATTTACTTCCACTTTTTGAGAAAAAGCTCTAAATCATCCAAAGAACAGAAGAATTATGAATGAATAAATACTATCAAATATCAGCAAGCTACATTACATTATTCAATGCAATGAAGTTATAAAGAAATATGGAAAACCACTGATAGGTTTGCTACCAGTACAAGACCTGTCAACTTATATTTGTTCCTCCTAGCAAAAGTTCCTCAGGAAATTTATTCGTCAGGAATAAATAGTGTAATATTTATTGGAGTAAAAATCTTATTCCAGAATGTCTTCCATTTGGAACTAATATTATAAAGGAACTTCTATTCCATATAAGATCAAGCTGTTGGGTTGTACTAGTTAGTGTACTTTTACTATACCTGATATTTCTGGAAGATCTTCTACAATAAATCTATTTATTTCTGCCCCCACTTTGATCCCCTGGTGTAACCAATCAGGTAGTATAGATTTTCCTAGTAAAACAGCCTGCACACTCTTCTGTAGTCCTGTCAATATGCCTGGTACCTAAAAATAAAAATAACAATTACAAAAACTTAATGATTATTTTTCTACCTTTTCAAGATCTAAGAGGTTCTTTGTGGAAAAAAAATTAAAGAGTTGAATCTCTTGTTTTCTTATTCAAATCATTTTGTTATAGGTACAGCTAAGAAAATTTTCTTAGGATATTGTTTGATAGAATTACTTTTTTATTTAATAATTTTTTTTTTTAATTCAACTAACTTTATTTGATACATATTGTAATCAACAGGGTGACTTGGAGGAATATATCAGATTTTTTGGAATAAACCTTCACAGTAAACTTAACCAACGTAATTCATTCCTGCATTGACGTAACACTGGCTTAAATGTTGCTGAACAGCTTGATATTATACAAACAGTTTATAGTGGTAAAATATCATTGACATATTACCATAAACCTCACTATAAAACTTCACCAATAAGGACAAACGGACAAAAATTGGACTAAACTGTAAAGGGCATAAAAAATTAAAGAACCTTTGTGAGCACGCTCACATACCCCACAGCCCCACATTGTCACTGGGCAAACAAAATCTCAACTGATTCCTAAGTTCAAAGACTCATAACTCCTACAAAAGTCAACTGATAAAAAATTCTTGTGGATATGCACATCTACATACCATGTCCTTATTATCTATAAAGTTTCATGAAATTCTGTTGTGTGGTTTCAGAGAAGTTGCGATGACAAACTGTTGCAGTAGTATATTTAGGCCAAAATTCTAAGTTGAAAGGAGCATAGCTCCTAAAAATAAATAATAAAATTTCCTGTTGATATCCACATCTACATAGTATGTCCTTATTATTTAAAAAGTTTCGTGAAATTATTTTTTGTGGTTTCAGAGAAGTTGCGATGACAACAACAGGACTGACTGACAGACGGACGTACCGGTCAAAAACATTATACCCTGTGGAACTTTGTGCTGTGGAAGTATAATAAACCTTTGTAAGTCACATTGAAACTTAAGTGTACATTACATACCATAATTTCTTGTGATGACAATGATCCATTGGCCATTAACATTGCCATTACAGCTGTCAGAAGTTTTCCTGTGTCTCCAAGGGCCACGACCAAACTAAGCAGAGAAGAACATGCTAAAGCTGACAAGTCTTTGTCTGGTCCTGGCTCAGTAGATATTTCCATCAAAAGACTGAAGAAGTGTTCTGAAACAATACATGCATTTGCTTGATTTTTTATTCTAAAATAAATTCATTAGAACTTGAAAAAGACTTTAAATGGTTAATTACCACCATGTTTAATATTATCACCTAAAAATATTTAACATAAAATATTTGTACTTGAAGCAATTCTGAAAATGTATTAACTGTCTTAGGTTTGTTTGGCAACCATTTGTGAAATGACATAAAACATTATACTATTTCTCCATTTGAACACAATTATTTTTCAATATCAAGTTTATGAGAAGGAATTTGTGTTGCCATCATATATATCATGAAGCTTACATAAAAAGTTGAGGGGAAAGTTTCCAACTGCAGACTGGAAGACACCTCTACACAAATGGTATTTTGGAATTCGAAATATAAAGTTATCTCCCTTTGCCCACCAGCTGAAAATTCAATGCTGGATCATTTTTTTCCTAAAACAGCAGTCTCTGAGTAAAAAATTTTTTTTTGTATGGCCTAAATTTCAACTTAAGCAAGGTTTTTTGTGTATCAGCAAGAAAATGTGTGCACATTTGCATAATAATCTCACAAACACTTTTGTAGATTAAGCAAATGACATGAAATACCTATTACATCAGCTGGTTCAGACTTCATACTCTCAGGCTGTTGTCCCTGTAACATATCTAGCAAAGCAGTTAGAGCTCTTACACACAGCTCTGGATACTTATGTCTTGTGTCTTTAACAAGCTCAAATACACCGGTTAAACCAAGACCAACAATCTGAATCAGAAAATTCAAAACATACTCATTTCTGATAACCATTCGCAATAACAGTAAAAGATACATGCCATCTATGCCAAAATCATATCGATAATAAAATGAACAACTCAACTTAAAGCTCTTTCCATGTCCTTTTTATATCAATGTGGTTCTTCAGAACTACTATATATTATCTGTTGCTATGTTAGAAAATGAAAGGATATGGAGTAAATGTACATGGGACAAAATCGCACACAATACATAGAAAATTATCAATGAACAGGGCTTTTATTCCTGTTCTTATTCATTTTCTAATGTTTTTGTACATTCTAAGAGTTGGATTGCTTACAAAGATGTCATTGTAGACATCATTGTTTAATAGAATTATTTGACCTCCATACAGTTATGAAATACTGAAGTACTGTAAATTCTGAAATTTGTGTGATGTTTTTATTATTACAAAATGGTTTTGCAAAATTTAACTTGAAATATAAATTTTGACATCATTTTTATATTCAGTTATTTCTGAAATCGTTTTGCAAAATTTAACTTGATATATAAATTTTGACAACATTTTTGTATTCAGTTATTTCTGAAATCGTAATAATTAATCTCACATTTAAGTCTAATGTTCAAAAATTGCAAAAATTAATTTATGCCAAAAGATTAATGAATTTACAGTACATGTTTAAAATTTGACTGTTTACCTTTGGAAGTTTGATTGGTCCTTCTCTACTTTTCTCCTCCCGTTCTTCATCTGTTTCTGAATCTGATGGTAAGGACTGACTCTGGTGGTAGATCTGTGTAGCCTCTTTCATACATTGTTCCAATATGGACTGTCTCACAGTTGAGTAAACTGTAAACATTGAAGGATTGCCACATATCTCTAAGGTAGGTGGTGCTGATTCAGAGGTTTCTGGGCTTTTGTCTCTCTGGAATTTAGGACACATTGATTATGTGAGGCGTAGCCATCTTTTACAACAGTATTTATGTTAACTATTCAGAGGCTAGGATTCTGGGGTTATTTTGTGAGACAACCTATTTGTGCAACAATATTTATTGGAAATTATTCAGAGGCTATGATCCTGTAGTTAGTGAGCTTAACCTACAACAACTGCAACTGATTGAGGTAACATTTGTACTGAACCATAACTAATGAAGATTTAAAAAACTTTGTTCAATTGGACTTGAATAAAATATTTCATCCATGTAATGTTAAGGGAAGAAAATGTTTGAATATAACAGTCTATTTAGAATAACAATTATTATGTTTAACTGGAAACAGAAGAAAACAAAGTTGACCATATTTCTACACCCAGTACCATTGGTGTCCAACAAAAATGTGTTTTGAGGGAAAAGCAAATCTTTACTGTTATGATTAAATCACTTTAACATGTATTGTTCTATCATTTAATGCACTGTTGTTCTATTTAATATAAAAACAAGGAGATGTGGTATGATTCCCAATGAGACAACTATCCACCCAAGTTCAAATGAAGTGGATTAAGCATTGTTTTTCAACATCAATTTCCTTTTATAAGCTGTGTTCAAGCTAGACCATTTTCACAGATCAGTTCCTTGCCTTTTATCTGAGCCCTGTGCCCTTGAAATTGGGTGTTCTACCATTTTATTGTTCATTGGCACCACAATTCATTTGCGCCAATGTTACATTTCTTGCAAAACAATTCTCAAGATTGCATATATATCATGTATTAGCTATGCCAAAAATAACATAATCCATTTGTGCAATATACTAACACTATATGGGACAGGCACACAAAGCATGTGGCTGGGTTAAAAATGGTTATGAGCACTCAACCCTTCCAAAAACCTGGTACAGTAATGTAAACCTGCCACTTGAGAACAACAGTTAGTCGTTCCATTTGATAAAACTTACCTTAGATTTTTTATCTTTAGATTTTGATTTTGATCTCTTCTTTGCCTTTTTCTTTTCTTGTTTCTTTCTAATAACAAATTAATTGAAAGGAAATGAGAATATTTATATCAAATAATATTGTTAGTTTCTACATATAATTCAGCAGAGTTTTACCTCTATCATGTCAAAATTTTCATCATTACATAATTTCACATCAATATTACTAGGGTTTTAATTTCACTCCATTGATTTACAATATCACAAGGTGGGTTCTGATGTGGTAGTCTGACAATTTCTCTGTGAGGGTTAATGTTAAGGAACTTAATTATGTAATCATTTTAATATCATATAATAATTTATGGACATTATAAACATGTCCTAACAATGCATATCATTCAAAATAATTTGCAAATAAATTTTATAAAGAGTTTGAAGATGCTAAGATTTGTAAAAGAAATAATCTTGAATTTTATAGTTGAGTGGATTGGTAAGCCAGAATTTCAAAGTTTCTTTTGAAATAATGCTGGATCAATACAAAATGAAGAATGCTTTGTGTAATCTTATTGTCATATTCACTTAAATGTCTGACATACAAACTGGTCATTGAATGCAGAAAGTGTGTACAATTTCTTGATTTTGACAGGTAAATTACAACTTCCTGCAAACACAAAATTTGCGTTTCAGCATTAGATAATATCATAAACGGCAAAAATCAGTATGTAAATGATGAATGTAAAATATGGACCTGAGGTCTTAATAATAGAACTATAAGTGTGCAACATGATTGTTATCTAATTACTGACAAGGGAGTACTTTTACAGGGTTGCTATTGACCCAGAGTACCCATGAGAGTTTGCATAGTTGGGCAAGGGAGTAGTTCTTGATGCAACCTTTAATGTTGGTTAAGAAGTTCCCTACAGCATTTTTCCTAACCATTATTCAGAAGCATACTATTTCCTGCAAATTTGTATACATTTACATATACAATAAGCTTTTCACTGGCAGATTTTCATAATGGAAGTGAAAATGCTTCAAAAACACAGGAAAGCATCATTGAAACAGAACAGTTGCTTGGAAACATGCATAGGGTTTACTGTACGTTCTTACCATTACCACCTCCATCCAAAAAAACCTGCCCCTTATTCAATATGACTGCAATAACCGTGAAGTGCCCTATTTCCTACACATATCTAAGTACCAAACATGCAATAATAACCTTTTGGGTTCATCAGGTAGCAGCTGACTAATATTATTCTATTCCTATAACTTATCTGAGGCTTTTCTCACAGCCAATAAAAAAAATACATTTGAATTCAAATTCAAACAAATGTATGTGCATGATTGTAGGAAATGTTTCTTGGGGGATAACTACTGCTTCTCAGATAAACACAGATCATGTTTTAACCTGTCTGAATAAAAACTGTTTAATGAACCAATGGAGTTATTTACTTATTATCAGCCTGTGAAATGTGATAAGCATCAAACAAGTCATGAAATTTCGTCCTTAATTCATTTCCCTTCAAGTAAATGTCCAATTCACTCCTGGACGAAGGGAGCACCTTCGCACTCATTTCAACTGTGCTTCTCTACAACTGAAGAGTTCAGAGATTAAGTACTGGATGTAATGCGAAGAAATTTTCAAATTCAACTTTCGATTTTCTTCCATTTTCCATTTTCTATTTTTTTTAATTTGGTAATTACAAATTGCAAAATAATGTTACTTCTAACAACGATTACAATACTATTATCATAAAACTGTTTATACCTTGTCGATTATAATTCTAAATATACATTAATCAGATTTTTCATTCATTTTTTGTTCATTTCTCTTAATTGTATTCCTGGCAAAATATATTTTATAAGAATCTATGAATTCGGTTTTTATGGAAATTTTATAAAGATTATTAATAATAGAATAATGCCGGAGAATAAGTGAAATCGTTCCGAATTTGAAAAAAAAACAACTAAATCGTCTTTTGTCGCTGTTTTTAAAAGAAAAAACTTATTTAAATATGGCGGGACTTGACAATTCTAGCTTTATTCTTCGAAAACTTTTTTTCCAGGGCTACTTTTTGTTTAACACAACCGTTTACTAATAACCTATTATGTACTTCCCGCCTTTATCAGGAGCACCGACGATGGTGCAGTAATGCTACCCACTTCATTTAAGTCACAAAATCACACCTCCACATCGTCCGTGTCTGAAATATTTTGGAAATTTTAAAATTCACAATTGCTAAAAACACTAAAATTATATTTACAGAATTTATGTACATGGCACCTCTTTATACTAACTTCTTTCATACAGCATAACAATAAGCCATACAAGTTGTCTTATATATTATCAACCGATTCATCACAGCATTCAAATAATTCATTAAGTAAGTAAGGTAATTTTATTTTTAGTCCGCACATATGTGCAAATAACAATATAAAAACCACAACATGAGCTTAAGAAAGCCGCAGTCTTACAACCGACTGTAACAAATTTACAAAACATCACAATCCGCAAAGTTTCATCAAAGAAAAGTATACATAAGCATAAAGATATTATCGTACTTACTTATCTCAAATAAGATTTAATTGCACACAAAAACATCAAATGAATAAGCAAATATAAGCATCAGATTGAAATAAAACAAAATGTGGATCAAAAGCTGTTTAAATTAGCACATACTATAGTATAAGTACATAAATAATAATTATAAAAAACAAAGCAATGAGGTAATAGCAAGTTTTATAATTTACAACATAAGCAGGATGAACTATTATAAACATACAGCAATACATGTAGCCAATACGTATGTATCGTAAAGCAGATAGCCGGCCGGGCAAAATCCATGGGACAGCAGAGTTTTGTGTCTGGTATCAGGCACTGCAGAAACGATTTTGTTCACAACAACAGGTATAGATATGTAATTTTTAATCTGGTCAAATGAGGTCACATTTCTGGCCTCTTTTGGCATTGAATTCCCACTGAGACTACTATAACAGTTGTTAATCAAAATAATGCTAGCAAAGGTACTCTTCTTTGTTGCAGTCTGATAAAATCATAGTCCTACACACTCAATGTCAAATCTTCTTGCCTCATCGAGGAATGTTGAGCAAGGAATTTAATTTAAACCTACAGGCCTTGTGTCGAGCCATCAACTATAATTTGAAAGTGCATACCGTAAGACCAGCACATTTCTTGTTATACTTTCACATCAACACTGTTACCCTAACTTGATCTTTACACTTTATATGAAATATTCTTTTTTTTTCGGGTTTGGACATCCGAGTAAAGAAAGCTTTATAAGTCTATAGAAATGAAAGTTCCTCTATGCCACAGATAATTTTGCCTTAAATAATCGTTTTTATTAATTTCAATAATGACGTCTTACGATTTTGATGATTTTTTTTAAAATAGATAATAATATATTGAAAAAGAGCAGGGATTGAAAATATAAATCGTTTTACACGTCCTAAAAAAAATACAATGCAACAGGACTCCGGCTTAGAAGTCCGTCGTCATTCAGGGTTTGTTTCTCTGTAGGGTTTTTTTGCAGTTAAATTTGTCCCAACAGTTTAACTCTTTACAAGAAAAAAAAGAATGCTAGAAAAGTTAGATTGCATACAATGTATCCTTACACGAGAATGTCTTCAAGTCAATACATTTAAAATAAGAAGCTCATACGAGACTGAGTCGCTCGCCCGTCAAAATTTTGCTGTTTACAGTTACTGTCTATTTTACAGTTTTTTAAATAATAAACAAAAATTGGAAATAAGGAACAAATCATGTATTGCTGTTCATAGTTTCCAGCTATCTGTTATGGTTTTCGCAATAACAGACAAAGAACATTTCACTCTTAAAAGGGATCAATTGACAATGTCGTCCATATAAAAATCAGGAGATGTGGTATGATTGCCAATGAGACAACTATCCACCAAAGTTAAAATGAAGTGGATGTAAGCAATTATAGGCAACCGTAGGCCTTCAACAATGAGAAAACCCCATACCGTATAGTCGGCTATAAAAGGCCCCGACATGAAAAATATAAAACAATTCAACTGAGAAAACTGACGGCCTAATTTATAACAAAACAATTTACGAAAAAAATTATGACAGACATGAACCAACGATAACCACTGAATAACAGGCTCCTGGCTTGGGACAGGCACATACAGAATGAGGCAGGGTTAAACATGTTTGTGAGCACTCAACTCTCCCCTAAATTGGGACAATGGTGCAACAGCACAACATCTGAACAAACTGTAAAAATCAGTTGAAACTCATTAGATCGATACAAACAAAAACACCAAACAAAAACACAGACAGGACGTGGCAGGGTATATATCTACCCCTCATCTCTAACAACAACAAACAACACTTAGTACAGATCTGAGAGTACTCGCAGTTACTGGCAGCTAGTCAGTCACAGCCAATAACAACTAATTGAAAAAAATCATGTGTTTAAGACTAAAATATCAATCAGTTCACATCCAACATCCAATGGATTTAGTGTATGTTGACATATTTCTAGATTTTATATTGCTGAACATTTTTTGCTTTTTGCAACTTTTGTTAATTTATTTAAGTTTCTGGAGAAAAAAAACACAAAAAAAATAAACAAATAGTCTATTAGTGCCTATAGATCCTATAAGTGATGAATTGACGATCTCGGCCGTGTTGACTTACTTGTTTGTCTTATTGTTCTGGTCATTCTTACCATTACAGTGTCTCTCTGTTTATAATAAGTTTCATGATAATGACCAAACACTGGGAAATTTGCTCAAATTAAATTTCAGGGGCAATAACCACAACATGGTTTGTCAGGTTTTTCTGACAATTCCAAAGGAGATAGACTTCGACATGATGATTATTTTTACTTTGACTGTTTACTCTAACTGCCTTTGTGTTTGGAGATATAAGCCAAAAAACTAAAAATTTCCTTAAAAAATGTCAATTCAGAGGCAATGACTCCAAATGCGTAGACCTATTTTTCTGAAAATTTTATAGGAAAGAGAATTTGTCCCGATAATCATTTATTCTTTATCAGTTTAGCTCTAACTGCTTTAGATTTTGAGATATTAACCAAAAACTACAGTTTAATCACAATTTTCTAATCAGTGTAGCAACAAATACAATTACAATTTTAAACAAGATTCCCTAAGAAACATTCAGGTAAAGTGTGGTACCATTTAACCCAGTAGTTTCAGAGGAGGAATTGGTTTAAAATTAAGTTTACAAAGATGAACGAACAGGCGGACGACCGGGATGATGACGGCACCATGTGATGGCGAAAGCTCACATGGCGTTTTAGGCAAGAAAGGAGATGTGGTATGATAGCCATTCAGACAAATATCCACCAGAGAACAAAAATAACGTGGATGAAAGCAAATATAGTTCATCGTAAGGTCTTTAGCAATGCCCTGAGCAAAACCCATACCGTACAGTAAGCTTTAAGAGGCCCGGACACGGCGAAATGTGAAATATTTTAAACAGAAAACAAACAGCCTGATTTATGCTCAACTACTACAAGAAAAAAATATGACAGGAAGCAACCAACGACAACCACTAAATTACATGTTGATACATAGAAAAGAAATTAGAGGAAACAAATTCAGGAAAGACTATAACCTGAGACTTGTCTTCTCATGATTATACAGTTATAGAAGTCTCAGCTGTCTTAGGTTTGTGGTTAAAGTTATTTAGGCATCACTGACTAACCGTTTGTCAAACCTTCATGAAAATTTATGAATCTTGGATAGAAGTTTGTTCATGATCAACATATATCGTATCATGAAAACGTTTTACGGAGTTATAACATTTACAAACGGTCTCGAATTATTTTTTTGGGACATCAATTCATTATCCTTGTTTAATCTTCATTATTCGTGGAATGTTTCGAAATTTGGACATATCATCAGTGGCGGATCCAGAACTTTTCATAAGGGGGGGGCCCGCTGACTGACCTAAGGGGGGCCGCTCCATTCATGCTTCAGTGATTCCCTATATAATCAACCAAATTTTTGCCACGAAAGGAGGGGCCCGGGCCCCCCAGGCCCCCCCCCCCCCCCCCCCTGGATCCGCCTATGATATGCTTCTTTATGATCAAGAAATAGCAACAAAAAAAAAGTATCATTTGTTTATGGTATTTAACAACGTTGCCTGTTAATTCTACTGATAAATGGACAACAGCATCCCGTAGCCGAAAATCCTTTACGATTTTTCATAAAAGATATCATAACTTCCTTTCCTTATCTTTTTTTTTTTAATTTCGTTTTGTTTTCTAATGCATGCCTTTTCTTATTTTCCCAATCATTTTAAGGATCTTTTATTAGAAAAAGGTTTTATTTAAAATTGTTAAAGAATAACATAGAATTAATTATTTGATATTATAAATATGATCTGATTCAAATCTATTTTGTTAAATTTTATTTTTAGTTTTTTTTATTGTACGTGTTGCTGTTTTTTGGGTTTTTTTTTTCCCCCACTAATAACCATATATTCGTTATATTCATAAATATTTGAATTAGTATGATTGTTTTTTTATTTCAGGTTGACTTAATTGAATAACCGTATTTCAGCTAGGTAATAAATTGGATTACTGTCTCCCTGTTGATCCATCGATTGGCTGTCAAATTTATTACTTTACACAGTTGTATGGACTCAATAGCCGTATTTCTACCGAAGCGGTAAATC